CTCTCACTTCCACTCTCACTTCCACTCTCACTTCCACTCTCACTTCCACTCTCACTTCCACTCTCACTTCCACTCTCACTTCCACTCTCCTAGACTTGGCTATTCCTCGCCGCCAACTGAGCTTTCTATCACTTTTGACATATATGGTACTGTAGGCCGCGTTGCACAGGTCGGCATGGGTACAAACTTTTCCCTCCTCTTTTCTTCCTCTCTCACCCTCCTGAGTGCCTGACCTTCGCCAATGCTGCATCCACATCTCCCATCTGTCACTCTTCATCATAACCCAGAGCCTGCATGTCGAGGCCGCCACGCTCGCCATGCGTTCCAAGGACTCTGGTCCAACCACCATTGTCGAATGGTTCGCAGGGACCAGCGCCGCATCTGTAGCTCGCAGAAGACGCCGACGAGCACGCCAACAAGCCGACGAAGCCCGTAGCCTCTTCCGCCTCGAAGTGACGACCGATGACGAGTTCGGAGAAGACACAGTTCATGTGACGTACCCACGCACGGGAGGTGGTCGCTGTTGCGAAAATCATGCACCGCAGCCAGAGCCTGAAGCAGAACCGGAGGCGGAACAGGCCCCTGAAGCCGCGTTCGAATCAGCTGCCGAAGAAACCACTGTCAAGAAGGTTCGCTTCGAGCAAAGCAAGCCGAGAAAGTCTGCTCTCAAGAAAACCAAGCAACACACCACCACTACCACCACCACGACAGTCACTACATCATCCTCCGAGGCCGAACCTGAGTCGCAGTCAGAGTCAGCCGCCGAAGAACCGTCCGCCGTTGAGAGCTCTGAGGAGTCGGAGCCTGCCAAGCCTGTGAAGAAGGTGAAGAAATCCCGGAGGTCGAAAGAGGCTGAAAAGGACAGCACGAGTGAATCTGAAGCGTGCGATTGCGAGGTATGCACCAACAGGAGACGAAAGGCTCGGAAAGCTTCCGAGGGAAAGAAACAGCAAGACACCTCCGACTCCGAGGCGAGTTCTGGCTCCAAGACCAAAAGGAGCAAGAAAAAGAAGAAAAAGGTTGAAACACGCGAGACATCTGAGTCTGAAGCGGATGCAACCTCCAAGTCAAAGAAGGTGGGCAAGAAAGCGAAGAAAGTCAAGGAGGTGGAGGAGACCGATTCTGGAACCGAGACCGAAGCAACCACAGGCGAGGAGACGGAAGAGGAGTCGGAGTCTCCGCCCAAGATGAAGAAAATGTCCAAAGCAAAGCAGAAGAAGAAGATGTTCGAGCAGCAAGCGAAGCCTCCAAAAGATGCCGAAAAGTCTAACGGGCAACCCGAACCCAACTCTTCTAGGCGGAGGGACCAGAAATTGAGCAACTATCCCGAAGCCAACAACAGGCCGGCGCCGAACTCACGTCGACCTCATTACCTCGAGCCAATACGTGCTGAAACAGTACAGACTGAAAAAGTACTCGAAGGCCCCGAGGACCCGCGCCCCAATGCGTACTATGACCCTCAGCACAATGTGCTTCGTGTGTATCACGGACCCGTCTGGGGTTCTCGGGGTGAACAGGCGCTGTATCCTGAGCGCGACCAGTTCATGCGCCCTCCGTCTGTTGGCGTACCTCATCCCCTACACAATCCGTACGAGTATGGCTTCAGGGGCAACACATACGGCCACCGCCCACCGTATGGACTGTCATATGAGGAACGCTACGGCCATCACGCTCCTCCCTACGGGCCGCCTCCCAACCTCTACAATGATTGGCGCCAGCCCCCTAATCACAACACAGCCATGCCCAGTGGCTATCCACCATTTGAGCGTAGACCATCTTGCATGAACAAGGGTGCCTTTGCTGACATGGCGGGCGCCAACGGTCCAGGCAACAGCCCAGCCAAGACAAAATCTGCCTCCAACAACGTCTGTCCAGGTAGCGTCAAGGTACGAGATGACAGCCACGGCTTCGGGGCCTGATGTTCATACTGACGTCAAGCAGGAGGACCAAGGCGATAAGAACTCATACTACGAAGCCGCAAAGTCCAAGTTTGCGACATGGAGTGATCGCCAGCCATCCAACGCCAGCCAGAAATCCAACAATACCAACAAGGCCGCCGACGCATGGGGCCAAGCGGCGGACAAAAATAACAGCAACAAGGACACGACGGCTTGGCCTGAGACTACCGACGCTCCTGCGGACAACACTGCCTGGACCACCAGCGACAATCAACCCACTGACGACGCAGCGGGCCAAAAGGACAACGACGGCTGGGCAACTACGCAGAGCGCAACTGGCGGGTCGGCCTGGGGCAGCAACGCGCAAAACTCGGCGGCAGGCCAGGAGGAAAACAACATCGCACCTGGAGCCACCACCATGCCAGGGTCCTGGGATGACGGGAATGCAGATGCTACGGCCCCGGTCTGGGGGGACAAGACGGCGGCGGCGAATACTGGTGGCCTCGCGGATAAGGAGGAGGTGAGCAACGTGCTACCCAGTGAAGGGTGGTAGCACAGGAACGCCAATTTCTCCTGTCATTGACGGCGGCATCATAGATTATGTATTTTCGGTGTGCACTATGGGGGTCGAGAACAAAAGAGTTGCTCTTCACTCCTGTCGTGTAGCGGCTAGTCGCTCAGGGGGTGCGCCTCGCGGGTGTGGAACGCAGGAAAGGAGGCGAAGCGTCCGTTTTGGGCCACCCTGGAGAAAGATCCGGCGGAATCAGACTTTCTTACATACTTAGACATATCTAATACCTCATGACCTGTGTTCATTTGGCTAGTGCGAGGACTCTTGAACGTGACGTCAAAGAAACGAGATCGATGACTCGACGACCACGGAGTGTGCGGATCAGACGCGGGCTCGTTGGATACGAATAACAAGTTGCTGTGGCAAGAGTACCAGGAATGGAGGAATGTTGCAAAGGGAGTAGGTCACTGATGAGACACAAGTCTTTCTGAGGTGGGTGACACAGACACATTGGCATGATCTTACCACAAGATCAAAAACAGGGTCGAGTTTTGATAGTTCTCTTTATGTAGCAGTGACGAAGCTTGGTAAAGAGAGAGAGAGAGCAGCCGCAGCTGTGTGAGCGCAAAAAGGCAAACAAGAGTTGGTGGTATCTGGTAACACGGTCTGGAAATTGGTATCGCTGCCAGGCTGCTGCGAAAAAGGGGGCAAGCCCTCTCCCTCTGGCAAGGAAGCAGCTTTCAAAAAAGCAAAGCAAGAAACAAGGCAAAAGTGTTAATCCCAAATAAGCCGCCCCGAGACCCCAAGACAGATATCCATTCTATCGCAATGCACAAAGAGAGAAGAGAATTCCGAGATTGAAATGTCCGGACATAATCGGAGGAGGATAGAATCTCCTTTGTCTGTCTGGCGCGTCGCATAGTAGCAACGGGTTCGTGAGAGCGTAATAGTCGTTCATGTGTTTCGTAATGAGGTGTCTTGTTGCTCTTTTGTGGTTGTTGCCCAAAGATCTTTTTCCAGTGCGCCCAACTCTGCTAAGCGATGCAGAAACAAGACAGAAAAAATAGAGGTGAAGAAAGGGGGACTTCCAGCAAGTCATGAAAGGGAAAGGAGAGTGACGACCAGGGTGTTCGTCTACGAAGGCATGCTGGTCGTCGAGGCGATGACGGTCGATCAAAGTATGGTACAGCCGGGGAGACTTGACCTGGTGGGTCTCAGTAATTGCTTCACCGGCAAGGTGCTCTACTTTCTTGTGTTCTTCTTCTCAACGAGCAGACGTGCTACTCGATCCGCCTCACGGACCCATCTGAAGCTCATCAGATTATGTTGCATCAGGAGCAACAGGGAGGGAGGAACGAGGCGTGGGCCCGCGGCAGAACACAAGGAGGGAGAGTGACGACTTACCATGCACTTGTCTCCCACTCAACAATCCAGGAGCAACAGATCTTCAGTCGGTCCCTGACGCTCGAGGTGCCCAGCAGCCGATACTTCTCAATGTCGCGTACTGGAAGAATGCTGGCCAACCACCAAGGAAACAAGCCCGGGTCGCCCGGACACTCCCCGTATATCGAGGTCATTCTGGCGGTCAGCCACGGGACACTCTGCGCCCTCATCCTGGCCACAAACGCGAGCGCGAATTCCATAAGCGCGGCTGTGGACATGCCATCCAAATCTGGGGCTCGCGGCGTATCTGAAATGCGGCTCTTGCGGTCGATCGATGTTGGCGAACCGGTCGACCCGCGCTCGGACGATGCTGGAGAGATCTCTTGTGCCTCCGACGCTTCCTCTTCTTCCAGGCTGATGTCGTCGATGCGCTCAATGTTACCGACAGCATACCCATCCGTCATACCGTGGCGAGTCACCCTGAAGCGCGAGATGCCGATAGTCTCGATCAAACTGCGGCCGTCTGGATAGAAGTGTGCATTGGTGATGCGCAAGAGTGTCCCCAATTCGTGGAAATACGGTTCAGACGAGTCCCGAGCCCTTCGGGGCAGTACCATGCCAAACGTTTTATCGCCTTCCAATGCTCTCCGAATCATGAGCCTGTACCGAGGCTCGAAGATGTGCAGGAACGTGGGCATCCTTGGGAACGCCAGGGTGCAGACGAAGAGAGGAATGTCAAAGTCGCCGTGCTGGCCCAGCTGTTCTGATCTGTACATTTCTCCGCGTGTCTTGAGCTCGTCCTTCCAAAAGATGTTGATGAAAGCCGACAGGCGACTATTCGAGGGGCACACAACTTGGTTGAGCAGTGGGTTGATGGCCAACTGCCGTCGACAGATCGGGCAATACTGCGAATGGTCAAGAGTTCGTTGCAGGCATGACCTGCAAAACGTGTGTCCGCAGGCTGTTGTCAATGGTTCCCAGAACAAGGCAAAGCAAACGTGACAGTCCATCTCGCTGCGGGCCTCCTCTTGAGTCGCGTGGAGTGAAGTGACCTCGAAATCGGCGTACTCGTCGTTTGTGGAACTGGACTCGGTATCGTAGGCGACTTCGGCGTCGTAGCGCAACTGTCCCTGCTCCATCAAGGCCCACGTCGTTGTCAGCCGGCCGCCCGGCAAGCGTCGATGTACTAGCTCGGCGCGCTTCTCCCCCAGCTCGTCAGCACTGCCATCTTCCTGCTCGTCTACTGCGATCACGGTTGTCGTAGACGAATGGGCCTTCTTTTTCCTCCATTTGACGAGGTTGTCTTCGAGGTGGTGCAAAGCCTTGTTGAGAATGACATCGCCTCCGCAGTCGCCCACCGCATGATCCTTCCCGCAGTCGGGGAACGGACATTGTACGCCTAGCAGTCGCTCAGGTCCGGCTGGGTATGATATGTTGGCTCGTTCGTGGGTCGGTGGTAGGCATCGTCGACACAGGCTGCGTCCGCAAGGCAGTGTGACGGCGTCTTTGAGCAGCAGCGAGCATATTTGGCATTGGCATAGGCGGACAAGCTCCCTTGCCGTTGCGACTTGCTCTGGCTTGGTCGGCCAGCTGGATGGCTCGTCGCGGCCGTACGTCTCGAACCAAGGACGGTCCGCGACCTCTGCGTGCTGAGCGGGTGACATGGGCGGCTTGTCTTGCCGGGGCGGGTCGCTTGGGCTTATGTCCAGAACAGGCCTGACACAGCAGCACAGTTCGACTCGTGTGTTCGCACAATCTCGTGGCCTGGTCCCAGTAGTATTGCAAGCGCATGGGTGAGTGCGCAGCCAGGAGATGATGACTAGACTAGGTGATTACTCGTAGAGAAGGTAGAGCATCGGTTGAGGTCTCGTGTATGCGCCTCTTTGCGAACTGCTTTCGTCGTCGACGATGGGTGGTTTCAGCACTGGTGATGGTGGTGGTGTTGTTCCGGGTATCGATATGTACAGTCGCGACGCACCTGATACGTTGGGATGTTGACAGTGAGGGAAGAAGGCCATGGGAGGGGATAATAATAATAATATGGAGGGATCACCACAAAGCGCATTAGTGTGGACGGGGCTCGTCATACAAAGCAGATGTCACCAATCCGGTGACATGGAAGGAAGGGCAGGCTGGCCAAGGTGGCGTGTGGGCGCGGCGCGCAGCGACGACAAAGCCAGGCGAGAGGGTGTGCTTGGTGGGATGTGAGGACAGACAGACTGGACTGGCTGGATGGATTCGTGGGACTGGATGGCCTCATCATGGAAGGGGACTGGAGAACACGCGAGCTCCGTCTAGTCCAGTCACGGTCTCGAGCTGGACGGAGTCGAGGCGTCAGAGCCCACTTTCTAGGCCTCCTCCAGCGGGCCCTGCCTGCCACTTGTGCCGGAAACCTGACGACCCGCCTACCAGAGGACTCGACATATCGCGAAGCTTCTGCGCAACAAGTACATGCCAGCACGAGTCGCTATCAGCTGAAACTGAACAACGTGCGCTGCATTTTGTTTGCATTTTAATGATCTACGTGGGACCACTGCGTTGGTGCAAGATTCGTCTACAAGCCGTCCAGGCAGTGCTGCCGGGCATGGTGACATAAACGAGTCCAGCAGGTAGCTAACTATCTATTAGCACTACGAAATAACGAAATAATACAAGTCGACATGCATCATCGAGTCGACTAGGATCGGAATCTAGAAGGAGGCCGAGCTAAAGTCGATTTGTCCCATGAGCCCCGACTCCTGAGGGACTAAGATAGAGAGTAACAATGGAGCTGGCTTTGGACACATTCGCCTCGCTTGCAAGCGAGCATGAGCCCCATTTCTTCGTCTCGACGTTCGTTCATGCACGCAATGCAGAGAGAGAGAGAGAGAGAGAGAGAGCTCTGCAATCAATAGCTAATTAGAGAGGCATCGCATTCAGTATGCCCATTTGTTGTTGCAGCAAGAAATGTACACAGCTGCACCAACGGCCTTTGGACCCGTAAACAGATCTGGCCCGGCTGTGAGATCTGGTTCTCGGTCGAGAATAGCAACTCTGGGGTGTGATTAAACACAGTGAGTCGATTGCGCGCCTGCCTGGCGATCTGATACTGCCAGCGCTTTCTCGACATCGAGCTGTCAGACGCCTAGCCACGACTCGTGACTGGTAGGTCCATAGGAGTCGTGGGCGTCATGACACCTCGATGCAGGTACCTCGGACTCCGCGCATTCCTGTACGAGACCAATCTATACCGGTAGACTAATAAATGTGGATTCCCGGAAGCCATCCGCGAAGCTCATACTCGACGTTATCACTAATAATGAATTACTCGCTTTGGTTCTAGACTCGCTGGAGCTGCTCTTCACGTGTCGCCTTGTTGTGATCCAGTCCTGGATTCCAGTGGGCTCCGCATCAGCGTCTGACTAGGCGCGAAAGCACCAGTACCGGCACATCGAGATCTTTCATTCCATGGCTGACCACTGACCACTGACACATCCCGCTACCGCACCCCGACCCGACCCGTGTCGTTCCAGAACGCTGTCCGGATGGACGGGTGGTTATTCATCCAGCCCAGTTCAACGCGTGCGTTCAACAAGAGTTTCGCGAGGCTCGCGTAGCGGCAAACCCGGTCAGATCTTACCGATGTGACCGCCGAGTGTCGACGCATCATGGAGTGGTCCAAGGTGGGGTGCAGCATCTCGATGGTTTCCATGGTCGTGACTTTTTTTTGATCAGCTACCGACTGGAGGCTGCCCGAGCTTTGCTGTACAACAATACTGCTCCAGAGACAAGGCTATTCATGTTTCCTTGTGACTGGTGCTTGGCATTGTTCTTACTCGCTAGCGCGACCCATCCGCACTCGATACATTAAGATTCTGTCTTGCTCCGAGCCGCAGCTAGTTGTCCGGTAATTCCATGATCGTGTCCAACACCGCCTGGCTCTTGTCCTTTGTATCCTGGCTGAACGTAGCTGGCGACCCGCCCATCATGCTTAGCATGGCAGGCGAATTGATCAGTTTATCAATTGTCATGCTGCGAGTGATAACATCGGTAAATGTGATCTGTGCCTTCTCCGCATTGTCCTTGGCTGCAACGTACACAGTTAGCCTACTATTTCCCGAGTGACAGGCGGTGGGGTTGCCAAGTCCAAAGGGGATGAGTGCACGCTATAGAATAGAAAAGAAAAGAGTACCATTGTCATTCTTGGGGATGGCCTGAGGATGCTCAATTGGGGCTCCGGTGCGGATGTTTTCCAGATTGAGCATCATGTAGTGGCTCCTTTGCACGAAATCCCACACGTGCAGAAGACCTGCGTGCGGCGTGGGCGGGGTGAAGCCCGGCTCGCTCTCGATAGCCTTGATCAGGTCTTTGAGCTTGCTCGTCAGGAGGGCCTGATCCTCTGTGGACGGGACGGCGACCATGGTGGCTGGCGGTTGAGAATGCGGTGTGTGCTATAGCAGATTGTGCGTAGGTAAGGCATTGGTCAACGGTCACTCCAGACAGCGCGACTCAGTGAAGCTTCGCCCGAATAATAAAGGCGGTGGCCTCGAAGTGGTTAATAGGTCTCCCGGCTCCGTCTCTCGGTTCCTGCGATGAGCCGCTCCGCTGCGCCCTCCCTGACAGGTCCAAGGTGGGGTTCAAAGATGACATGACGTAGCAGTCATCCGCGGGGCCACACTGGGCTTGGGTAGAGGAGCTTACCCTAGAGCAAACAAGACAGAAAGTCCGCCAGCAAGTTCATGAAAAAAAATAAAAAAATTTGGTAGATGCTAATGATTGATCAATGTGGTATTGGCGGTAAAGAAATACAGCGCTCGGTGAAAACCAAAAAGCCCACCCATCATCTACACACAGTCTCGGTATATCCAAACTGCACTTTCGCAGCGACGTGCCTCGAATCCTTCGTCACGCTGGACATGCGTACTTTTACATGGGTCCCGAACTGTGAGGCATTGCTTATCTCACACCTCCCCAGCGACCGCGCCCGACAGACGACGGTTCCCAAGCCAGCCTCCGGCCAATGTTGCCGAAGCAAAGGCAGCTGCAGAACAGCACGCTGAGCATCCAAATGCCCGTCTCGACGGTCTCCTGAGACGCAATGTGAGCCAGGAGGAATGACGCATCCGCACTCTTCGCCGGCGCTGTCACGGTCCGGTTGGCACCGCCCGGCGCAAGACCGCCGGCCCGGATGAGAGCGAGGTGGGACGACGGCGGCAGGGGCACCATGTGGGGGTCGACGCCCATGGCAATGAGCCAGCCGACGAGACCGACAGCGGCGGAGAGGATGAAGCCGACCTGGGAGCGGTCAATAAGCCACCAAAGAAGAGGGTTGACCATGGCCAGTGTCAGCGAAACTTGGAGGGTCGATACCCAGGCGACTTTGCGCTGTTGCGGTTGTTAGCAGTTGAAACCACATGGCGGGGGTTGGCACTGCTAAAACTTACAATGGCCAGCATGATACCGACAAAGACGCCAATGGCACGCATGACAATCGCCCAATCCGTCGCAGGATCCGAGCCATTGTTGGAATCGGTCTCGACCGTGATCGCGACCTCGTTCTCCCTCGTTTCCTCGCCAAACACGTCGTGCCACAGGCTGTCCAGCCACGGCATCATCCCACCCCATACTGTCGCCGCCATTCCCCAGAAAGCGAGGTTCTTGAAGTTGTGCGACTGCGAAGGGGCCCACGCGTTACCGTCCTGGAACTTGGCGAGCAAGACGCCATACCCCACGCCCAGGGCGAACAAGAGCATCGCGCGCAGGCCATACGAGATGGCAGTGGCCACTGGGCCACAACCTGGCGTCGAGTGTGGCTTGGTGGTGTCCAAGGTTCTGTGGGAGGACCGGCGGCGGTTGACATGGGCCCTTCCGACCATGAGCTCGTAGGTGGCCTCGTCCACGCTTGTTCTGCGGACGGGTGTCCTGGCCCCTGTGCCCCATGGTGTCTCGCCCTCGTCAAAGTCTGCATCTTGGCCGCCGGATGTGGTTGGCGAATAGATGCCGTGCAGGGTCGAGGAGGTGAGGTTCATGGAGGATGGTGACCGGCTCATGGAGGGTGTAGCGTCGGACGGGTTGAGCAGGAACTGGGAGCGGTCGAGTTCTGGACGCTCGTCATGATCACTGTCGTCAGAGGGAGGCGTGGCACTTGTGAGGTTGACATTGAATGGTCGCCGGGGGACTGGCTTCAAAAGCGGAGGCCCGTCGTCTGCCATTGTCGGTGGACGCGTTGATTGAAGGTGTTGTTCTGAAAGGCTGTTGGCGGAATCTGATTCTCCCAATTCTTCGGTTTGCCGGTCGCCTTTTATAATGCTTAATTTAAGGGTATCGAGTGCTCATTTCAAGGTCTCAAAGTTTTTCGCCCTGGCGCGCCGGGCATTCGAGACGTCGAACAGGTGCTCCTGGTGCGGATTCGGAAAGGACGGTCGCTACGTGTGTGGTATCTTGTGCTGTTTTGGAATCTGGCAGGCTCAGCTGTAGTTAACAAGTACAGACTGTATTGAGACAGAGAGAATGTGGTAAAAGAGGAGAGGCGAGGCGAGACACACAACCATGTCCAGGTCGTATTCACATGCGATCATGTGAAGGGAAGGGAAGCAGCCCACATTTGCCATACTTATTAGCGGCGACCCTGGGTCCGCAGCTTGAAGGTCACCAGGCATTGGTGGCAGGCATGGTGCTGCGCTACGCTGCATGACAGCGCTGCAGATCGCGGTCCTCAGCCCACCACGAAGCCGTGCCTGATTGGATCACGCCCCGCCTCGCGTTCACGGCACGCTGGGGCGCTAACATAGGCACCGCACCGTTGTCCCTTGAGCGGGATGCCATCGACTCACTGAGGACTGGATCATCAGTGCTGTTTGCTACACGTCGAGTTTCGATGTTACGCCCATTATACTGCTTCTTCTTCTTCTACTACTCGTCGCTACTATCGTCATCCTCCGCATCCAGACCCTCAAAGTCCTCAAAGTCGTCTTGCTCTTCGTCTCCGTCGGGATGGGGTATCATCAAGTACGCAGCCATGCACATCACCCTGTTCTCGGTGCCGTACGTCCCAATCAGCGCGCCTAGAGGTTGTCCGCCGTCGGCTGCCGCGAGAGAGTTCAATGCACCCCGCAGACCCTCCACACCAATGGCCCATAGCCTGATCTGCCCATCACTGCTCCCGCCCACCACGTACAACGTCTTTCCGCTCTGGAGGACCACGAAATCCTTGATGCGTCCCGTCACGCCGTCGGCTTTCCCGCCTACTTCGCAGACTGTTCGGGCCGTGCCCGGTGCCATTGTGTCCTTGACCCCCGCGATCGTGGTCAGGTGCTCCTCGCGCGTTGACGCAAAGACGATGCGCCCATCCTCCGTCGACACGGCGAGCAGGCTATGCGCTAAGCTGTCCGCGTCCGCGTCTGACGCGCCCTCGTCCGAGAGGGAGAAGTAGCGAACCTGGTGAACCTTTGTCCTTGTCGTCGACAAGATCCTGCACTTGGGCTCACCCGCCATGCGGAACACGACCACGTCACGGTCAAAGCCCAAGGCAAACTCGTCCTCGCCGTCGACGTGGCCCCAGGCAACCCTTTTTCCTTCGCCTGATGTGTATTTGCCCTCGCCAATCTGCTGTAAAAGTTCGCGCTCGTAGTTCAACGCCTTGGCGCGCTTGCCCGTCATCAGATTCCACGGCCTGACCTTCCTCTCGCCCTTGCTCACGCTCATCATGAGCTTCATGCTCGGGTGCACCGCAAAGTCGTTGACGCCCTGCGGCGTGCCGTCGTGGGCCGCCGTGTCACCGCTCGGCCGCCCTTCGGCCTTGGCTATGGGCGCCTTGATGGTCCCGATCAGCGCCCAGTCGCGCGTCCGTGTCACAGCCACCGTAGAGTCCTCGCTCGCCGACATGAGCTTGCCCCTCGTCGGGAAGTCCAGCGCCGTCACGGCGGACGCATGGTGCTCTAGGTTGCCCAGCTCTCGGTTTCGCTTGTTTTCCTTGATCGGTCGGGGCGCAGCGAACTTGAGAGGGTCCTCATCCTGCTCCTTGGGCGGGTGGGCTGACAGGTCGTAGAGGTTGATCTTGGAGTCGTTGCTTCCCGACGCGAGGATGACCTTTTGTGTTTGCCCCGGGATCGGGTTCGAGACGGGGGACACGGCGAGGCAGCGGATGGCTTTGGTGTGGGCGGTAAGGAGGAAGGTGTCGGCAAACTCGACAGACTGTTTCTTTTGCTTCCCGGTGGGAGGGTGTATCTGTGCGGTGAGACCGTGGAGGACGCCGTCATAGAAGCCGACCACTATTTGCAGTGTCTCGGTCGATGTGGTGCTGGCGGGTTTGGGGGTTGTTGACTTGGTGTCAACTGCCTTGGTCTTTTTCGACGCTTCAAGCTCAGGTGTGGGCTCTCCATTGGAGGCTGTGTTCCTTTTGCGCTTAGCCATGACTATTTTCTGTGACACTGATCAATTGGTGGGTGGGATGAACCTTGCGGGAATCTCGCGACAATTGAGCAGATGGACTCAATGGCGGGAGGAAAAAAAAAGTTGCCGATAAGATAAGGTAGCTTAACTACATAATCCCGGTATATGCAAAGACGCCGGGATCCTCTCCCAAGGTACGAATGACTTCAAACATGTTCAAACGGTCATGTCAAAGCCGTCGATTTCCATTTCAGTATGTAGGTCAAGATTCAATGAGCCTGTATTGCATCAACTCTACGAGCAGCAACTAATGCTACTTCTGATTGACACTTGCTGCACGGGATAGGTCTCTGCCCTAATCATAGCAATATTTTCCTTAGTGAGCTTTCGCCAACGCAACGTACGGGAGTATTCTGGGCCAAGTTGTTGCAAACCGCCCGGTGACTGTTCTGACGGCCATTCTGCAAGCGACCGAGTTCGCAAGCCCCCGAGCTCGAGGTATTTGGTTCTGTTCATCATTAATACATGACGAACGCAATTAGCGAGTTGGCTCACTTACAATTAGGCAGACGCGTTGCGTAGAACCAGCCCTCGTCAGTGACAAACCAGCGGCAATCACCCATTTGATCGATGCAAAAGCGGCTGCGCTGGGTCCAGTTACCATCCAACTCGCGTACGTAGTAGAAACGACTGGGATCGTCGTCCGACGGTTTGAACTCCTGCTGTTCAAAGACCCTGTTGCCGTGCGCAAACTGAAGTTGACGGGCCTGCTCCTCGGCCCCCGTGCGACCTAGACCAGAAACGTCGGGATATGGTCCAGTGTTGCCTGCGAGGAAGGGAGGAGGACCTCCGGGACCATTGAAACCCCCGCTTGGTACGGGCTGGTTACCGGGGCCGGTGACGCCGGGCTGACCGGCGCCAAACATCGCGGGCTGGGGCATGTAGACGGCCGTTGGGTTAGCGACGAAGCCGGGTTGCTGAGCTATGAAAGCGCCGGGAGGAGCCTGCTATCGAACTCAGTTAGCAGATGTCTACAGAAAGGGAGACAGAGAGAGGGAGAGAGCGAAAGATGGAGGAGGAAAGAAGACGTCACTTGACACTTTAAGGGCAGAAATGCACATGGCGACTGGCGACTTGCGTTGCAGTGGTAAACGTACCCATCGAGGTAGAACGACCTGCCCAGGGCTGGAGCGACCACGCTCGCCAGAGGTGCGGCAGTCAACAATGCGATGGTGCTGGGAGTATAATGCACGGGGTAACAAACATGAGGAGGAACCGCGCCAGGGGGTATGATGCCATAGGGCGCGGACTGAGGCATCGGCTGCCCAGGTGTCGGATGGGGACCAAGACCATTGTCGAATCGTGGGATATAGACATGGTTCATTGGGCCGTAAGTGGTGTCTGGCACGGGAGGCTGGAAGTTTACACCTTTGGCGAACGGGCCAGCAAGCGGAAAGGCTGCCATGTTGGCTAGATGAGGTTGCTGAGGATAGAAACCGTAGGGTGCGCCTCCAGGGAAGGCAGGGTGGGAATGGACAAGGCTGAACTGAGGTTGAGCCGAGGTATACCAAGGACCTGCGGGTACTGCCTGCTCTTGACCACCAGGTGCAACTCCGAGCGCAGGGAAGTTGGTGGGCTGAGTGTTTATCTCTTCTGGCCGCGACGTTGAGGTCTTGTCAGCGGCGGCAGGTGCGTCCTCGCTGGTCTTTGCCTTCGCTTCGACAGGTAATATTTGGTGTTTGCGGTTGGGGTGGAGAGGGAGGTTGAACGTGGACGACTGTTGTGTCTTGGACGTTGATTGCTTGGCACCGAGGCGACCGCGTATGGCAGGGGAAGATTCAGAAGCTGTTGTTGACTCGTAGCCGTCACTCTGGAAGTGAACGTGACGAGATGGGGGAGGTTTCTCCGGGCGTTGAGTGTGCTTCGGGGGATCTACACCCATTCTTTGGCGAAGAGGAAGAGAAGCAAGAAGCAAAGGTAAGGGGTGTGTGGGGAGAGAAAGGTGCTGTGGCAGGCTGTGCTGGGTTGAGCTCAAATCTCACACTGTGGCGAGAGAAATAATTTTCAGGCGTCAAGAGATGCAGTGTCCTGAGTTCCCTGAGATGAGCGGGAAAAAAACTAAAGCCCGACCTGATCGTGAGGTGAGATGAAAGTGAGGGCCAGCTGGTCCAGTGCGTTCACCGTGGGCTTTTCCCAATCTAGGGGACCAAAAGATTAGAGATGGCCCATTCACTCGAAAGGGTCATCACAATCCGGCCCCGATGGAGTGACGGTACCGAGCATTCTGTGATGGAAGGAGAGCAAACACACCGTTCGTTGCAGAGCCCAAGATCGACCGTCATGAGTCCAATGGCTGTGCTCAGGCAGGCCTGCCAGCGTGTCGAGTGGATCCTCGTACTTTGTCCACGTCCAGGAGAAGCAGGGCAAACACATTGTTGGATGGAGTGAATTTGGATTGAGTTTTGAGGAGCAAAAGAATTGGAAGATGAAGGGGAGAAGATTCTTAAGTGACCATGCTAGAGGGGGCAAAAGCATCACATGCATACAAGGCTTCTCTGCACATCAAATTGGACGAAATGCATGGGATGGCAGATATTCAATGCTGACCACAGCATGATCCGTACATGTGTCGGATTCTATCAACATTTTACGATGTGTCGACCACGTCGTGAGATGTTGTGCAATGTGCTCAAAGGATTTCCTGGTTTTCACCAGAAAGGGGCAATCAAAACAAAGGCACAACCAGACGGTGGGCCAAGCCTAATACCGCCATAATTATGTGAGCCTCACAGACAGCGTTTCCACCAAAAAATACACTTTGGACAAAGACAGAGACAGGGACAAACATTTATCTTGCTGGCGACCGGGGTCTCTTCTTAATTACTGTACCACATCTGCCTGGCAGCTAGGGACATTGCCTCGGTGGCTTCACGTGGCGTTGGAGATTTGACTGAATCATTTTGCGCCTCCAGAATTACCCGCATTACTTCAAGATCTTAGAGCCTCATCCTTGCAAACAGTGTGATGTTGAATTCACAATCAATCCAACATCTTCGCTTCACGTATCCGTACTAATTACATAAAACGATCACGCAGTCATCCTTCTGCCTTCCCTTGCTGTTCCATGTATCTATCCAGAATCGCATCTTCTTCCGGGCTGAAGCCTGACGGTATACTGTAGCTATGCAGGCGTCTATACAGGTCGTTCAATTTTGGAACAACGTGGCGCAACCGAATTATCCAGGGCTGAGATTATCTGTCAGCATCATCTCCCGAAGGCCGCGCGTGGACTTACCCTGACAATCACTGGGACCTGACCCCCCTCAACAGTCTGCTTCAGTTTTCCCAGCACGTTCTCGTCTGAAAGTATGGTAAAGTCTCGCGTAGCCGCTCCGCTCACGCTCTTCAGAAAAAACGGAGACGGTGGAGAGAAAGATCTGCACGCCCACAAGTTCCTCTCGCCTCCAGGGCCAGACGTATACCATGCCCTTTGTAGGTGTGACTTGAGATTCTTGGACTCCCTCAATAGCTCCGGAGGCGCTGAGGCAATGATGGCGCTGATCCCATCCCTCATGCCCTGGATCAGGCGCTCATGGCATGGGCAGTGCACTGGTCTCCACCTCTCCAACGCTACACTCAATTCCTGGAGCGAGATATCCTTGGGAATAACACGAACGCACGCCATCATTCTGCCATCATCGTTCATGTCCAAGATGTAGACCCTGATATATCCCGGCAGGAGCATCTCTTGTCTGCGTAGTCGGCTTCTCACCACCATGTCTGCGAGATCGCAAAAGTCATACTCGTGCCGGACTTCGGCCCAGCTCATGGGCGCTGCACCAGATATATCTCTTCTGTAGTCCCACACATCGACACAATGCTGTTTGACCTCCTGTTCCATCAGCATCAGCAGGGCACTGATAAGACCGGCGCTGGGCACACCACCGGGGGAATGCAAGAGGCCGTGCTGCCGATCAAGTAATCGTGCTTTCCGCGATGGGGCATCTCGATCCGTCAAGCGCAAGTACTTCACGCTCTTGGGTATCTGCCAGATCGTACGAAATCCATCAAAGAACTTTGAGCTCTCGCGGCTGCAGAATGTGATCAGGTCAAGGCTACCATCGTCGCCCACGTTCACCTTGCGCATCCCAAGAAACAGTAGCTCAGCTCGTAGCTGTAGCAATGCCTCCAGCGTCCTCAGGGGCGCGCCGGGTGTCTCTTGGCCCGAATATGGATTGATGGGCAGTTCTAGTCGGAATGATATGAATGATGCTCGTGGATAATGCACTCGCCCAAGGCTCGAATTCTCTTCTGTTGACATCGTGTTCTTTGATCTGAAGGGGGTCTAGTGGTAATCTGAGCATACTGGTGACCCAGCCTCCGCTCTGAGTTTCGGTGACATGCGCGAGGGTCGCCAGGAAGATGTACTTGGGTGTCTGTCAGTGCTGAGGCGTTTCGAATTCAACAGTGTGATGGACGAGGAAGACACCATAAAGTGACTTTGAAAGAAGGGCATGATCCTCCATTTGCATATTAAAGCAGGTGCATGAGTGACGCAAGAGCGAACCTAGAACGGACACAGAGCAGGTGATGTTGAGCTGAGTCACGGGTGAGTGAAAGTACATGTACCTGGTAGCGACGTACCTAGAAGTACCTGAACATGGAATCAGTGCGTCAACTATCCCCAAGCACAGTAACTCCACGATCAGACAAACATGAGAACCCGACAGGATAGCAACTCAATGCTACTCCGTACCAACGAAAGACACATTGATATGATAGAGTATTGATTAATGACGTTTGCAGCCCAGACGCCCCAGCCTCCGCGGTCTATGCTCGATGCCCGGAATCCTAGTGTAATGTACAAGCAACAAAGACTCATCTGTCCAACCGTACATTGGGAGTAGAGTAGAGAGCTCACCCCGTGAACCATGCTTTATAAGAAACAAGCGCTGTATTGCAGCATATACAAGGAAAGATGTGACTCTCATCCACTCTCTTCATGCGAACATCCTCGCCTGGCCGTCGTCGGGGCCAGACCTCATGCCTTTTTTTTTTTTCCGGTGAGTAATTATAGGGAGAGCTTGATAGTTTACAGCGAGTCGGAGGTGCTGACGCCAGCAGCCTGCTCCGGCACAGGGAAGAATGACCGGCGGAAGACCTGGCGCGTCAGTTAGCAACTTTGGCTGACAAGGGCTTGGCAGCATGCATCGATGCAAAGGGAACTTACCGCCCAGGCGCCAGCCACGGATCCGACGAGACCGGCCGAGATCATCATCGGCCGCAAGCCCCGTGTGCTCTTGAACACCATACCACTCAGCGCACCCGCGGCGACCGAGTTGGCCGCATCGTGCTTGCCCCGAAAGTACCCGATCAGCGAGTTGATGCAGTTGTATGTGATGGCCACGGCGCCCGCCGAGTTGCCCAGGTAAGGACCACGGCGCGTCACGGCGTTGAGGACGGAGTTGAGGCGCAACTTGGGTGCCTGCCCGGCGGAGCGGCGGAGGCCTTCCTGCAGACCCCACGCGCCACCAAGCGTCAGTCCGGAGAGATATGTGACACCAGTGCCGTAGCAGAGATCGTCGGTGAAGCCGCGCGATGGCAGGACGGACTGGGAGCCTGAGAGGTCGGAGAGGACGCCGTCTTCGAGAGTGAGGTACTCGAGGGAGTCCTGGTTCAGACCAGCGAGCGGGTGGAGTTGTGAGGGGTCGGAGAAGGCGGAGTTGTTGAGGAAAGACTCGACGCCCTGTCCTTCGGAGGGATCGTACGCGCGGGTGGTTGTCGAGGTGGTCTGTTGAGGAGCGCTATATGATGTGTCGTGGGATTGGGGCTGCTGGGGCTTATTGCCGCCCGTCAGAGCAGTCCATACCGATGACATTGTGCAGAATATGTGAAAAAATTGTTCCTTGGTATCGCCAGGGCCAAAGGCAAATGTAATTAAAGAGTGATCGTGGTTGTGTGGATGATGATCTGAAGTGCTGTCCCACCCAGGAAGTCAAGATATCAGAAAATTTGGTGATGCGCGCTCGCTCGGTCGCTCACTCGCAGCTGGACTCCTGGCTGGCTGCCACGGTTCGCCAAAGCCGTCCGCCCCAGCCAAAGCCGAGCACGTTCACGTGACTATGCAGCTAAGCCGCACTCGGCCAGTGCACAGACCCACAGCTCACTCATGATAAAACCATCGCCGTCGAAATTTCTTTGCTTGGTTCTTTTTCTCTCTTCATCATCAGTAAGGGTTATTTCTACACCGTCAAGTGTTTTAATAATTTCTTCATGGCGGCTCCACAATGTGGCTTGCTGAGGGTTATCCTCGATTCTCTGTGGATTTCCTTCCGTTCCCGGCCTCCTAAAGTAAAGTGAACGCCTTTCCTACCAGCCGCGAGATTCGTCTTCGACTCGTGACTGTGGGGTGTTCTCGACATGCTTTACCACCGTTGTAATCGTGTATTGAGCTTGCGCAGGCATCTTAAGCCTGAAAGTGGCGTGACCAACTCTACTCCCACGCTGCGCTGGCGTAGACGCGCTCTAGAACCTCACGGTGACTTGAGTGGCAATGTTCTCCTGCCAGTCCTGCGTTCAGATGCGATTTTGCAGGCGTTTACGACAGCAGCACCACGAACGCGGTGACGAAGACTTTTCAGCTGGTCCGTTGCCGAAAGTGAACGCTTGAGAACAGGATGTTGCGAACTTATTAAGGCTCAAAAGCAAATTGATTGTTACAAGTTAAACAAACGGCTGTTTGTCGTACAGGTCCCCCGACAAAATTACATTTTCGCAGCCAACTCCTGTCATGCACGCCAGTGTGCCAAAACAATAGAATACAATGCAGCGTCGCTACCTGGAGTCTTCTCGTGCCAGCAATGGCCTCTGGTCCCATCTATCGTTGTTGATGCTGTCCTCGTCGTCGTCCACACCATTGACCAGCAAAGGACTGTCTTCCGAGTTGCCGTTGTAGATGAAATATTGCGCAAAGACCCCAAGGTCCAGCAATAGTGTCACAAGCGCGCCCAGCAGCCAGCTCAGGTTCACGAGAATGTACCGCCCGTATATCCTCTGCGCCTCGCCAGGCATGCAATGGTTTGCATGCTGGCAGTTCGGCTCGTAGGCGAAGATGGACAGCACGTACGTGAGATTTCCCAGGCAGGCGAAGAGGAAGAAGAGCATACTAAGCCCATCGGTCGTTTTGCGCCTCCAGTTCAGGATCAGCTGCGGTAGGCGTGAGGCGATGTAAGAGACAGCGCAGAGCCAGCCAAACACCTGTCCAAGAACATTGAACTCCAAAGGCTCGTCTTCATCGCGACGCGAAGAGCCGTCGTTTTTCGTGGCCTTTTGGCCGAGGAACCATCCCAGGATGCCAGCAGCAACAACCATGCCCACCGCCAGCGTATTCCAAAGCACCGTCTGCAACGCGGTCGGGGGCGCCGGAGCTGGCGTATCGGCAATGTGAGGGACTGCAGGCGACAATCCAGACCAGTCTGATCCACGGCGCTCGCGCGAATGAGCACGCTCTAGCAAATTTGTTCGTTCGTTCGGTGCGTCGTGCGCATTTGTGGCTGGCTTCGGTGCAGGCGAGGCGGGTTCGTCACGCCAAGTGAATCCTCGGTAGTAGAAGCATTGCGCGAGGAGGACAATATCAGCAATCGTGTAGTAAAAGGCCAGGATGATCTACCAGGCGTCAGCAATGTCCGTTCCACCAAGAGGGTGCTGTTGGATCACCATTGTCGGAAGGACGCCCTGCAAGACGGCACCAAGGATGTTGAAGACATCTCCCACTAGCCAAACTATAATGAATTGGACGGAAAGAGCGTCGGCACTGCTGCGTTGGAAGTTTTGGATGATCTGAGGAGAGAAGACGACGACTGTGACACTGTTAGGAATGGATCGCTCGGCTTGGCAAGCCCTTCACGTACCCCAGCAGGCAATCGAGACGGAGCTGCGCCGGTTAGTCGGTCAATTCGTGTCTAGGGGTCCTCTGGATCTCACCCGCAAATACCAGAGATAGCGGCAACGTCGAGGTTAAGACTTTCGGTAGGAGGCGCCATCTTGCCGCGCGCACAGAGCAGTTGCGAAGATTTGGAGGATGGCAAAATTGTCGAGCCCTCAAAACCTCCTATTAAAAGGCGACTGGGAATTCTTGGGAGCAAAGGAGCCTTGACAATGTTGTGACAATGCTGCAAGGTTGAAAGAAAGGAGAGAAACAGACTTTTCCTAGGTGACTCGTAACTGTCGATCTGGGTCAGTCGCGGCACGTGGTGCGAACTCGGTCACGTCACTTTCTGCATGCTCAATCCGTTCCGCTTCCGTTCCGCTTCCAGATCCAGGCAGGGCCAAAATGCGGGGGGGGGGGGGGTGCAATGAATGAGAATCGCAGGTGCTTCCCGTTCGACAAAATCTGGTTCAGTGTACCCTACAGTATGCTGATTTGGGGTATGGTGTGAACAGCGATTACATGGCATGGCACCTTGACTGTCAAGACCTCCTAAAACTACTGCAGCTGCTGTCTTTTATTTTATTTTTTTTGGATGTCTTCACCTCCAACAATCGCGCAGCATAACGCCGAGATATGGCCACTTCTTTCACCACCCTTCCGGAGCCGCGGCTTTGGACCCTTCAAGGTGGAACCACCCGCATTATCAAGCAAGTCATTACTCATCCGTTAAACCCCCACAAGATGAGGTGCTCGCCACATGCTTCTGCTTGCTTCCTTACGAACAGTGATTCTCATCGATTTCCTCCAGTGCTGTCAGCTTGACAAACGACCGTTGCCTCAGAGACAAGAAGCCAACATGTCCAACTCAGCTCTACCCGAGGTGTCCTATCTCACCAACGACGACTCGATGCTCTCCCGTCGCTTCGGCAAGGAGATTCTCAACTACTACGCTGGAGGCACGCTGAACCGGTACTCATTCTTGCGTCCAGATACTGCTTTCTTGAGCAGAGCCGCGACGCAACCCAACACGCGGTTCGTTGCGCTCAACGGACTCAACCCGCTGGTGAAGGAGCAGACAGATCTACAGTACCTCAAACTGGATGACGTGAAGCCCCTCATTGGGGAACAGCCATTTGTATTGAGCGAGGAGGACGAGATCAAGAATTTCGACTCAAGCAAAAAGAACCCGCTGCTGGTATTTCTAGGATTGCTGGACGATGAGAGCGCCGAGGAGATTGCCACTACCAACCATGGCAGCGTAAAGGGTCAACCCTTTTTCGCGGTGGACATCACACCGAGAGAGCCCTTTACCGAGGCGGCTACAGCATTGCTGAAGGACCAAGAAGCCCAGGGGGCCAGCGTACAAGCGAGTCCCATGAAGATGGTCCTGCATCCTGAGTCAGGTATGTGGTTCCAAGAATAGGTACATTCCACGAAAATCCAGACGAGACTGACAGGACAGCTGCCATTTATGCTCAAGCCCGCTCCATGATCGATTGGAACACGCGGTCACCGTTCTGCGCTGGCTGTGGCCAACCCTCGCTCTCGGTCCACGCAGGTTACAAACGCGTCTGCCCGCCCACAGATGCCGCGTCCTCCACGCCTCGGGGTGAGTGCCTCACTCGCCAGGGGGTTTCCAACCTGTGCTTCCCTCGGTCCGATCCCACCATGATCGCAGCTGTTGTTTCGGCGGACGGCCAGCGCGTCCTATTGGGCAGGCAAAAGCGCTTCCCTCCTCACTGGTACTCCACCCTTGCAGGTTTCCTCGAGCCTGGCGAGTCCATTGAAGAAGCCGTGCGCCGCGAAGTCTGGGAGGAAGCGGGTGTCTACGTGGGCCGCGTCGTCATCCACTCATCGCAGCCATGGCCCTATCCCTCCAGCCTGATGATCGGTGCCATTGCGCAGGCTCGGCCCGGCAAGGAGGACATTGTACTGAATGACAAGGAGTTGGACGATGCAAAGTGGTTCAGCATCGACGATGTGCGCACAGCGTTGAACATTGGCACAGGAGGTTTAGGCGAAGGTCCACCTGAGGGATACAAGGAGGGCGATTTGAGGCTGCCACCCGCGCAGGCTATCGCGAACAGACTACTCTCGGCCGTGGCAGAGGGATTCTTGGTAGCTGTGCCAAAAATATAGATATTTAACTTGGATTTATTAGACTGCCATCCCCATGGGCTTGAAAGTGAAGCCTTCCATTTGAGGGGTCGCTAACGGCTCAATGTGGCCCTGCTCGTAGCGCAGGAGCCAGACAGCATCTGCGTTGATGGTCTCGAGGGCTTCGCGCACTTCGGCACTCTTCTCGAGCGTCTCTGTGAGCAAGCCAAGAATATCTTCAAACATGTCTTCGGAAATCTGGACGTGCAGAACCAAAGACGTGAGGAGGCCCACAGCACTCTCCCAGAGCCTGACAGGCGAGGCGTGCTGACCTAGGCTGCCCAGGCTATGTTCCCTTGCTGAAGGCTTGGCTTGGAAGACCGTTCCATCAGCAGTAGGGATCATGATATTGTCGTCGCCCCCAGTTTGTCGTGTTGCTGTCCTATGCGATCTGGTCGCCAGCGCTTGGCGCTTCACTTTCTTGAACCATTGTCCAAGCCCGTCGCTCCATTCTGTTTTGAAGCGGCTAGAAAGAAAGTCCCCTGCCGCCACACAGAGCGCTGACAAGGCCTGACAGGCTTCGACCGCGACAAATGTCTCGGGATCGTATAGTCTGCTCAGCACGACAGGCCACACTGCGTGCACGAGGGGGAGGAACGCCTCTTCGTCGGCTGCCAAGGCAGGTGAAGCTGTGGATAGAAGCTCAAGCAATGATCGCCGCAGTCGCGGTGTTGGCGACGTCAAGTAATGCTGTGTGAGTGTCGTGATTCGTAGAAGAAGCTGGTACGTCACGGAGTTGGGGGGCTTCTCCGGCTCAGGAGGTGGCTGCTCTTCCGTGGCATCGTCCTCTGCTCCCGGCTGCGAGTCGTCCTTCCACGGGGCGGCAGGATGGCCCTGTGACGCCTTTGCTGTTTTGGCTTCTTCCGCTTCGTATTCCTGCCGCTGCTTTCGGCGGTGGAGAAAGTCCAAAAGCCCTTGCAACCCAGCTTGCTGTGGCCGCTGCTTTCTATGTGTTGGGACGGACGTTTTCTGACCTTTGAGTAGGAGCTTGTCTGATTTGATAGCTTGATCAACGAGTTCCTTGAGTACGGCGAACAGCGACTCAACAAACACTGGATAGCCATGGTAGTTCTCGAGAGCCGCAAATATTGACTCGACCACATCGTCAAGGAACGGCACGAGGCGTGACCCGGCCAAGCGGATCATCATGGTGAGCACCTGCATGGACGCAGGGGAAATGTCAAGACTGTTGAGGCGCAGCGCTATGGAGTTGACCATGTAATCAACGTTTTCGATGATCAACATCGAGACGTCCTTGTACCCAGAGGCTAGAGCCATGCCGTTCAACGTCACGATGGCGTGCTGTCGCAGTGCGTGGTCCTCTGATCCTAGTAAAGTGACAACAGGGAACAGCACGTCGATGAGTTCCGGCCGGAAGGCTTTGCCCATCCTGGTAGCCGCGTGTAAAACCACCTCGAGTGACAAGGCCTCTAGCCGCCAATCGACCGCTTCGCCTTCAGTGTGAGCATCGAGGGTCTCGACCGCGAACGAGTACAGCTCCTGAAAGACATCGTCGGTACCCCCGTCGGGACCGGAGAAAGCCGACAGGTCGAAAACACTATCGGTGGCCTTGGATGCCGATTGTGCAGCCTTCACTATTTCGAAGCAGAGCCAGAAACCGGCAATTTGGTAGTTTGATTCGGGCGTCCGGACGTAATCCAGCAAGTTCATCACGAGCTTGGATGGTTTGAAGTGTGCACCAATGACACCCAGAAGACCGAGCATCTCCTTCCTGGTCTCTTTCTGACTGCCGTGCCCAAGGACCACGGGGGCGTACTGGGCTTCAACGCCTTGCACTGTCAGGCTGCTTTCATTGCCAAGGATAGCTTGGTTGGTGACCCGGGACTGCGACTTGGGTTCCTCCATCAGGATGACCACGCTATCCCTCAGCGTACTGGAGATAGTATCATCGAGCGTCGAAGACTCGATCTGCATCTCCTGCAGCAGGCCGATGCCCTTGGAAATGTTGTGCAGTGCGCTCGTTTTCACATCTTCGTCATTCGACTGCATGAGGCGCGAAAGGCTCGACATCCATTGATACACGGCCGTCTTGGCTTTGTCGCCGAGCTCAGGGTAGATTGTGATCAGGTCCCGTAGACTGGTCTCGGTGACAGACCCCTTGCTGTTCGCATCCTCGACGATCATGGCAGTCTCCACCAGAATAGACGCGGAGTCTTTTAGAGTAGTGTGAGATTCGTCCAGTAGCCGAATGCAAAGACTGCGCAGTGCATCACGCACCTCCTCTGAGCCATTGCCTCGCAGCTTCATAAATCCAGACAAAGCGACTTTGATCTGTCCTGTGGTAGCCTTCAGCCATGCTGGACTTAGCAAGTCATTCGATGAAGCCTCGGGCTCTTTCTCGGCTTGTGCAAGGATGGTTCGAGTCTGCATGTCGCCCAGTACCCGCGTAATAACCAATGTGGCCGTTTCCAGGCTGGCGACCAGCACTTTTTTCCGGTATCTCGTAGGCGTGGCAAGCATCTTGGCTACCGTTGAGACGACGCCTGGCAAGAAGTTGGCCAAGGCTTCTCGATCCCGTAAGCTGGTGTAGATTCCCTGTACCGCCCTCAAAGCCTCCTGCTGGATCAGGTCTGTCTGCCCATCCTGAGCCCCATTGAGTATGACCGTAATTCCATGACCAAGCGCGGGAATGGCGTCCAGCTCGGCAAGATTCGTGGCGCCGGCAATCGAACCACCTACGACTCTGAAAAGCGCACTGAGTGTACGATAACACTCCAAAACCAGCTCTTCGGGAACCTCTTTGCGTTCCTTTTTCGAGCCCGGATTGCCCTCGATGATGAAGGTGACCAAAGTCAGTATCTGCTGCACCATTTCCCCAGGCAGTTTGCTTTTCCAACCATGCTCAATCAAGATCCTCAGGCACCGCACACACTTCTCAATCAACAGCATCGAGAACACGTCGAGCTGACGGAAGACGTGGTACAGCGGGAAGAATACATATTCTGCCAGCTTCTCATCCAACGACGATGGATTTTTGTTGACTTGCTCGGTCAGGATGGCCAGGATCTGCGTGGTCAAGGCGAGAAGTTCTCGCTGCGATCCCGGTGAGGCCGCATCACGAATAGCGAGCTGGCTGACCTTGACGCAGGATGGCTTGAGCTGCACCATGTCAGTCTGCGCACTGGAAGACAGTATCCGGGTACGTACCTTCTGAAAGACCTCATTGCGAGCCTGGATTTGTGGTTGCACCTCCATGGTAGCGTCAGGAAGCTTCTTTACCTCATCTTTACAAAGATAGTATTTCCGGGAGTCGTGTAGCTGAACGGCCTCTGGCCAATTTTGGGAAGACAATATGTCCAGGAGTTTTGCCCCGGGGTCGAAGGCGATTGCGATATGCGTGACTGAAGCTTGCGAAGCTTCGAATTTGGATGGCAACTTCGGCGAGTTGGACGCGCACGGTGCTAAGCACGTCTTCTGAGTATTCATACTGTATTAGCACTGTATGTCTGCAAGGTGAACACACGACATTGACATCATCGTCAACTACATCAACCTGTGCATCCCTCGTGTCATTTTGATCGAGAATCGCCGCAGAGCCTCAAAAACACCCAGATTCCCGAGAAAGGGGGAAAACTTACTTCGATATGACTTGGGAAGATGAGCCCTTCTCCGTTGCTGTCCATCCGTACCCCTCCCGCACCCGCAAGAGCGCCGCATACGAGCTGGGCAACACCAACGCAAAGAACGCCCTGATATTCATCGGCGGACTGAAAGATGGCCCTCACACTACGCCTTATATTCGGGCAGTGGCCAACATCATTGAGAAGCGCGACAACCTCGACTACTCAGTCTTTGAGATCCGCTTGAGGAGCTCTTGGTTGGGCTTTGGAACCTCAAGCTTGAAGAATGACGTTGAAGATATATCAGCTTTGGTGAAGTATCTCAGGGGAAAGGGCAAGCAAAAGATTGTCTTGATGGGGCATTCGACCGGCACGCAAGACTGCATGGAGTACACGAACTATGCGAAGCACGGGGCTGAGCCTGTCGAGGGCTTCATCCTGCAGGCACCTGTCTCTGACCGCGATGGCCTCGATATTGTAGCCCCAAACTGGAAGGAGTGCCTCGCTACAGCGGATCAGATGATAGCAGACGGCAAATCGGATTGGTGCATGCCCAAGGATAAGGTACCCAACGTGCTTGGGGCTCCCATCACTGCCTACCGACTCAGGTCGTTGATTGCCAAGGAGTAGGTGCGCCCTCACAAAGAAGCCGAAAACTGCTGACGAGGACCAGTGGTGACGACGATTACTTCTCTGCCGATCTGGAAGACGCCAAGGTGCGCAAGTACTGGGGTCGCTTCAAGGCACCAGTGCTGGTGCTGCACTCGGAGAAGGACGAGTTTGTCCCTGACGATATTGACCAAGCAGCTCTGAACAAGCGATACAAGGAAGCCAGCCCAATGGTGAGCCCACTTTCAGACCTCATCCCCAACACTGGGCACACAGTGCTCGAGGATGAGGCTAGGGAGTGGTTGGGGAAGAAAGTGTGCGAATTCCTCGAGACACTGCAGTGAGATCATTGGACGATGACTCACTGTGCTGGTTCTTATTACTGAGGGGGCGCTGGGTACTATCTCGGACAGAGGCACGTCATGGTGTGGGATCGTAGCTACGTAGGTTCGACAGCGCGTCAATGAGAACCTCACCACAGGTTCTGGAAAGCCGGATTCTTAGCACACTAGCCCATCTCAAAAATTATCTAGGGGTGGTTGGTATCTTTCCTGGTATTATCAAAGAATCGACGCTTCCGGTGTGCAAGCCACTGGAGGGTAGCTCGCGTGCCAGCGAGACGAATCTGTTACTAGATTGCGTAGCATCTCGTCCATGTCTTCTTTTATTTTTCAAGAAGATCTATCTGCTTGCGAAACGCTGGTTCCTCCAGAAATGCCAGGCGGCAAGGGTGACTGCGAGCGGCGGACACGCCAGCAACACCCAGCTCCAGAGCCCGTTGCTTTGTGCCTTTAGCCCACGCATCACCTCATCAAGCTGTATCGTGAGCTCCTCCTTGGTCCCATCGTTCCACACTACATGTCCTCCCCGGGTCTCGCTCCATTTCGCCTTGGTTCTCACATCTGTCTGGCTGCGCACCCTGTTCTCTGCGTCTTCGCTGGTAAGGTGCGCGTCTCGCTCTCGTAGTCGGCGCATCTGTATTTCCGGATCGCGGACACCCACGACCAGCGTCGTCCCGCAGAAACGGTCCAGTTTGGACTCGAACAGCAGTGGGACATCGAGCACCACGGCCCAGCATCCTGTGAGGTAGCACCACAGCACCTTGCGCGCCATGGCCCACCGGACCGCCGGGTGAACAATGCCGTTCAGCACTGCCCTGTCCTTCTTACGTTCATCGCTGTCGCCAAAGACGCGTCGACCCAGCGCTGGTCGGTTGAGTGGGCGTCCATTGCCGGTGGGTCCATTCTCGGGCATGGAGTCGGATGGCCCGACCAGGAGATCAGGCGTCGTGGGACCAAAATGCTTCACGATCGCCGCATAGCCCATTGTGCCGGGCTCGACGACCTCGCGGGCCAGGACATCTGCATCCACGATAGGCAGGGAGTGAGGCGGCGAGGAGAGGATGGAGGAGACAGTGGATTTGCCGGTGGCTATTGAGCCAGTCAGGCCGAGAAGAAGCATGGCGCGGGAGTATGTGAGTGGGCTTGGTGCGTTGTCTTTGAGTTTGTCAATCGGCGCTGGACTTATGGTGCGTTGATAAGTGAGGCAACGTTGCTCGTTGCGGGCCAGCCTTCTGGTGTTTGCAGGCCACCTGTTCCCATTTGGTTGCACAACTCCTGCTAACAGTTGCTTCCTACGAGTGAGAAACGGCAACTGGGTGTTCAAAAACTGCAATCGTGCTCAAAGGCGGCGAGATTATGACCTAATACATGAACTTTAATCAAATAATCCGAGCGCGTCGAAGGTTGGGAGGTTGAAGGTAAAGGAAGGTTATGTCGATAAATGAGATAAGGCCTTGGGAGGAACCTGCCGTGTAACGGGTCGCTCCTGCTGACTAAGAAGCGTCGTGCAGAGGGTCCCTCTGTCCAAAGGGCTGATTTTCTTTATTAAATTAGATCTGATTACTCTATTTGTTGAATCGCATAGCATCTCATGGGTTAGACCCTTTTCTTCTTCCCTTTTCGAGAACATCTGTTGATCGTGAACGCTGCGGGCGGCTGACAAGACGCCCCGCTCGTCAGCTGCGAACATGGGGGCTGCCGCCAGGACCTGCATACCGATAAAACCGATGGCAATGGTCCGGTTGAAATTTGTCTGCTACTATTGGCTGTATTGTTGACTCACTGCATTAAGTCTGGGCCAGCAGGGGCACCAGCTCCGCTACACCGACATTGGTTTGTGGGAAGCCGCCGTCCGGATCGCATCCGTGTCATACGGGCTGACAAAGCATCCATCGCTTTTCTTGCTGACTGAAAGCTTGAACACAAACCCTTGTCCTTGAATCTCAATTCTTTAGCCTGTGTCAAGATTTGGCAATCCAGTCCGACGCCTGCTTCCGGCGGAATTGAACTTTGTTGTTCGCGAAATCTATCATAAGTACATCTTCCATGATACGTGCCAGTGACGACGTCAGATCGAACTCCAAGCCCCTAAAATAAAAACCGTCGACGTCCTCGTCATTGCCTGCCCCACTACGACCGCCGGCAACATCCGCTGCTCTAGCATGACGCGCCGATTGTAGGTGACGCAAACCCTCACTGTCTCTCTAGAGTCTCTCGCCAGGAGCACCATCGCGACGAGAGAATGGACTACGCCAGCGAGCAACAGATACTGCTGAGCTCGGGCTCGTTCACGGGCCGTCGCCCTTTGCAGCAGCTCGGCAGCGACTACCTCTCAGCCACAGCTACCGGTCGACAACCACTATGTGGGAATAAAGAAGGATGGGGGCCCATGAGTCCCTTTCGATACGACTTTACGCCTTGCTTCATTGACGTTTGGATCGCCATCGTCGCGGTCGGAGGCTTGGTTCTGGGTCTTGGTTCCGTCTGGTTCCTGCGCAAGAAGAAGCCCATTGCGACGGGCGTCAAGGATATGCCGTTCTTCCTGAAGCAGGTAGTGCTCATTCGAGTGCAGAGACAGTACGTCCGCTGACAAGACTCTGTAGTCCTTGCTCGCCGCATTCATCGCCGACGTGGTCGCTCAACTTACCATCCAATTCATCAACTACGGACCGATTGCGTTTGGCGACTTTCGTGTGTGGACCACCGTATTGACGATTGCCTCGGGCTGCGTCATCTTCTGCATCCAATGGCTCGAACAATCTCGACTGCGCTATGCTCACGGCGTGGTGCTCTTCTACTGGCTACTCCTGATCATTGCTTCGGTTGTCAAGCTGCGCTCCCTCGTGTCCCAGCAGCTGTACGCCAAGAGCCTGCCATACTTCATCGTCTACTGCGTGGGAACCGGCCTGGCGATGGGAGTCTTCCTGATTGAGTGGCTCTGGCCACGTAACACGCGCGATAGTCGGTACGATGCCATCGACGAGGAGGAAGAGTGCCCGATGGAATATGCCTCTGTGTTTTCCTGCCTGACTTTCGACTGGATGACACCTCTCATGAGGCGCGGCTACAAGATCTTTCTCTCCGAGAACGATCTCTGGGGCCTGGCGAAACAGGACCAGACCAAGAGGACGGGTTCCGCGTTCGACGATGCATGGCAGAAGGAACTGAAATATCGACCCAACAAGCCCAGCCTCTGGATTGCCATGTTCCGTGCCTACGGTGGCCCGTACATGGTTGCCGCCATCTTCAAATCCATCAACGACGTTACCCAGTACGTACAGCCACAATTGCTACGCTTCTTGATCGCATTTGTCGCTTCGTACCAGACTCAGCGTCCTCAGCCAGTCGTACAGGGCGCCGCGATCGCATTCGCCATGTTTGCCTGCGCAACGCTCCAGACGACCATGGTACACCAATATTTCCAGCGCGCCTTCGAGGCTGGTATGCGCATCAAGGGTGGACTGGCGTCCGCCATCTATCGCAAATCCCTGAAGTTGTCCAACGAGGGACGCGCCTCCAAAACAACCGGTGACATTGTCAACTACATGGCCGTCGATGCTCAGCGTCTTCAGGACTTGACACAGTGGGCGCAGCAGGCCTGGTCTGCTCCCTTCCAGATCATCATCTGCATGGTCTCCCTCTACAATCTCGTCGGATGGTCTATGCTTGCCGGCGTCGCTGTCATGATCATCATGATGCCCGTCCAGGGGTTTACCGCCAAGCTCATGAAGAGCATGCAGAAGAAGCAGATGAAGAACAAGGACGCAAGGAGTCGACTCATCAACGAGATCATCAACAACATGAAGGCCATAAAGCTTTACGCCTGGGGCCAGGCATTCATGAACCGGTTGAACCACGTGCGAAACGACCAGGAGCTGAAGAACCTACGCAAGATCGGAGCTACCCAAGCCGTGGCCAACTTTACATGGTCAAGCGCCCCGTTCTTCGTTTCCTGCTCGACGTTTACGGTCTTTGTTCTTACCCAAGATCGCCCTCTCACCACGGACATTGTTTTCCCTGCGCTGGCGCTCTTCAACCTCCTGACCTTCCCGCTCGCCGTTCTTCCCATGGTCATCACTGCCATCGTCGAGGCTACCGTTGCCGCCGGACGTATCACCGACTTCCTCTGCGCCGAGGAGCTTCAGTCGGACGCGGTCACCATCGGACCTGCTCCTCAGGCCTATGGTGAAGAGTCCGTCATCATCCGCGAGGGTACCTTCTCATGGAACCGCCACGAAGACCGCCTTGCGCTGAAGGATATCGACTTCACCGCCTACAAGGGCCAGCTTACTTGCATTGTGGGCCGTGTCGGATCCGGCAAGTCGTCTCTCTTGCAGAGCATGTTGGGTGATCTTTACAAGGTTGCCGGCACTGCTGAGATCAGAGGCACTGTCGCCTACGCTTCTCAGCAGACATGGATACTCAACGCAACCGTTAAGGAGAACATTGTCTTTGGCTATCGGTACGACTCTGATTTCTACGAGAAGACGATCAAGGCATGTTCACTCGTGGATGACTTTGCCCAGCTCCCTGACGGTGATGAGACGGTTGTCGGCGAACGTGGTATCTCCTTGAGTGGTGGACAGAAGGCCCGTGTGTCTCTGGCACGAGCCGTTTACGCCCGTGCCGACATTTACCTTTTGGACGATGTCCTCTCGGCTGTAGACTCCCACGTTGGCAAGCACATTATGGAGAACGTCCTTGGTCCCCGTGGCCTGCTGTCTTCCAAGACCCGTGTTCTAGCTACCAATGCCATTGCCGTACTACAACAAGCTAGTTACATCACCCTGCTCAAGGATGGCCAAATCGTCGAGAAGGGCACCTACAGGGAGCTCTCTGCCATGGGAGGCAGCGTCGCCGAGATGCTCCGTACCGCTGGTCAAGACGGCAATGGATCCGGCTCCGGGAGCTCCAGTGGCTCTACGAGCGAGACATCCACCGTAATCGAGGCCCCTGTCGACAGCCAAACAAAGGAGGAGATTGAAGAGAGCCAGGAGCGAGTGCCTGAGCTGGCTCCGATCAAGGCCGGTGCTTCCGCCCCGGCCAAGCCACGCTCGAGCAGCATGGCCACCCTGCGTCGTGCTAGTACCGCGAGCTTTAGAGGCCCCCGTGGTAAGCTCACGGACGAGGAGATCGCCGGCAACTCCCGCTCGAGGCAGACGAAGGAGTTTATTGAGCAGGGCAAGGTCAAGTGGAGTGTATACGGAGAATACGCCCGCGAGAACAACCTCATCGCTGTCGCATTCTACCTGGCCACCCTTCTCACTTCGCAAGCTGCCAGCATGGGTGGTTCGGTTTGGCTGAAGGAATGGTCAGAAGCTAATCAGAAGACGGGCCTCAACAAGAACATTGGCATGTTCATCGGCATTTACTTTGCCTTCGGTATCGGATCATCGCTTCTCAACGTTGCTCAGACGCTCATCCTTTGGATCTTTTGCTCCATCGAAGCGTCCCGCAAGCTCCACGAGCGCATGGCCAATGCCATCTTCCGCTCCCCCATGTCCTTCTTCGACACCACCCCCACGGGCCGCATCCTCAACCGCTTCTCTAGGTACGTCTTGCCCATGCCATGCTACCGTGACACTGCACACTGACCGGTGCCGCCAGTGATATCTACAAGGTCGATGAGGTTCTTGCCCGCTCGTTCAACCAATTGTTCGTCAACGCTGCCAAGTCTTCGTTCACGCTTGTCATCATTTCCGTTACGGTGCCTGCCTTTACGGCCCTGATCATCCCCCTGGGGCTCATGTACTACTGGATCCAGCGGTATTACCTGCGCACGTCGCGTGAGCTGAAGCGTCTCGACAGTGTCAGCCGCAGCCCCATCTACGCCCACTTCCAAGAGTCTCTGGGTGGTGTCTCGACGATCCGCGCGTTCCGTCAGCAAGATCGCTTCGAGCTGGAGAACGAATGGCGCGTCGATGCTAACCTGAAGGCGTATTTCCCCTCCGTCAGCGCCAACCGCTGGCTCGCTGTTCGTCTCGAGTTCATCGGCGCCTTTGTCATTCTCGCTGCGGCAGGGTTCGTCGTTATTGCCAAAGCTGGCGGCAGCCCGCTCGGGCCCGGCATGGTCGGTCTGGCCATGTCGTACGCCCTCCAGATCACGGGTGCCCTCAACTGGATCGTCCGTCAGACCGTCGAGGTGGAGACCAACATTGTCGCCGTGGAGCGTGTACTCGAGTACGCCAGGCTACCGAGCGAAGCCCCCGAGATCATCCCTAACAAGAGGCCCCCTGTTGCCTGGCCGTCCAAGGGCGAGCTTGACTTTGTCAACTACAGCACGCGTTACCGCAAGGGCTTGGACTTGGTGCTCAAGAACATTAACCTGGATATCAAGTCTCACGAGAAGATTGGCGTTGTTGGGCGCACCGGTGCCGGCAAATCTTCCCTGACGCTCGCTCTGTTCCGTCTCATTGAACCGGCCACGGGCCACATTGGCATCGATAACCTCGATACCTCCTCGATTGGTCTGCTTGATCTCCGACGCAGACTCGCCATCATCCCCCAGGATGCGGCTCTCTTCGAGGGATCGGTCCGCGACAACCTCGATCCCGCACACGTGCATGACGATACGGAGCTTTGGAGTGTTCTCGGTAAGTGACCTCGTGTGGAATAGGCCATATTTCAAGCTGTTTGCTAACGGCACGACCCTATAACAGACCATGCGCGGCTCAAGGACCATGTCGCAAGCATGGACGGCGGCCTCGAAGCACAAATAAACGAAGGAGGTGAGGTTTCCCAATGATGCATATCCCGTCGTCGTCTTTTCTTTTACCCCCTTGCCACAAGGCGCGCGTCCTCGGTCTTCTAGAAGAGTCATCCGCTATGGCACTGGTCACTGCGTGACCTTGCAATTTCTTGGGTGACCCCGAACACGCAAGTCGTGTCCAAGACCGGCTCCTCATCGTCGCGCAAGAAGGAGGGGTGTCCCTATGTTGGGGCAAGGCTTCCTGTTGTCATCCACGAAAACGGAATGTCTTGCAGGATCGTCTCATTGCACGGGACCTCGTGGAACCCCATATGCATCGTAGACCCTCCATCTTCGCTCAATCCGGCATCAGACGCATGTCATGCTGACTTTGTATTCGTAGGTTCCAACTTGTCACAGGGTCAACGCCAGCTCGTCAACCTGGCCCGCGCCATGTTGACGCCGTCCAACATCCTCGTGCTGGACGAGGCCACCGCTGCCGTGGACATTGAGACCGACGCGATGATCCAGCGTACCCTGCGCTCGCCGCTCTTCGCCAACAAGACAATCATCACAGTAGCACACAGACTGAACACCATCCTAGACAGCGATCGTGTCGTCGTTCTCGACAAGGGTGAGGTGGCTGAATTTGACACGCCAAGTGCGCTTTTCAAGAAGCAGGGGTTGTTCTACAATCTGATGCAGCAAGCCGGCCTGGAGGTGGAGTGAATTTGAGGGAATGAATAGTAGGAAGAAAAACTATTGTGTACATCTGATGGAGCTGTTCATAGATTGGAGGACATACCTTTCTTGGCGTTGAATCTTTTGCATTTGAAAATAAACATTACGACGTGTGTTGCTGGCCAATCTCCTTGTCACTCTACGCGAGTGAATTGATAGGTCCGTCGTATATGGCATCGCGCTAGCCTAGCAATCTGCCCATGGTGATCAACAACTCATCACGACGCTCGTACCGTATGTTTGCTGGGTCTGCCTCATCGGTCAATTGATGGTGCAGGCATTCAAGCTGTTGATGTGCGCAGAGGGCCCTTTCATCTCGGTGTGGGAGGGCTGTTCACCGGCACGGTTTGGCCGTCCGCCACATCGACGCTGCGCGTGCCGTCCGTCACCATGGACGCGGGTTCCCGCCAGTCGGAGCAGTCTCGAGCAGTCTACGAGATCACACCTACACACCTCACGGACATAGCTCCCGTTCCCCTTCCATTTTGGTTGCTCTTCAACAGCAGCACCAGCTCCCCAAGGATGTGATGAGAACGCACGAGCACGGAATGGGTTTCACATGAATGCAGCAGCGGACAATGTTAGCGTCCCCAGCTGAGACAACACGCGGATGGCGGACGCCACCCAATTGACCGATTGCGATTGTCATGCTGAAGAACACGACAATGTGGGTGACAGACGGCTGAGACATGTGGGAGTGTTGGGCAACCCTAAGCCCACTATAACGCCAGAGGCGGATGAGTGACGCGACGAAGGACTCTTGTAGGCACGTAATCCGATGGGAGCCGTGGAAATCAGATGAGCACATCGAGCCGCTCTTGTCGCGCTATTGAATCTGGACGTGCGCGCTCGTGCGAACGAAGCGTCTGGGCTTGTGGTGTCGTGTTTTCATGGCACAACATGTCAACAGAAGCAACAGACTATTATTTATGGATGCTCCGATCACGTCACAATGTAATGGAAAATGCCCGAAGAGGGAGGGGCAGGCTGGATGCTTGAGACGCGCTACCAATGATTCTAACAATAGGATGTTCAACGTGAGATGCTCGTCCAGAAAGCCGGACTGTCTGGAGTCTGGACTGGCGCAGAGTCGCGTTGTACACGATCCTGATGTGCAGCATTGACAGCGAATCGGTGTTGCAAGTTGCGCCTAGACGGTGTCTAGACCAACAAGTTATTAATTGGAGGCTATCGATCCGTACTGGTGGGCATGCCCGTCCGTGGCTGGCCCCATGTCGGTGAGTTGAGACGTGAATAGCGGGTCCTGCCTTTTCTTTTTCTCGCTTCCACTCCGTTTCCAAAGGGGGAGGGAGGGCTGGAACTTAAGAGGTCCGAGGAGTTGATAGGAAGATGGCTGACAGCCTGTCAATTGTTATCGGTCCTGCCTGTGCCTTTATAAGCTCGAATGCGTATGTGGTTTCTCCGGTGAAGTGACGCCAATATGTTTTCTCTGCGTCTCGCTCCCCGATTGGTTGCGGACGCACGACAAGAAGGGCCTTGACAGTATTAATATTCATGTGCTCTCACGTTCGAGAGGCGGGGGCCTCAGTTGAAGTTCAGCTTTCCGGATCGACAAGGAATGGTTTCGTATTGGCAGATCTCGGAGCGTAATTCGTCAGAGGCATCGATGGCTTGTCGGTGACCACTTGGCGGTGGTCATGATTTGAGGGCCGCCGTGCTTCCCTGTTCGTTCTGACCATTGTCGTGGTCACGACGATTGTACACGACGCGTAAGGACGTGGACTTTGTTGGTGCGGCAAAGCTAGGAGGTGCGGTCGGCAGGGATGCGCCAGAGGTCCCAGACCAACTATCAAGATCCCGCTGCTCCCGTCCGCCGCGTCGAGCGTAGCGACCACCTCATGAACCCCTTGAGTTTGTGAGTGGTTGCCCAAGGACACGTCTAGGATCTAGCCGTTGGGCCAGTCTCGAGGAGGAATGGTGTCCGGATACTAGGCAGAATGTATCCACACGGTCTGAGCGGGGAGCACAGCACGTTCCGTAGGTCGGGCGGGACAAATCCAAAAAAATCAACCAGTGCCAAAAGTTTGAAGCGAAGAGGCTGCTGTCTTGGGAAAGATGAAGTGAAGCTCACAGCTCCATGTCGAAATCGAGCAAGTGGCGCATTTGTGTCCAGGCCGAGGCCAGCCACTGCAGCGGCTGTTGATGATCGTCCGTGATCGGCGTCCAAGTTGGAAGGCGCTATCAGTGTCCGTACTGGATGCTTTGACATGCGAGGAAAGAACAGGGTAGAACTTGTTCTTGCCCGAGACTTTCCCACTACGTACGTACTCAATCCATTGCCTGCGCAGCTGTGCCTGCTCACGCTCCAGAACAATCGCTGAAAAGAAGCCCAGTCATCACCACTGCTAGCTTCATCTCGCCGCCTCGCGTTGCTGAAAGCCTGAAACGCCTACACGGCTCCTCAGCCGACAGGCCACATCCCGGTTCCACACGTGCTGGTCTCCAATGTCACAAAAGTCACAACTTGGCCGAAATAATTAAAAAAGCCCCGATGATGCCCCCACGCTGTCTAAATCCGACGCAGCCGACGAAATTGCGAGCTGTCGCAGCAGAGAGACGAACGTCAAGATCCGCGAACAATAATCCTCCCGCGGAACCAGCCCCAGCTGCAGGTTCTTGCTGGTACGAATCGCAGCCGTCCGTCATGCCCTCCCCGGCCTGTCAACCCAAACCAAGTGGGGGTTTGCAGTGTGCGCAGACCGACAGAGACTGCCCAGCGCGAATATCAAGCAGCACCAAGCCTGGGTGCTTTGCGTCTCGTTGATGAATCAGACCGCCCTGTTCTGCGCTGGGACCAATGTCGACCCCCTTCGCCAACTACATGGTTTGTTGATTGACCGAGCGTGGGACGACTGCGACTCTTACGAAGCGGTAGACACCCTGGCAGGTGCAAGTGTAGAGTTGAGCAATCCTCGTGGGTACGTGCATGTCTCTTCATTTTTTTTCCATCCTACGGTCCGTCGTCGGGTTTGGCAAGTCTTCGTCGGCCGCTACCAGAACAAGGCCGTCTTAGATTTCGCTAATCACTGCAGGCTCCAGGTCCTTTCCTCTCATTCGCTCTTGTCGAATTCGCGCGCTGCGTGACAGACGGACGGCCCGCCTCCACGTGCAGTCAAGTGCTTTACGACTCGGCGTGGCGGAACATTGCTTCTCTTTGATCGCTTCTACTCGGGCCACAGGAGGATCATCCATACCTCGTTATGTGGCAAAGGAAAAGCGAGGCTCGTCTTTCTGTTCCTCAACCGTGGGGTAGCGGCATGCACGAATTCAAAAGCTTATACCTGGATGACTCAATATGATATGGTATGCTGAGATCGGTCATTTGCAGCAGAGGTGATTGATCTATGTTAACGACTCGAGATTCTCGACAGAGCACCAAGGTACTGTACAAGCACTTGCCCAGAACCGCAGCTGCCAACCGCGCAAAAGGACGTACAGCTACATCTGCACACCAGCCTTCCCAATCGGGGACAATTGGCACAGCTTTCACAGTGCCGGATACCACAACGACAAGGATCTCCGGGCCAGAACGTGGACCGCGGTTGCATGAGCGCAAAAACCCTGTCCCAACCCCTGTCGCCCTACCTTGCACCTTTCGTCCAATGCTATCTACCGACCGCCCTCCCTACGACTCAATCATGGAGAGAGCCGTTACCCGACTTTGTCTGCTTCGCTTGGCTGAGGTCGGCTCTCACTCTCAGATATTTCCTTTGTGCAAGCGACCCAGTAGCTTGGACAAGACCCTGCCTGACCCAAATCCAGCTAGAACATGTCAAGATGGCTGAGCTGGGTGCGTGGCCGTCACTTCCCCAGCATGGCTCAAGCTTCACACACCACCTCAGTCCTCCTTTTGTTTTCTGGAAGTTCTGGTCCCTAATTACGATGCCTTGGCCCTTGATAGCAGGGCCCACATTAGTACCGCATCATGCCATCATGACGAGCGCCGGGTCGTGCGGGTTCAGCACACCACCGGTGAAGAAGGAAAACAACCGCCGCCCAATAAGACTTGCTGTGCAGTGCAAGACCGACACGATTACCTTTACCGGTATGCCCACCTTCTGAGCTCATTGAGGTGCTTCTTAGTCTTGTTACCGGTGCGTTTCGTGAGACTTGCCAGATGGAGGTGGATGCAGGGCCGCAGGCTACCAAGTCACAGACTGAGACCTGTCAAAGGCGGGTGGCCCCCACTCATCATTCTTCTCTTACTCCACCATTGTCTCCTCTCACTCCACCATCTTCTCCTAGCATCCCTGCTCTATGTGGGCATTCGCAACACGGCAGACAGACTCAGCCAGTCAAGCCACCTTGGGCAGACCACTCGTCCAGGATAGGAGGTAAGCTCGTTCGGGGACTCTCCTTCAGGCCAGGCCAGGCCAGGCCAATGTCCATTGCTAATTTGCTATCAATATCATATCATATCTGAGCTTGTCTCCCGCATCGTACCGTACCGTACCGAGCCGTCCCAGCTTGGGCACTACGTATCTTGACGACCCAGCACTGGCTCGTTCGCTCTTACGGAAGACTTGGAAGACTCAGTCCCTCCATCATAACCAGGACTCCTTGTTCTGTCTGTCCAACCACTTGCATATGTACTTACGCAAAAGGTGAGCATTGTTTTCCCTTTCCTCGCAGCTGCTGGTACGTACCGTACGCTGCCTCCCGGAGGCCAGGGTCCATGTCCCTGACGACAGTGCCAGGCCCGCTCAAAATGGCCAGCAATCCCCGTAATTGCGTGTGGAGGGTTTTAGGTCATTGCGTCGAGATCGGCTCTGCCTGATGCATGTCTCCTTTCTTCTGATAGTAAACTCATGCCCCAAGCTTCGTGACTCGCAAAGAGTGTCGAATAGACCAACAAACGTTCTCACATTCCGCGCAAAGGAGCAGTAACCTGGCCTTCGGGTGACACGGTGGCATCGACTCCCGCCTGGGCCAGCATCACTGACTGAATTCGTCAAGCATTTGGGTTGAGAAACAGCCGCCACCGCCGCCACTGCCGGGGTCGAGGGTTTGGACATACCTACTACGGATACCTTTTGTACTCCTATCAACGAGGTCCATCGCATAGCAAACCCCTTCCCGTCCAGCTTGAGGCGTCGACAACACTCTGCCGGGCCCAGTCAACTGGTGTCGCCTCTTGTCCGACGTACGTTCCCACTGTTCGCTGAGGGGGCTCCGCCTCATTGGGGTCTAACTTTGAGCAAGCGGACAGGCCCCAGTTTAGCTACTCAGCTACCCGTCGTGTGCTCATGCAACAAAACTTGCCGCGAGGGCTAACAACGCTGCGACACGCATCCCCCCAGGTTCCTTGATACTTACTCTGTCAATTCACTCATTGCGACCAAAATCTCATTCTAAGGCTCACCGTTGGATCGGCACTCTCCGGCGGCCACGGAGCGGATTGCCTTTGCCGTATCTGTCTCAATAGCCATCGTGGCACGAATATCCTCACACTCATTTTCCAGTATCTATTCGCATGGGATGTACCAGCACAGATGAGCAGTCGGCAGATCTACAGCAGGCCACCACCTCAAGACGTTTGATCCGGCGGATCTCGAAGCATATATCCGTCGATTCTGGGCTTCCTGTCCTTCTATTTCACTGTACCAGTAGGAACGTCTCCGTCTGCAACATCGCAGTCGACACTGGACGTTGTTTGCCCGCTGTCGCACGGTCACGTCGTCACTGTGAGCTGCAGCACTCGAAAGGCAGCAGATCCTCTTTCATCCAGCCACCCTCGCACACAAACATCATCTCCGCGACCTAGCAACAAATCACAAGCCGATTCCGAAAGCACACGCTAGCGTCTATTGCCCTGTTAATTGACAAGCCATAAACGTTGCCTACCCACGGCCCCTAAGCCACACACGCTTCCTGACACACATAGCCTTTTGTCACGGGGCAGGCTTCCTCCTCGTCAGTTCTCTCCTCCCTCTATACAGCACCGGCGTCCGTGTGTTTTTCCCCCTATCTTTTGGTGGTTGTTGTGCGTGGGAACTGTTCTGTTTTCTGACCTGGCACGTTATCAGACGAAGAAGATCGGCGTCTTCGTCTTCACTGAGAGCTACCCACCTTCGTTCACATTCTGGTTGCCCTTTGAGCAATTTGCCACGTGTGCCTCGCAGCACGGTGGCGCGCACCATCAACCTGGCTGGCCTGAACAGGCACTTGATCTGGAGAAATCGGATTCACCCTCGCCATCCAAGCCATGGTACAAGACTGGTCTCGGGAGGCGTTACCTCCGCGTCAATCATGGTCGGCTCATCAAGGCCGGGAGGCCTTGCAGAGGCGATACCCCGAGGCGCCGGAAGGTAACCGATGCATGGTAGGTAAATGTGTCGCTATACCGGCTAGTACTGGCGTTCTAACTTTGATCTTCTAGTCCATCGAGAATGCGCTCAGTACACATTGTGGTATCTCGAGCAAGGTGTACTTCCTTGCGGTCATGAAGGATGATGGAACTGTTTCCACATTCAGCACTCCTGGACGCAACTTGGATGCTATGGAAGCTGAGTTTTTCAATCGGCAAAGATACCAGCAACTCAGTAACAACTTTGAGCTTGGTAAGGTTCCGCTTGTATAGCTCTTGGCGGCAGGCTGTTTCTAACCGTGATCTCATTTAGATACCCAATTGACCATGCCAGTGCCCGAGGGGAACGCTTACTCGCGTTCTGGTTACGCCACTGCTCGATATCCCCCCAGTCGCTCACGTCTCACTGGACCCGACGATGATCACTCGCGGCCCACAAAGCGACCACGTGCTGTGCCTCGTCCGCCCCCGGAACCTGAAGAGGAGGAACAGATGATGCGCAGGCGGCGTATACAGATTCAAAATTCCGACGAGCTTTGGAAATTCTACGAGGAAAGGTTCAAGAACTCCCAGCAGTCTGCATGCAAGCTTATTGCCAAGGCCTGGATCAAGGCGGTAGAGCCCAAGAAGCAGTCAACCCACCCTTACACAGGATCCGACGAGAAGGCACCTAGTTGGTGGCCCAAGCCATGGGGTAGCGAGAAGGAACACAAGGTCCGGCACAAAGAACCCGACCATTTGTACAAGCGAGGTGAGTTTGGGAGGGAATGCGCCTTCATGTCAGCGCTAATGAGGGCCAGAGCGTGTCCATCTCCTTAATCACATCCTCAATCTTGTGACAGAGCCACCCGAGAAACAGCATCCTGGACTCCAAAAGCTGCAGCTGGACGTCAAGAAACTAGAGGAATGCACAAACGAGGCATTGTCCGGGTTTTATGCCGAAAATGCCACCAATGCCAGCAAAAAATCGTATATCAATGAGATCTTCAAGGTCGCCAAGCAGCAGGAAAGGTACAAGGCCGGCGCGATTGGTAAGAGGAGGCCCCTTTAGCGTTTGACGTATTGTATGCTGATGCTCTCCACAGATGGCCACACCGAAGTCTACGTGTTGTGCACAAGCGATCGTTACGGAGACCAGGCTTCGGAGAATGACAACAGTTCCATTCCCTTTGCGAGAGAAGATGACGACGGCAAACCACTGGACTCGACGCGGGTCACTGCAGCCCAACCCTACCTGCAGACGTCGACTGCTGGACCAAGCCCCTCTACGGCTGTAATGCCTCCGGGCGGGCAGATGCTTCATGAGCTACCGATGCGGAACTCGCACCAGGTTCCGCCGCATAATAGCATGCATGCTGATGCTGGCCCGGGTGTGGGTCACTCTCTGATGGATGGCAGCGTGGCAGTGAACGGGCCGACAAACTTGGGGCCGCCAGCGTCGGCCATCAATGTCAACATGATACCGAGCGGCCACGATGCCTCTCGGAGATCTTCAGTCTACGGAGACTATGGGAATGGCTTGTATCAGCAACACTGGCAGTCCTTCACCACGAGCGCCGAGGGACAGCCCATGTACTATGCCCACCATGCTAACCCAGGCGCCGCTCAGGGCTTTTCTCAGCAGCTACCCGTGGCTCAGCCGCACCCTTACGTCGCAAACTCATTCGACTCAATGTCCCGCGCCGGATATGACGGAGCAACCCCGCACGCAGGCTACAAGTACGAGCCCAACGATGGTCGGGGCATGCAGGCACTTCCAGGGGTCTCGGAGGTGATAGACTCGGTGCCACGTGAGCACCTGTGAAGACATTGGGCTTGCAGCGAAGCTCATACGCTAAAACGACAGTTGACTTGTTTTTGCTATTTTGCTTTGTTTTCCTTTTGCGTACACCAAGCGTTTCGCATCGGCGGATATCTGATTTACATTGACGGCGGTGGTATTTGCACCCACGCCTCAAAATCAGGCGAGGATCGTTCATTTAGGCGGCTTTTTTGTTATTCAAGGCGAGACCGGGCGTTTTCCATTCACGGGTGGCAAAGATGATTTTTCTTCGAGCGGTTTCTCGTTTGACTCAACATGCAGCAAGCTGGATCTGGTACACTGTGGCAAGTCGGCATCCTGATAGCGACAGGTCTTTATTTAATGTTCTCGAGTTGCAGGTACTTTGGCTTTTGCTAGGTTGGTCAATAGTTTGTGTGCGGCCAAAGTTCTGAGCGCTTCAGTCCCCCCCTTTTTTTGTGGAAATCAACAAAATGATGATAATTAACGTTCGTAATTCTAGCATCCACGACTGTCAAGTTCAAAGCACATAAGAACCAAAGAAAAGTCTTCGTCATGATTTATTCAGTCTGAAAACTAAAGGTCCTACTTTAGAGGTTCATTAGATCGGTCTTGGAGTCGAATGGTATCGGGATGCTGGCTCGATGATGCGTTTTGAGTATATAGATTGCAAAATAATCAACCCTGTCATCCAGCCCGGGTGGCGCAATGGTTTAGCGCACGCGACTTTTACTGTACAGGCGAGTACTGTGGGCAAAATCGTGGGGTTGTGGGTTCGAGTCCCACCTCGGGCGTTTTATTTTGCCTTTTTGATCTTCCCAGTCTCAACAGCCCTATCCTTTTTGGCCAATTTCTAAAGAGAGCCCTATCTGATAATACAAGAATGTTCCTATTTGCGTAACAGGACATGATGCAACAATTTTGCGTGCACGCGGTGTATAGACATCGCTCCCGAGGAGCAGGGATGGATCGTCTCCGTGTCTACGGCCCTTCAGTTCGTCACATGCATGCGCCCGGCAGCATGTCTGACTAGTTCCTCTATCACACGGCCCTCTGCGGGCAAGAAGTGCAAGCAGTGTCTCATTCGTTCGGAAATATGTGGTATATGGTTACGACTGGCCGGGGGGCAGTAATATGTTTCCTGGACATCATTGTTTAGTTGGGAACTTGCAGTAAATCGCTGGGGGGCGTGTGCATTGGATATGTCAAATGTGTTGTCGCGCATGCACATGAAGTTGAACAACATTGGCGAACAATTGACAACAGTCTAGAGCTTCCTAAAGTAAATTACAGCATGAATCGCTGGGATATCGATATTAACCCTTTCCGTCGCGGTAAACATCGAAGGCAAAAAGAACTCCCCAACGCCCGGCGAGCAATCGCCGAATACAACCCGCTCCATCACATTGTATTAATGACATACTCCACGTGCTGACGACCGAGAATGCCAGCTGCATAGTAGGCCTTGCCTTGGGCCTTCGGTGATTATCGTCTGCCCCGGCGCATCTGTACGTCCATTAGGTATATCGGAACTGGGTGAGAAGCTGAGATGCCTTTGAGGCTCTCAGGCACAACATGCCGGCTTCCGGGCCCCGGCTGGGTCTCTTTGCCAGCATCACCGAAAGGTAGTTGGCGTTCCATCGACGCCAACATACGGGACAAACCACTTCTAGCTCTTGTCCTCGGTCGTGGTCGGCGCGGTCTCTTCCTTGTCGTTCGTCTGGAGCGGGGCCTCCAGGCCAGCATTTTGCGCGACTCTTTTCCATGTCTCAAACTCGCGATACAGCCGCTCGCATTCTGCTTTGAGCTTGTCATTGCTTGTACTCAGCTCTGTTATCGCTTGCTCTGTAAGCAGCTTTTCGAGCGTCCACTTCTCAATGTTGTGCTGTTCATTCTCCTTCAGCTGCGTGATGAATTGGCAGGCGCGTTGCAGAATAGAACCCTTGTTCTTTTCGCAACCGGGTACAATCTTGGCGAGCTCATTGATACCTTCGTTGATGGTTTCACGGCGCCGACGCTCCACTAGTGAGGGTCAGAGCATACTCGTGCTTCCTGGCAACATGGCACATTACCTTCTTTGTGATTGTCTTTTCTCATTTTATGCCATTCCTCAGAACCAACGGTAGGCTTGACATACGGCAGCACGACGTGATAGCGGCTGCTGCCGTCAGAAGCATCTGCCACCCCGTCCTTGGAGTTGTTTTGTGGCAGCGTGGACTCTGGAGCTGATGGGTCTTTGGCATAGTCGTCGGGTGATGTCATATCGTGTTGCTTCTGGCCGTCATGCTCGGGCTGTACATGGTCGTGCTGTTGGTGGACCTGAGGCTCAGGCTGAGACTCCGTATGCAATTGCGGCGGAGGCGGAGCTTGAGGTTGACCTGCCTGTGGCTGCTGCTCCGGCGACTGATGCTGCACTTGTGGTGGCGGGTCATCCAAGCCCGCCAGTGCATTGTGATGTCCGTTTGCTTCTGCAGCGGCCTGTGCGGCGAATTGCTCCTCAGTAGATGAAGGGATATGGAGCGTCGGGTACATGCCGAGGACCGCCTGCGCCGTGCTGGTCGCATTGGACGTGTCGGCGGCTTCCGTCCCTTCTCTAGCAGCTTGCTGGAGAGCTGTAAAGTCGGCAACATTAACGCCGTTGTTGTTGCTGTTGCTGTTGCTGTTGCTGCTGCTGTTGTTGTTGTCGGCGAGATGCTGTACGGCTCGCTCAATAAAGGAGGCAGTGTCCATGTTAGCCTGAGGGGCGACCCTCTTGGGGTTCCGTTGGGCCGATGGACTGGTTGCCTCACGCTTCCGTTTTGGACCTGGTGAACCAGTCAGGTCTGAAAGCTCGGGCTGCTCATTGACGAGAGGCTCGCTCATCATGACTGTGAGTGGTGCTTGGCGTGTACGTGGCAGTGTTGGAAATCCCCAATGTGTAGACCAAGTGCTGGAAATACTATTAGTCGTCGTCGTCGGCTTCACTTTAGTGAGGTGGTGAGTGTGTTGATGGAACTTTGCGTCGCCCACGCACTGGATGAAGCAGTAGCGTATGTTCACCAACCGCAAATTGCAGGATGGAGGGCACTCAAGACTCACTCGAGCCGAGAGCAGTGACTCGCAGGTATGCCACGTTTGAGGGCAGATGAGCTTGGCAGCCGACGGCCTCACGCAAGCTTGCAACGACGTAAGGCTACAGCACAACTACGGTGCGACGTGGTCGACCGAGGCTGTGATTCAGTGGCAAGCGGCAGCGCGCGACACAAGCTAGAGTTTTTGGCAGCCCATCACGAAGAATCCCTGCTACCCAGACACACTATGCCTTGGCTCAGAATGCTCTCGTGATGCTGATGCGCCGTGTATTGACGAAATGAAGCACGGCTTCGCGTCGCGTCTGGGCTATCACGAGACCCCGGAGCACCCAGTCAAGCTTGGCAGAACAATGATGCGCAAAGCCTCTGCAGCTCTTGTGGTGGTGGCAATTGTGCAGAATCTGCTGGGATGGATTGAAGCAAGAAGGGGGACGGCGACATACCGCGCAGATCATGTGCTTTGGCGCGATCACGGGTTTCGCGACACTCACGTGTTCTGCTTGAATCTCGTGATATCGCGTCGATGGGGTCGGCCGGCCAGTTTGTAAGTCGAAGACGACAACCAGGGTGCAAAGTCGGGGTTTGCGGTTGAATTTTCGAAGAGTTGGTCTGGAATTAATGACAAGGTCTTGCCTGAGGCTTATGCGTTAAATTCGCCAAAAATTCAATAAGCTTCCGACGACGTCTTGATCGAAGTGCTGCGCGTACAAGTCAACGCACTGTCAAGGTCACGAGGGGATGAGAGAGGAAGAACACGTGAGTGCGACTGGCTGGGTCGGGCGGGGGATAAATATTGAAGGTGGGACTGGAGCTGGGAGGAAGTGCCACCCACCTCGAGGCTTTGAGCCTTGATGGTGCCTTCCCTTGCCGGGACTGTGCTGCATAGCAGTAGTGGAGCCTCAGGCCAAACACGATATGCACCAATCAGAGTTCCCATACCTGCACGCAGCGGCTGCTTCGCGGCGGGGCTAGCTGAATGCCGCCTCCAAGATGCGAAGGAGCCTAATAGCCTGGTGTGCAATGATTGATTCTATTGTCCATGTCGATTGACATGGAGATGAATACTTTCTACGCTTATACCCAGCTTGAAGAATGTCAGAAAACTCTGGACCAAGCAACTGTATCCGTAGCTGGTACGGCAACAGAAGTTTCTTCCCGCTGTGACTGTACAGCCCGAGCAAGCCTCGCCGACTTCTGAGCTTGAAAGCGTATCCTTTCGCTTTGCCCGATGCTTCACGAGACTGACCCAGCGGACGCGGGAACCCTGTTACAGCTACTGTCGATTCGCTTTCTTCAGCAAGATGATTAAGTCAAGTAGCCGCAGAATTAGATACGTCAGCAGGTAAACTGACTCAACCCACCAACACGAAGGAACGTCCTAGACTTCAAGGACAGTCCACCTTGTGTCCTCTCAGGCAGTACATGTGCTTGATCACCCCCGTGATGCAAGTACATGTAGGTGAGACACAGCAGCATATTCACTGGGAATCACTGACAACTCGCGTTACTCCTGTATTTGTGAGTTTGGTGGTGACTCGGTGACTGAGCCATCCAGATGCTAATCAACATGACGTCGGCAATCTCCAGGCAATGTTCTGCTTTGACCTGACCTGCGATCTCATCAGTTTGGATAGAAGAATGACATTCGGACTGTCGTTAGCAGAGAGTGAAAACCAATTATTCTTTAGTCTAACATGAATTATCTCGAGGTAGTATGCTAAGTCGATTGGCTGACCAATCGCGAACATCATCTGGCCAGGCCCGAGAGCAGCTGCGATAACAGCGATAAGGCAAGTCTAACGATGTCAACTTAAGGTACCCTACCTTAGGTAACTCGAAGAGCATGCATCCTTCCTCATACAAATCCCACTGCACTGCTCATTTCACGGAGACGAACATACCTCGATGCTCATCTCTAGAACTTGATTCAATGGTAACCGCCGCCTTGGGTCTCCACGCCACCGCAGACCACCATGGGCGACCATCAATACTCCATCATCAAGCACAATGAGCATCTGCTGCTCGACCAGCCCCTCCTCCGCCTACCTGTCGAACTTCTGCGCAAAAACTTCCGATCGGCTCATTTCACGATCGAAAAGGAGACTTCGGCTCTCAAGACTCTCCTCAAGGACTCCGCGACAGCCGCCGTCTCGGGTCAGTCGCAGCCGGCCGATGTCATCAACAATGTCGACGCTATGCTCACCCGCATGCGCGGCATGAAGCGCAAGCTGCAGGCTCACGCCGAGGAGGAAAAGGGCTTGCACAAAAGCATAGGGGCTCGAATCAATCACTTGAACGAGCTGTACGATTTGCAGACGGTGGACGACGTGAAGTACGAGGACTGGAGTCGTCTACGGCTCGACCGGCTCATGTCGGATTATATGCTAAGAAAAGGCTATTACGAGAGCGCAAAACAGCTCATTCGTGAAGAAGGAATAGAAAAACTTGTTGACGTCGAGCTCTTTGAGAGGCATGGTCGAGTCAGGAATGACCTCCTCCAAGGCAAGATGGGCGAGGCGCTCGCCTGGTGCGCAGAGAACAAGAAGGAGCTTCGCAAGCTCGACAGCAAGCTTGAGTTTCAGCTACGTCTGCAAACGTACATTGATCTGATCAAGGGCAACAAGACCAGCGAGGCTATCAGCCACCTCCGAAAGTACATTATGCCCTTCAAAGCACAATACAGCAAGGAGGTGCTGCAAGCATGCGGTCTGTTGGCAGTTCAGCCTGGATCTCGTTTCGCAGCAGCGAGCTATCCTGAACTTTATCGAGATCGATGGCAGATGCTTGCAGATTTGTTCGCCAAGACGCATCACACGCTGTTCTCCATTCCCGAGCAGCCGCTGTTGCACATTGCTCTGTCATCGGGGCTCTCAGCGCTCAAGACCCCAGCCTGTCACCACGCCGACAGGCGTACGGGTATCGCCACAAGCATGGCCAATGGGGGCAAGGGCGTGTGCCCTATCTGTTCTGCCGAGCTTAAGGAGTTGGCGGTCCATGTGCCGTATGCGCATCACACGAAGAGCCACGTACAGCCTGACCTTGTTATACTCCCCAGCGGTCGTGCCGTTAGCGAGCAGCAGCTGGAAGATCAGGCGGTCAAAGTAGGTTTGCCGGAAACACAGGTGATGGACCCCTCGGATGGCATGATAGTGGACAAGGCATTGTTGAGGAAGATTTTCATCACTTAAGGTTCGTCCTTATGCTTTACGGATTACTACTTCTAAGATTGGGAATGGGATCGGCGTGGCGTTTGGAGGTCATGGCGCACTGCACATCATTACGAAACGAGCGATGGTAGGATATCATCAGACAGGGCAGGTAGATCAATGCTACAAGCTTGAAAGCACCCGAGAATCCCAATGTGGAAGCACATCCTAAAGCGAAAGTCAATGCATTGATGCCCCTATACCATGAAAACCTCCCATCCTTCCGTCCGCCCGACCGTCTGTCCATGCATGTCGCCCGCGTCATCAATGATCGTACACTGTCAACCGCAGACCAAATGGGCAGAGCATAAAACGCACTTGAGAAAGCAAAAACAAACGCCGCGCATATAGTAAGCGTACAACGTCCCTGTGTCCATTTACCTATTCCCCCCGGTAAATGCGAAGCTGCCAAACACGCCGCCACCCCCACCCGGCGTCATGGGTCCCATATTCGGAAGACCATTCGTGTTATGACTCTGGGCGGCAGGCGTTGAAGCAAGTCCTACGGGGTGGGTCTGCGGTGTGCTGGGATCGCCATCCTGTCCGTTGTCCTTGTTGTCGCCAGCCCCGGACTGGTGCATCATGGAGGCCGTGAGGAGGTGGGATTCGGGGACTGAGAGACCCCAGACCTTGCCAATGTGATCGTTGGCGATCTCGCCGTTGAAGATCTTGTCGCGGATCTGGAAAAACACCTTGCCCGTGAGCAGGGAGTCGGAGCCAGCCTGGTGAGCGTTGCCGACACGTTTCACTTTGAGTGTCTCGGCGATATTCTCCAGGCCCGACTTGTGCTCAAACTTCTGCAGAATCTCGGCAATTGCTTGGTCATGCGGTGTCAGCATACCAGAGGCATGGAGGCGTATGGCGTGCTTCATGAGGTGTTTGACGTCGTATGTGCTCGGGAAGTAGAGTTTCATCTTATGGTCAAAGTCCACTTCGTCGTTCGGCAAAGGCGTGCAAATAAGCAGTTTGGTGAGATAACCAAAATCGTAACCACCGTGGAAGGATATCCACTTGACGTCGTCAAAGCACACTAAACCAGAAGGAATAAGCAGTGCCGCAAAGTCGTGGGGGTCGATGCCGTCCCTCGCCAACTGCGCAAAGTCGATGCCGGCTTGCTGTAGGGACTCGATTGATTTCTCGTTGTACATGTCGTCGTTTAGGCTGAATTTGAAGTTGAACTGCCAGGAGCAGGGCATGGGTTGGTTCTGCTTGCGGGCAGCCCCGACATCCAAATCACTGGGTCCAGGTCGCGCAGGTGGTGGTTCGCCGTCTTCGTTAAACAAAGTCAGTCCGATCTGGATGACTTTCAGCATATCGACATTCGTCCGGAGACATTGGTAGTGATAATCGCTCTTTCCACGAAACGCCCCCATCGGCCTAGCAACGATTCCTGGAAATTCTGTGTCCTACAGTGGGTTAGCGAGGTGATTCGACTCCCATACACACGTTTCCTTCCAAGAAGCTCACCATTGCGATGTACGGGTACTTATCCACCAGGTCCCGTAGATTGGCCATCTCCTCTCTCAGGTTGTGAGCCCACACCTCCCGTATCCTTCCCCGGTTAGGATGTTGCCTGAGCGGCATAGGTTGATGATCCGCTAGGCCGTGATGTGCTTGCGCTGCATGGTGCTGTGGTTGTAGTGATCCTGCTCCTGATCCATGGGCAAAGCCCATCCGCGCACTCTGACTGCCGAACCCTGTTTCCGGGAACGCTGCCGTGGGCCCATTTAGGCCGCCAGCACCGAAAGCATTTCCGTTTGTGACGGAGAACCCCATCTGCGCATGATATTGGTTCGCGCCAAGCGGCCCTCCTTGCGGCTGACCATGACTTGGGAAGTTGTGCTGAGGGAAAGGCCCTTGGCCACCGAAGGCCCTCATACCGGGTGGCATGCGAGGAGCAATGGCTGTCGAGTCGAGTTGATGCCGAAGCTTGGGTGGGATGGGCTCGTTTCGGTCCTTGAAGTAGATAGGTCGTTGCTTGTTTAGTCACTCGTTTTATCTCTTTGCTGGGGGCACCGTCGCAAATTCAGATCATGGGTGTCTCTTTTGAAGGTGGTCCGCCTGCCGTCGCGCATTGAGGTCGCAAGTGTGGTTGATGCTGGACAGCCGGGGTGCCTCGTGATTCTCCAAAGTGCCACGCTATACACCGGAGATGAAAAGCGTGGGCGGCGGTGTGCAGTCGTTGATGCTTAGGAGCGGTTGAGGCAACTCCTTCGAAATGGCAATCTTGTTCGTGTTGGTCTTTGCTGAGAGTGCGATGGTTGGACAACTGTCGGAAAGCAAGGTCACGTCGGGTTGCACTTGAATCGATGGAGGCTCTTGGACAGCCATGGGCCCGCTGCAGGGAGGATCGTCGTGCGGTCACGTCTGGAGGTGTCGGAAAGCGGGGTCACTATGTTCCGACCTCAGCATAGGCCGATTCTCCAACGACGCCTCAATCGCCCATTGAAGCCGTCACAGCAACATATTGACAATTGCCGTCCGCAATAGCTTCAGTACGGCAGAATGCTTCCCACAAGGTTTGATCCATTTACCTGGCGTCAATTGACGCGACTGCTAACATGTCAGGATACTACGGGCGGCTCAGGGCTCCAAGCCCAACATTACGGGCTTCAACATGCGTCAGTTCAAGGCGTCCTCCGGGCAACCGAAATACGACCCTTGGGAGCGCACGTACGTCCTCGCTTCCTCCGCCAATGCAATGACGGTCGATCTGGGCGAAGAGAGAGCTAATGGGTGCGCAGTGAGGCTTGGCGGTACGAGGGTACTTTCACCCGCTGGAACCGATTCAAGGGTGGCCTTCCTGGCCTGGGCACGGCGTCAGTCGCTTTCGCCGGATATTGCGCATACGAATACTTCTTCCTCGATGACAAGCACCACGGCGAGGGACATGGCGAGGGCCACCACTAGGCCAAGATAAGGTCGGAAGGGTTGAGCATGTCAGCGGCTGTACATATACCACGCTCGCCATGAAAGTGGCATTTTCTTGTGTCGAACAGATCAATGCAACTATCCAATGAAGAACGCCCCGAAATTCGCCAATGTTTCTTCACCCTCGGGGGGGGCGGGGGGGTGGTTCATCTCCCTTTTCACGTTGTCTGCAAGAGGTCGCAGCAGGGACGGCTAATAGTTTGGCGTGACCGTCTAAAGACAATGTACAACGCAATTTATTGTGTGCCAATTCGAAACTCCGAGCCTGCCTAATACAGACAGAACGATGCTAAATAACAGACCATCCGCGACGCCCGTCCGACCTGATCAAAGCACCTGGCAGGTCCAAGCAAAACAGACCAAACCTAACGAAGTGGTCCTTGGCTACCGCCCAACGCCATTCACAACATCCAGCGCCCCCTCAACAACCCCCTCCAACTCCTCAACTCGCCCTTTCAGCCCCTTGTTCTCGTCCTTCAACAGGTTCACCGTGTCCCAGGCAACACTTGCGTCCCGCCCCTCACAATTTTGACAACTATTCACCGTTTTGACAACCTCGGCTGATTTGCCCCCAAAGAACTTCTGAAAGGTATTCATTTGCGTTGCCTTGGGCGTTGTCCGCGGCGATAGCGCCGCGGGCAGAGGGACAGGCTGATCCGCGGGGGTCCTGGCCTGCGATGTGAGGTCGGCAATGCTCACTTCGTTTATGCTCGTGGCGATTGTGGGACTGCGAGACCGGGCTGAGAAGAGACTAGCCTCCTCGACGCTCTCCTCATCAGTATCGTCGATGTCGCCGCTCCGTCGCCATTGGTACCGTTTCTGGTCCTCTTCGACTTGGAGATCCTCGGACATGCCCGATAAGCTTGGCGGGCTCCCACTCTGCTTCTGTTCCTGCTGCTGCTGCTCTAGACGGAGCCTCTTCTCATGCGAAAGCTCCGTCATGAGGGACAGCATCATCTCCTCCTGCTCGCTTGCTTTGCGCGCCATATCTTCCAGTTGCATCTTCAGATGGTGCAATTTCGTATCCGCCTCTTCCTGCTCGTCGGCCTGTGCCCCACGCTCGGCCTTCATCTCGTAGTAAGCTATCGTGCGCTGCTGATATGCGCCCTGGAATTTTTCAAGAAGACCAGCCGCGTTCTGCTGCAAGTTTTTGTATGCGGCGGGAGAGAAGGTATCGTTTTGCCCAGAGGGATACAATGCCGCCTGGATATCAAGATTCATGAGTTCGTCCTGTGCAGGGACTGCCACTAGCGAGGCGTGCGTAGGTGCAGGACTACCCTTGAACATGGACGACGTGAATGCCGCGAAGCGTGAGCTCGCTGCGGCGGGTTTTGGCGTTGCTGGCGATGGCGTGTCCATCATATCGGCCCCCTGGAGACTCCCGCTCCTCCAAGGCGTCGTTCTGCTTGAATCACCGGTGAAAGACATGGCGCCTCCGACCTTGGTGTTTGTAAAGTCAAGCCTTCCCCTACAAGTGGGCGATCGACTCGCGCTTGGCACAATGTCCTCGGTCGCAACAGATATTGAATTTCGTAGGGGTGACTGGATCTTGGGCGAGCCGGTCTCTGTGACGGTGCAGGTGGATAGCCTTGGTCTCTCTTTTGTGCCCTTGGGATTTCGCGTGTCGTTGCGCGTTTGTTGGGTGTTGTCGAGGTCCGGCGGCCCCTGGACAGGAGTAGACGTGGATACCGGGGGGCTCGCTAACATGATTGTGGAGTTGCCCGGGGTTTTATTAGGCTGCTGCGTTTTTTATCGATCCGCATGAATTGACGATCTGACTCTTGCCCTGTCCAGGTTGCTTGAAACGTCGAACTCCCGCTCGTTGGCGGTTTGGGTGGCCGTTTCCGTCAGATGCGATAGACCGTTGTCTCTGACGGATGCAGATGTTGTCTTGAACGACCGCAATAAAGTCTGTTGCGCGCGGTGGTCGAAACAGCGCGCACAACAGTATCTTTGGTGCCAGTGATTGCGTCTTCTAGTCAACGTGCAAGAGTAGCCAAGTTGCGACTCGTCGTTGACGGAGTGTATTTGTCGTTGAGCTCGCGTTTCGTCGCACCCTCGTCCCGATGTTTCAAGCCTGGCCCGCAACAGGCACGCGATAGAGATGTTGGCAGGAATGGCCCCTCATTCATGGCGCAAGGACTGCCGTGATTCGCTCTTTCCCTTGCAAGCAGATATGTACGCACCTGGTGACTTCTTCAGAGACGTGCAGCATTGTCTTCGCTTCGCTTCGCTTCGCCAGCGACACAGTCCATCCTACCTGAACATCTTGACCAGAGTGAGGGGCCTCTTTGGCTGCGGATGTGCCGGTTCACGCGATGCGACCACCCTAATGCAGTCTAGCCTGATCAATAATGGCGTGGCGCACCCTTCAGGAGAGCCTCCCGTCCAACGACAAGGATTGGACCCTGTGGAATGCGGAACCAATCACCTACCGAAAAATATTATGCTTGCAGCTGGATGCAATCATGCAAAAGAGTTGCCAAGTAGGACTAGCATGCACAGTTGTGGAAAATGTGCATTTGACGGACGAGACTCCTACGCTTTGCTATCGTGAACTGCATGAAGTGATCCGCATCCCAGCTACGTGGCTACAAAATACAGAAAGCCTGCGCAAACTCATTGATGCCCGGCCCTGAATTTTTCTATCGCGTCATAGTAGACGTTATTCAAGACAGAACGGGCGCTAATTATTGGGTGTACATTCCAAGCCCGGCCCCGGGTCTCGTCCGCCTTACGAGAGACTACCTTACCCTACAATCCAATAGAGAGGATCGTCAGCAATTGTGTTTTCTATTTTCTCGCACAGGTATCTGTCGTTGGTTGGGATCGGACTCACTGTATCGAGTGATCAAGGGTAAATTGCTTTTTGAACGATGAGTCCGTATTGTAGCATCACGGAAATTAGTCAAGGAAGCCCAGCGCCGCCTTTGCTCACTCTGATACCAGAGGGGCAGTAGTTGCTATTTCCGAGCGTAGAGCATCCCTTAACACCATCAAAGAAGAAACGCTCATTCAAGTACATGTTGATTCGTATACAAATTATGCTCCCTTTGCACCGCGAATACCCCCGTTTGTCATCATGCTCTCATCGTAGCTGTATCGAAGGGAAGAACCGAGGGCCCGCGAATCCCTTCGCGGTGATGGATTGAATATCAATGTTACAGGAAGGCTCCGTATGCGAATTCCACAGCTTGAGCAGAATGAATCTGCCCGAAACAGGGGGATCGAACCGGATTGTACATGTGCTCTTCCGCCCGTCCATCAGGAAGCGTGCGTGTGGTACGAGCAACTCGCCTGCTGGACTAGACAATTCGTCGCTGGCACCATCGGAGTCCAGGTTCAGTACTTCACGTAACGTGCGGAGCTCCGCCTGCAACACGCTATCGCGCCCGGCGCGATGATTCGAGCTCGTACGCGCCTCGGCATCATTCGCGTCGTCATCCGCTCGAGATCCTGGCAGCTCTCTTTGCAGCACCCTGGTACGCTGTGTGGTGCCGTCCTGTGTTCTATCGTTCTGCTGCGAGGCACTGACTCCGGCCCGCGCAGCGGCTCGGGCGTTTTGTTCGTTTTGCAGCAATCTCGAGAACGTGGGAGTCGGTTCATCCTCGATCAGAGCCAAACCAGCACCTGGCTCATCCAGATCCTCGAGCCGGACTCCAAACGCACTAGGCCGGATCTCAGACCTATCGATCTGCTGTCCGACATACGTGGGCAGCCTCCTGAACCGCGAGCGCGGGTCCGAGCCTAAGAAGACGTTGTCATCGCTACACTCTGTAGTCGCCACAATGTCATTCCGGGGGGCGTCGAACTCTGTCGGCATCTTGGGTGTCCGATATCCACTCTCGTTTGATTGGTAATGTGGTGCTCTCCTGATCCTTGTACTTGTCGTGCCGCCTTCATCCCGTTGCGTGGTCGCGATCGTTCTGCGCAAATGGCCTCGCTCGTCCTCATCGCGGCCCAAAGATCTCAAAGGGGCGTCGTATTCGATCTGGTACTGTGTGGTGCGCTTCAGATCATCGTCATTGTCGCCTGCGACAAAGATCATTCCCTCCCGAACACTAAAGTTCCGTCAGGACCATGCTATAGATACGTGACAGGCGGAAGCAGACTTACGGATGTGAATAATTAACAGACCTGGGTCCCTTGATGATGAGCTCTTGCAGGGAGAAGGGACATGATCCGCGATGCTGCAGCACAATATTGCACCGACTGCCCTTGGTGCAATAGACCGAGGAGTCGTTTTTGAGGATGTTGGTGGCCGAGTACATGGATTCGTCGGAAAACATGCCACCGTCGCAGCTGACCATTTCCATGCGCAACTCACCAGGCTCCACCTGCCCACGACGTCCACATCGCATGGGGGCATGGCTGTTGTCGCCCTCATCCGCCAGAACTTTCCGACGCTTCTGGCGATGGGAATCCATATCGGGAGTCTGCGAGGGCTGACGCGTCGGAGGGCCCGAATCACTCGGTGTCGAGTCGTCGTCCTGTAGGCTCTGACGCTCACGGACGGCATCGCCAAATGCTCTGCTAAAGTGTGATAGCATTCCCTGTTGCGTAAGAGCTCTCATCTCGTTGTGATGTTGAGCAGGAGCAAGGGGATGGTTCCGCGTGTGCTCCAAACGACGACGACTCTCGTCCACACGCTGTTGGCTCTCTTCAACTTGGCGCCGCAGTGCCGTCAACAGAGCCCGCGATGGCTCATCGAAGTTGGAGTCGGCTGTCCGCAGGGGACTCTCCAAGTGGCGACGACTCTCTTCCACGCGCCGCTGACTCTCGTCAACCTGGTGTTGAAGAGCCGTCCACAGAGACCGCCTTTGGTCGCCATAGTCTGCTGGCCGCGGGCGGTTCTGGGGATCGTCGTGGTGGGCACTCAGAGTGGGGGCCCACGGCAGACGCCGGAATTCGTTGACCGCCGTTGCCGTCGACTCCAGCGGTTGAGATGAGCTTGTCCCGCGGAGCGTCCTGTACATCCCGACGTAAGGTGCGCCGTAGGAGAGATTCTGGTGGTCTGGAATATCGGGGAGATTGTCGAGGAGGCTGAATCGACTCGATCGCCGCCACGACGCAGACTGCGCCGCATCGCCCGGAAGCTCGCCACCAGGTGGTTGGCGCCCTCTGCTGTTCAGGCGCTCGTGCAACTCGAGATTCGAGCCACTCGGCCAGCCACGCATATTGTTGATCTCGCTGAGTCTCCGTCTCCTCGCGCGCAGTCGACGGCTGGAATTGACCGAGCGGCTTCCATCGTTGGTATCTGAATCTTGTCTATCCGCCATGGCATCTGTCCCGAGGTAGCAGTTCGTTGTAGTTGGCCGAGAGGGCGGCCTCTCTATGCTTGACGGATGAGGTAGCCGCCAGGGCAAGCGCTCACCCCTCCGCAGAAGAGGATATGTTTTTCGGTATCACAGGGGCGCGTGGGCGACGTGTCTGTCGAGGATGTTGTCGTGTCGTTCGCGAAGAGATTGGCGTCGCTGAGGTCGGTCGAGAATCTGCTGGAGACGTGCAAAGTGCGGTTATCTGTAGATGGAAGATTGGCGATCTCGCGAAGAAGCAAAAACACACGGGGAGAGCGTGAACACAGGATGCTCTGGATATAATATGATATGTAAGGCGAAAGACCACAATGACATGAAGGCGAGGGCAGCGGTCTGGCCTAATTAATTAGAGGGGCGCCTGTCCAGGTTGGGGGGTCCAATGACTCCAGTCCGTCACTGGATATTTTAGCGATTAGTGGAAGCGCACAACACAGTTGGAGCATGCCCTCCGCAACAGCCTTCGCTTCACTGACCCGAGACCTCTATATCACAAGCCATGCCCTGATCCAGTCATTGATGCAGCGAGAACTCTCACAGCCTCCTCCACGACTCTGGTCGCATTCGCGCCAGCGTGGATCATTCATTGCCCTGTGACGTTGCAGACCAATAATTAATTACCTTAGCAGGAGATCTCGGAGCTAGTCCCGATCAAGACTAGCTTGCTCCAGCGTTGTCTTGATTCATTCACTTGGGCTTCACTCACTCACTCGCTCACTCAACTCATTCACGCACGCGATACTTACCGCTCTGCTCTGAGGGTTGAAGCGTATGGGAACGACAAGAAACGAGATCACCCATAGGTTACGCCATCATAAGCACGACACAACCACGATTGCGCCGGTCCCGACTGGAACTGAGGCTGCTTGGCCCTTCCTTGACTTCGAGTTGTTGGTAGCCAACAAGAAAAGGCGTGGACATTATCGCGCCCAGTCCAGTCTTCGCCTCTGTCACAAAGAGGCCACCTCTGGATCATGGATCCAGCACAGTCTGAGCAGCAGCAAGCTGCGCAGCCAGCTCACCTCCCCCCACAACAACCAATGGACGGCAACGGCATCAACCACCAACAGAGCATGGCCATACCTGAGATGGGCAACCAATTCCTGAACCAGGTCCCCACCAATGGCATGTCGAACGGCCAGCACTTTATGCCTGATCCCTCTGCGTCCGCTATGCCTATGCCCGGGGCCGAGCTCATGATGCCGCTCATGCTCGCCAATGGACAAGCGCAGGTCCCACCGAGCAGCCTCAGCGCTGGTATGTGGCCGCTGGTACACAATAATTTCTCACGTGGCTGACCAGCTTGATAGATGAAGTCGCGCTCTACGATCGCCAGATCCGCCTCTGGGGTGTCGCCGCCCAGGCCAAGATACAGTCGGCCAATATCCTCCTCATCACCATCAAAGCCCTGGCCACCGAAATAGCCAAGAACCTCGTGCTTGCAGGCGTCGGCTCCCTCACCATTCTCGACGACGCGCCCGTCTCGGAATCCGATCTTGGTGCGCAGTTCTTCCTCGCCGAAGCGGCGGGCGACGACCCGTCCTCAATCCTCGGTCAGAACCGCGCACAGGTCGCCACGCCGGCCATCCAGAAGATGAACCCCAGGGTGCGCGTCCAGGCCGACCCGGCCGGCGTCAAGGTCAAGGGACCGAGCTACTTTGCCCAATTTGACGTCGTCATCGCCACAGACCTCGACCTCGACACGATGAACCTCATCAACACGGCGACCCGCCTAAACGGGCGCGCCTTTTATGCCGCCTCCACACATGGCATGTACGGCTTCATCTTCAGCGATCTCATTGAGCACCAGTTTGTCATTGAGCGTGATCTCGGCAACGTGCCCACCGAGTGCCCCAAGCAGGAGACCCGCACCCGCTCCGTCGTCGACGTTCAGACCAAGAAAGAAGGCACGCGCACCATCGAGTGCGTGACCAAGCGCGAGCTCTACTCGACGTGGTTCCTCGCCAGCGACCTCGCCACCCTTTCAGACGACTATATCAAGTCGAAACGTCGTCTGCGCGGCGTCTCGCCCACCCTGTCCTGCCTCCGGGCGCTGTGGGAGTTTATGCAGATCAATGGGGGCCGCATACCAGGCAATAGGGATGACTTGAAGCTCTTCACCCAGATCGCGACACAGAAACACAAGGCTCTGTCTCTGCCCTCGGAGACGCTCACCCCAGAGTTCCTGCGCAGCTTCCTGCAGAATCTGGGCAGCGAGATCGCCCCCGTGACGGCCATCCTCGGCGGACAGCTCGCCCAGGACGTCATCAACGTCCTGGGGCAGAAGGAGCAGCCCATTCAGAACATGGTCATCTTTGACGGCACGACCATGGAGGCCCTCGTGTATCCACTACACCCTGAGGGAGTCATCGGCGCCGCTTTGTTGAGCCTGGGCGGCGGTGACGACGCGATGGCGCCCAATGGCGCGGGTATGATGATGCCCCCGGGCGGGGACATGTCGGCCATGGGCATGGGGTATGATCCGTCAATGGGCGGCATGGGCATGATGAACAACGGGATAGGTGGCATGGCGCCGCCGCCAACCCAGCAGCAGATGAATGAACTTCATCTCCAGCACGGACAACAGCAACAGCAACAGCCGCCGCAGCAACAACAGCAGGAGGCAAACGCGCGACCGCAAACGCAGATGGAGAGCAAACCAGACGAGTCCAATGTCGCTGCGTCGGGCTCAGGGGCTCCGGCAACCACCGGGCCGGATAGTGCTGCTGACAAGGCAGCCGGGGACGCAGCGTCGCGAGGCAGCTAGGCACGGTGAAAATAGGGGGTTGCAACGATACCAAGAAGACATTGTACAGTATCTAGGTAGCGCAATAGGGAAAGGCGTTCAGAGTTAATCTGTGCCACATGCACACATATGCACACACATGCACACACATGCACACACACACACACGATACACCTCTCGTTGTTCCTTGTCAGAATGTGCAAGTACGGTGAGTCAATTATTGCATTCGTTATATTTTCAGTGTCCTCCATATCGTGACCGCCCCATCGCTCACTAGCATGGTATAATACTGAAGCACGTGCAGTCATGCAAGAGGGGGATAGACATACATCATCAAAAAGACGCAAGTGGAATAAAGAAAAAGAAAAAAAAAAACTACCGTATGCGACCCAGTACGCCCATGTGAACCACGTGCTTTTCATATAATGTCGAAATAAATCAGGAAACCTTGAAACGCCTGGGATGAATGCTCCATGGTGATGAAATGAGAAGGTGGATGCTCGCAATCCACTCACTGCAAATGTGCAGTATTTAAATGTGCATTCCTCTTGACGAGAGATGCTTCGGCTCATTCCTTGATTCTTCTGGCCTTTCGAGGCCGGAGTTGTCGATCAGAAGGCGGTGGGCAAGTCGGCTTTTCCGCAATGGTACAGACTGCACCCTTGACGATCTCCTTGTCCGCACCCTCGCTTTGTATGGTATCGTGCCTTGTGCGGTCCGCCTCAGGGGAGCTGTCAATGACAATGACATCCCGCTTCTGAGGATCGAGCTGTCGAGGCGCTCCGGTCTTGGCTTGTTGCTCGTCTCGAGTAGAGGAACCGCCCTTCCTCTAGCGGGAGTCTTCCCTCTCGGGCATGCCTGCATCCTTGGGATCCCCCTTGGTGTCCCCCCGCGCCCGGCGACGGTGCTGGTTGACGTTCCAACCCCGGATTTGCGTGGGGCCCGAGCTAGGCAGGGCGGGAGCCGAGCCACCGGACGAATCCTTGTGGTCGTATGGTATCGTCTTGAGCTCCGGCTTGCTGGGCCAGCTACGGTGCGGGGGCAACGGCGCGGGCTGCAGCTTGCGATATTTCGGATCGAGCGTCGGGTTGCCACCAAAATTGGGGGGCGGTCCTCCCGACGACGTGGATCGATGACGGAAGATACCGTCTCTCGAGGATTGCTCGTGCGGATTGTGACCCATCTGTGACCCGTTCATCGGGATGTCGCTGCTGAAGACCGGCGAGCCGCTCGGGCGTGCATAACCCTGGGAAGGGGAGCCCATCATGCTCGACAGGGGTGGCTGCCCTGAAATTGTACGCTCAGTTGGCCTCGCTGGGTACGCGTGGTGAGAGTCATGAGCTGGCGCGCCGTAGCCGCTTGCCACCGACCGATGCCGTTCTGGCTGCCCGTAGCTGCTGAAGCTGCTAAAGATGCTTTGGGGCGATGGCCGTAGTGAGCCCTCCATCAGGCTCTCCTCGCCCGCAGACTGATTGCGACCGCGGGGCGGCCTCAATGGTGGCAGTGGTTCTGCGCTCGCTTGGTGAGAGAATGGAACCCTGGAGGAAGGTGGAAGTGGGGCGGGAAAAGACTGTCCGCCGCCAGGGGTAGGTGTCTGGCTTTGTGCAGGCGGCGCAGCGGCAGAGGATGGCGGAGGAGGGTGCGGTGGTAAGGCTGATCCAGGTACGGGACCAGGGCCACTAGGTCCAGGAGGAGGTTGCTGGGCCCAATAAGGACGTTGGTATGCTGGATGGTCAGATCCAAAGGCGCTCGCACGACGGTCCCCGAATACGTGATCGAATGACCGCGCAGAAGTTGGCTCCCTGGACTCGCCTGGGAGCTTGTATTGGTAGGAACCACTCAAACGAGCTGGATAGTTTGCACTTTCCGCCATTTGCCCATAAGGATGCATCGGTCGGTATTCTTGAGTCGTACCTGCATTGGCCTGCGCAGAGTAGGGCTGGGAGCGTTCGTATGAGCCCCGCGGGGGATAGTCCTGTAGCTCGCTTTGGTAGGGAGAGCGTTGATGAGCCTGGCGGGGAGGTTGCGTGAATGGTGAGTTAGAAGCAGGTTGCTCCGAGTGTAGCCGTGGAGTGTGATACCGCGGCTGCACAGGGCTCTGCTCCGTAGGCTTTCGCGACTCTGAACTTGTTCTCGAGTCCATATAGTTGCGACTCGAGGCGTACGGCAGGAAGATGGACTCGCGCTCAGCAGGCGCAGGCGGTTTACTCTGGGGTGGCTCTGCGTAGCTCCGAATGTTGGAGGGCTGCAAGTAGCTTGCTCCACGCTCAGGGGCCGCAGGCTTCTGGCTATCCATAACAGGCGTACGCCCAGGAGCCATCGAGGTCGAGTTCGAGGCCGGAGTTGCAGCTGTACGATCTGCAGGAGGACCCATGCTCGAGGACGTCGCAGGCTTCTGGCTCGCCAGACCTGCCATCTCTAGCATGATCTGTGCCGTGTCGCTCAACCGGACGTTGTCATGACTACTAGAGGAACTGGGCGTCGGGGGTGCTGCCGAGCTCTCCTCTGCCTTGCCAGATACGAAGATGTTGCGGATGGCGTCGTATTTTCTGGCCTTGGCCGGCTGTCTCGCAGCGGCGGCTCTCTGCTCTTCGTCGGCCGCAATGTGGCTGGCAGCATCGATGAAGATGCTTAGATCTGGTCGCTCCTGGACAAAACCCTCACCAAGCACGCTGGCCTTCTGCTCGTCTTCCACCTCGTCCTTGAGTTGGCGAAGGTCAGCAGGGGTAGGTCGAGCCGAGAGGTCACGCTGGACGGTGCCCAACGAGCGTTTCTTGTACTCGGCGTCCGTGGGCAGGTACTCTGCGACAGAGATCTCCTCGCCGATCTCCTCCAAACTGCAGAAACGGCGCAAGCTGACGGCTATTTTCTGGCGCCATGGACCGTCTTGGATGCGCCGCGTGTTGACTGTCGACTGATACGCCCGCGAAGCGTGGGATTCCCTACCCGAGGGGGTGGCCAGGAAGACAATTGGTTTCCCGGGCATGACATATGGCTTTTGAGGTTCTTGCTCGTTGCGAGGCAGTTTCTTGTCCTCATTGCCCTTTTGCGGGAGTGGGATGCCGTAGAGTGGGTGCACCCCATACTTCTTGACCAGGTCCTGGTCGAAATCCGCCGGGGTCAACTGCGAGTAATCGTAGCCGTTGCACCAAAAGTCAATGTGTAAACCGTTGCTGTTGGGCGTGTTCAGATATTTGCCACGCTTTGCGACAGTGTGGCCCTTGGTTGAGTCATTCGAACTGTCACGGAAGCCAATCTCGTGATCCTCGAACTCAAACGGCCGGGGCACGAAGATTCGACTGTTAAGGATCTTGTCTCTATAGGATGCCTTTTGGTTGTATGCTCTGATGCCATATTCGTCTGGCTCGCCAGTCGCTTTGGGTAATGTTGGGCTCCTCGCGCGAGCCGGTAGCCTGTCGGTGTTTTTGGCCTGAGGGTTAGGGAAGAAACTGCCTGGCTCGGGTGTTGCGCGTGGCGAATCCTCCTCCATTGGAGTCCCTTCCGGGTCAATGTCAACAGAGGCAGCGGAAGCTAGCAACCCCTTGGCGGGGATATGTGCTTGCGAGGTTTGCAAGTCGTCACTGGTGTTCCTGGTCGACCGTTTGGGTGTTGGTTGGCCGTCTGGCTCGCCTTGCGGCTTGCGCTTGGTACCAGCAGCAACACCAGCGCCAGCACCACGGCCTCGGCCCCGACCCCTTGCGCCCGGAGGAGGCGTAGGCGCAGAGGTAGGCGCGGAGGTGACATTGTTCGTAGCCAGTAGAGAGGCGTGGGATGGGGCTGGGGCAGCCTGGACGTTCTTCTGCTCCTGCGAGCGTTGCCAAGACTTTGTGCCTACAACGCCGGCTGGGTAAGGTACGAGGCGATCATCGAGATATTCTTCCCATGGGCCGAATTCCTCATCGAGATACTCATCTGTGATGGCTTTATACTCATACTGGTCGTCGCGGATCTAAGGTGGTTGGTCAGCCAGCCAGCCAATCATGATGCAGGAGTATTAGACCTACGTCAACTGGGAGATCTCTGGCGTGAAGTGCTCTCAGGATACGGAGGCGGTTCGCCTGGCCGTCGAAGTATTGTTCAAGCAAGTCTCCAGATTGCTTCTGTGGATTTCAATGTGGTTAATAATGCGTTGGTGCGCAGTGCGGCGGACAGCACCTTACCTCAAACTGTTGGTAAATGACCTTTTCTTCCGCCTCTCGCGTCTGCTTGGCCAGCTTGAGATCCCACTCAAGACGCTTCTCAGTGCAACGGTTGCGAAAGGTCAGGCGTTCTCGCAGGCCTTGCATCACTTCGTTGTACTCGGGGAAATTCTTGTAAGCATTGGGATTGCTTGTGAGAAGATCAATGCCGCGCTCTGCAAGTTCCTGCAAGATGGGCTTTAAGACCGATGCCACTGTGTTGTACGTCGTTTTGAGGTCGCGCGTGCGTTCATAAGACACTTGCACACGAGGCTCCGAAAAGGTCTTTGCCCTTCCGCGACGAGCACCTCCTCGACCACCTCGATTTGAAGTGTACTTGGACGCGGCAGCGTTGTGGGAAGCGCCCCTGCCATTGCCACGCCCTCGACCGCGCCCACGTCCCCTGCCGCGACCGCGAGTGGCCGGTGCAGGGGAGGCGTCAGGCAGGGGAGGAGAATCAAAATTCTCTGAAGGCATGATGGGTGAAGATAATCATGTGAAGGATACGCTCAAGAAGGCGTACAAACAGCGTGGGTGTATGTGATTTTGTCTGAGAGAGAGGGAAAAGACGGGGTGCGCTAGGCCGGCCTGCGCACAGAAAAAGACGTGATAGGGCGTCCTGAGCCAGCGACAATTCGGCGCGTTGGGGGGTATCAAAAAGTAATTCTCGACGTAAAACAGGCAACGGAGAATGTGAAGAGGGTATTGATAGATTGGGGACAAGCCGTGGTGCATTGACTGTCGTGGCCCAGAGCAAGGGAAAAGACAGTCCGGAAGGCTGGAGGATGAGAGTGGATGTGATGTGATGCGACCGCTATCCTGGCCTGAGTGGGTTTGCTGGCTGGCTGGCTGGCTGTGGGTGAGCCAATACCAATACCGAGTAAGAGAGTCACTGTCTTTGGAACAGCGCAGCAATGCTTCGCGGCTTGTCAGAGCACAAGAACACCACGAAAAGTGCCAGAATCTTCTGCAGAATAGACTTGCTAGTGGCGAGTCAAAGATGTTGCACCGTTGCAGTGAAGCGGGCTCTTGATGGCTACCACAAGTACGGAGTACGGACGGCTGGAAGACGAAAGGAGTCCAATTTTCCCAGTGCAGGCTGCTCCTGCCTGAGTGGACAAACACCAGCGGCACGTACCGCTGAGCTGGGTGTGTCTCATTGGTTCCTGGTGCAGTCCCTTCTGACCCCACCTCAAGAGCTAGGCTTGTTTGGACACCGAATGGTGAGTTCCATGCACTGTGATAGGCTCGGACGGCTGGATATTCCGTCGACAGGACAGGCCACAAACAAGCCTCGTGCCGCGTGCGCCTGACTCTTGCTCGGTCGCTCGGTCTATACCTTCATGTGGTTTTGGACAGAGCATCACTTCTGCTGAAAGGGTCGACGTCTTCAAGAAACCTGGTCCAAGTATACTTACGGAAGAGTTGGGAGGGCCAGGGCCTAGGGCACTAACGATAGCAACTTTGTGTAAGAAACTAGACCTAGTTCGCCCGCGTAGCGCGCGACATGAGCAGCGTTCACCTTGTGCTACCACCAGATGGCAATCCTTGCGCAATCTGCATTCAGTGCACTGTAACACCCGCATAGACGCGGCTCCTGCGTTGCATTGACGACAAAGTCTCCCTGAGTCGAGCGCGCAGGGGTTTAAGTCAAATGTCTAATGCGTGTCACTGCCAGCTGCTCCAGTCATGAAAATATCTACTGCTTCGGACAAGGTGAATGAATGTGTGTACACTCGCTCCGAAAACTCGAGTACTCTGCGTCATCCTATGTAAGCTGCTAATTATCCCTTGATTGCGATGAGTAAGGGGGGCCACGTCCCAAGTTCCAAGTTGCTCGCGGGCGTCCATCTGATGGTGACCACGAGACATGCGAAATGACCAGGACAATCAATGCCCGACTCACTCTCCGTCGCCAACCATTCCATCATCATCGCGAATACTTCTAGTGATACACATATATCTCGTATGTATCAAGCCTGGTCACGATCTCTGTTGAATGGCTTACATCACGACTGTAATGAGTCAATGTTGTGATAGATGCCTAGAGTGCGTCGATATTACTGCCTGCCCCACACCATTCTTCACTCGAAGTCGTAATCCACCATATACTACATCCAGCGGCGTTCGCCAGGACTGGATAAGACGAGCGCAGTCAATTCTGAATTTAGAAGGGGAAAAGTACAAAAACTGGGTGTAGATATATGGGCAGACATGAAGTCCTCATTTAAAAGCAATTGTGCATGGTATACCGAACTTGGCTAATGACTCGTCGGATCCGGACGGCCGGGCGACGGCGTCGCTGCCGATGCGCTGCCGTTGCCTGTCCCAAAGCGGTAAGCGCTCCCGCAAAGCCTGCTTGCTGTTAGCGCTTGTATTTGCAAGCAGGCGAGGCACTATCAGTATCATTCGGCTCAAGTTCTCTAGGCCGTGTCGATCGGGGTACGGAATACAGTACAGGCAAATGCCCAAGAGACGCCGCTGCTCGCCTTTTCCTGCATCATCGGCTGCCAACGTGCCATCCCAGTGCTTGGTCTCCAAATCTGCACACGAGCTTGTCATCAAGGAGCACTCCACTACCTTATACTTGGTATGGTAGGTCCCTCAATAAAGTGGGGGGACGGCATCTTCCCCCACGTCCGATCCTGCCTGGGAGGCTAAGAGACTTCCAAAAATTTCCCCATCCGCAGACGACGAGCAAACAACATATTTGGCCGTCATTGCGCTCAAGCATTTCGTGGCTTCACAGTCACCTGCATTCTTCAGTATGCCCAAGAAACGCACAAAGCTCGTCGTCAAGCCCAACACAAAGAGCCCCCACTACAAAAAGGGCCATGTCCAGGAGCAACAGCAACCCCAACCGCAGGCCAAGAAACCGCACCAGCAGAAACACCATGAGAAACCGACGATTCCCTTCTCCAAGACGGATCGAATTCTTTTACTCGGCGAGGGCGACCTCAGCTTCGCCGCGTCCCTTGTGAAACACCACAACTGCACCAATGTCCTCGCCACTGTATACGAAAAATCGGAAGAAGAGGTGTTGGAAAAGTACCCGCACGCAAAGGAGAACATGGACGCCATCACGACCGCCCCCGCGCCGGCCTCGGACGACGAGGACGATTTCCCATCCGACTTTGACCCGGAAGACTACCCCTCCGACTTTGAAGCGCCCGAGAAGAAGCAGCCGTGGCTCAATAAGATTCTCTACAACATTGACTCCACCAAACCTCTCCCCTCCGTCGTTGCGCGCCCCGCGAAACCCAACCGGGTCTTCTTCAACTTCCCCCACGTGGGCGGTCTGTCGACCGATGTCAACCGCCAGGTGCGCAACAACCAGCACCTCCTGGTCGAGACGTTCAAGCGCGTGCTTCCCATTCTTGCGCACGACGGCAAGATCGTCGTCACCCTCTTTGAGGGTGAACCGTACACCCTGTGGAACATTCGCGATCTAGGCCGCCATTGCGGACTGCAGGTCGAGAGGAGCTTTGCCTTTCAAGCAGAGGCCTATCCTGGCTACAAGCACGCGCGGACATGCGGTGTGGTCAAGAACAGGAAAGGAGAAGAGGGCGGTGGCTGGAAAGGTGAACAGCGGAGCGCGAGAAGCTACGTATTCATCAAGAAGGTCGAGGGTGGCAACGATACCAAAAGCGCCCCTGGCAAAAGGAAAAGAAGAAAGGACGACGATTCGGACGACGATTGACGAGACCACATGGTACCAGTGAGTACCTAGTCATACTGTTGCATAGCACGGCGTTGGAAGGAGTCGGGTTGCACATTAGATCATCGCAGAAGCTAAAATGTCTTCTTTCCACGCATTGATGAACGCGCTATTTGCCTGCCCATCTAGTTGTGCATCATCCCATGCTTGCAATTGCTGTCGACCGTCAACACCCCTGAATGGTTGACATACACGAAAAAAAGCACGCGGGCCCGACACCAGAACGCCTGTACACCGAAAACCAAGATGAAGCATATTGCCGAAACCAAGCCTAGAACCGCCGGCGGCGGGATAGATGATATGTGTACAACGTGTGCGATGATCGTCACAAGGTCCCCCCCGTCCGTCTGCAAATCGTAGAATCCCTTTTTGAACACCCCGTTTACGATGATAGTGATGCATGACGCGCAAGAGCCACTTGCTCGCCTGCCCGCCCCCAACGCCTTTAGTGACCCATAACTTCCTGATTAGATGCACCCTTCACCAAGTCAATCTCTCTCTGCATCTCGTCGGCTCTATGCTCCAAATGCTCTGTTGTAGAAGCCTCGTCGGCCATGCGCTGAGCCTCCTCGTTTTCTCTCATCAGTGCTTCTTCTTGCTGGCGGAGGACTTCCTGCTCCTCAGGGGATACATCGTCCTGCAGACCAGTAGCACCAGCCGGGGGCGGAGGCGGGGGTGGGGGCGTCGCGTCCTGCGGTCCCCCAGCCTCACGGGCACGCTTCGAGTCGTGACTGTCTATGAGCTGTGAAGCCGGCGAGTCGGCGACCGCATCGTCTCTCTTGCGCTTGCGATCTACGTCTGATGGTGTTTGCTCATTGACTTGATAGCTCATAACCTCGTCCGTTACATTCAAGACGGGCGAATCAGTAGGCGTGGCGCTGCCGTCGACCTCAACGGAGTCATTGTGGGCTGCAATGCTGGCAGGTGTCCCCGACGCTCCCGAGCACTGCTGTTCTCGAGCTTTGAAGACTGCCTTGTCGAGGTATTCCTTGACAAAGCTCTTGATCTTGTGCCTCTGCTTATCCGTCACGGGGATCGTCGGATCCACCACTTTGCTGTGCTTGTAGTCGGAGGCGATGATCTTCTTGGAGGCTTCCTTGCCGAGCCTCTTGAGTTCTTCTTTTGGAAGCTTTTTTCCGAACTTGTCTACCACAAATTTCACGTGGGGGTGTATCTGGCATCTGTTAGCGGCGTACGACCTAACTCGGCGATGCTTGGACCTACGGTTCTCTCGTAGAGTTTTTGTTGTTTCTCGAGTGGCAGTGACCGCCAATGGTCATCTTTAGGTTCCTTCGCAGAAGACTCTGCGGACTTAGGTGTGCCGGCAGCGGCCTGCTGCTTGGACGCTTGCGATTCCGTCGTGACCTTTTTGATGATATCCGCAATCGCAAGCTGCTCTTGCGCAGCCTTGTTCACCACGGGCTGGATCGACGGCTTGGAAGGTCGGACCCACGTTGTGACCCCCTGCCTGTCATAAAAGTAGGTCCGGCCGTCTTTGTCCTCAGTGGCCGACCAGCCCTCGGGCAGGACCCCACGATTGCTGTGGAAATGCCTTGGGCGTGGTCGCGGAGCCTGGAATGCATGTCCGTTGCTGCGTTGCGCCATGTTGCCGCGAGGACCCTTGGGTGCATCAATGGGCTGTGGCGTTGGCGCTGGTGCCTTCTCCTCTTCCCGCGCTGTAGCACCTCGTCGATCGTCGAAAGCGTTGACGGAAGGCGTATTGCCGTCGTTCTGACGCCGTCGGATACGGTATCCCATTTCCAGTTGACTCCATTCTTTCATGAGCTTGTCTGCCTTGGCTGCAATGTCCTCATGCTCGGACCGAACAAGCGGCTCGATGGCAGCTTCGATCTTGGAATCCTGAATCTTGTTGCGCGTGATCCGAGGAAACTTGTCCATGATGGTCAGTACCTGCAGGACAAGGTTCGCATCGTCGTAAAAGTTGTTGAGGACGGTCTTGAGAATCTGGTAGCCGTGCAGCCGTGTAATGTGATTCATCACGCGATCCTCCTCGCAGCGCTGTATACGCTCCATGAGCTTGACAGCTATCCATTTCTCCTTGCATTGGCGAAGCGTGGCCATGACCTTGGTGGCGTCCTCCTCGGTGAGGCTGCGGGGCTGCAAGCTACTGACATATTCCTCGTCGTCCTCCTCGACACGCTTCTTGCGTGGCTTCTTGGCAACCGTGGTATCCCAGCCATCGTCCGCATCGATACCGAGTGCCTCCACAGTGGCTGCTGGCAGCTTGGTTGCGCGCTCGGTCTGGGTCTTCCCGCCAATGAACCCTATGCAGTTCGACTCGCCGCAGTAGCATACTTGCGGTGTCGCGCCATAGCGGTCCACGTTGTAGTTGAAAACCAGCTCCTCACCCGCTTGGATCCGCTTCAAGGCGAAGATGCCCATCCGCAGCTTGTCGCCGACGACCCATTTGTCGACGTAGCAATTCGGGTTGCAGGAGTGATTACAGAATCGACCAAGGTTGCCCTTTTTCGTGGCGTCGACAAATTCCGACTTGCTCAGGGACATGAAATAAAAGTGCTTAATGCCCTCCTGGTCGTATTGCACCATGCGTCGGCGAAATGTCGGTTCGTTGATGACCTCGCCGATGTACTCGAAGATGAAGTCGTTAGCCTCCAACTCAGCGTCAGTGCGCAGGCCAAATCCTTTCTTCTCCGTCTTGATGACGGAGACTGCCGCGTATTCCTTGCGCTGGAAGCGTTGGTTTTGGCAGCCTCCTCCGCAGTTGCCGGTTGAGGAGCACTCCATCTTGGTGGCGCGGTTGATGCAATCCGAATCCTCCCCACAGGCATCGTTTTTCCCCTGGCCTAGAGTCTGTCAGCGCACGACGCTTCCGCCTCGCAGTTTTAGCGTAGAAAAAAAAACCTACTCCATGCCTGATTGCAATCGCAGTCGAAAGTGTCATTGTCCGTCGAGCCCAAATGTTTCGACCCGTACAAGCAATCTGGGATGACCTGAAATGTCTCGCACGATTCGTCGGTCGCATCGGCCAGGTCGGTGTAGAGGACCGGTGGTCTCGGGGGTTGCTGCGATGCTTTCCGGCTCAGTTTGGGTTTTTGCAGGGTCGTCGGGGTTTCCACGCTCTGACTGCGCGACTTGACGTCCATTGACAATGGGGGCGGCGACCTCTCGCTCTTCACGTCCTTTGGTTCCTTCTTGGGGAGGATAGCCATCGTCTCACCGTCGAGCCGCGCGCCATCCACAGCGCCATCCTCCAGCTTTATGCCGCTCATCTTGCTGGCCGTGCGGTCCTCCTCCTCCATTACGACATGGGGTCACGCGGGAGAACAATGACCACTGTCCACTCTCGAGCCTCGGTGGCGATTGTGGGTTTGCGTGGGTTCCGTGTTGCACGATGGGGGTTTTCGGCAAAGTGTCGAGCCGTCGCTAGCTGGCGCGCGCAGGGAAGGAAGTGGCCAACGCGTAGGAAATCCCTTTTGAGGGTAGAACGGCAGTGGCCTCGGCGCGAAAGTAGGAAACGCTGATGTAGGTGAGTTAGCAAGGTGTAGAAGGACCCATAGACCCCCGGGAAGGCAACCGAAGGCGTTGTTTGGGAGAAGAAATGGTGGATGCCGAATTCAAGCACAAAGTAAACCGCTGATGAGGCGCGCTGGCGTTGGTACCTCAGCCAGCCAGCCAGTCCGTGGTCGGTCGCGGAAAAGTCCATGTGGTCCGTGCGTCGCTAACAGCAGATGGGAGTTCATCGTGCAAAGACAAGCCACCAAAGCAAGCGACGTAAGCTTCAGCACTTCTGGATTTGGAAGAAAAAGGTAGTAAAGGTAGCGTCTATGAACTATTGCTAGCAGTATGTGCGCCGGAGAGGCGTGATCCGCAGAGGCTGTTGTATAAGGTAGGATAGATATCTCCGACCACATACCGTCTTTCACTCCATCAAGTCTAGATCCCAACGTCACAAAAAAGACGTCGACCGCATACCTGGCTGATGACCTCATTCTGGCCCATGTAAGGATAATAGGCCTTGGGATAAAGTGCGAGCCTGGTCGCCACCGGCCGTTTGGACCTCGTCCCAGGCTAGGTACGTACAATGCATGAGCTTGACCGCTACTCAGGGACCGGCTCATGGCGGCGGAAACACCACGTGTCCAGTGTAGTGTTAGCCGAGGATGACGGTGCCCTAGGTCATATATTTCCATGCTACTCGTACAAGATGCTGCAGTCTTTCGGTCTGGATCCTGGCCTGTCCAGATCAGCTCATCATCCGTGTATAACGGCCCAGGATAGTGAGGTCGGTCAGCTCCCCCCGATCGTCATTTGCATCCATGCTCGTTTGCAAGCATAGACGCCAACCAATAGACCCCGGTGAAGGCTTTCGGTCTTTAGTCCCTTGGGGTTGCTTTATCCAGATCTCTGATGTGTTGTACATGGGTGGGGCAGCAGCCCTGCTGTGATGCCAGCTCATTATGCATGCTCTCAAGTCCATCAAGGAAGCAGGAACAGGAATTAGTTGCAGAGTCGGCACATCTTATAAAGGAGCGGTCGATGCCGCCAGCGAGATCGGTGGCGTGGTATCTATGTTCTTCACCTCGTGTTGATTTTCATGACAACCAGAACGCTGCTGGAATCAGAAACTGCAGTCGTTGGCATTCCTTGACAAGCCTCACCAATCAGGACACCAGCGCAGCACATGTCGCCGTCCGTCACTTGTGACGAACCCGTGGAGAAAGCTGCATCTGAACGTGTCTGTGGCCTGATTGGCGAGAGGCGACGCAAAAGGCTTCGGAAGAGCTCGACCAGTTAAACCATGGGCATTCACCGGATTTGTCCTCGAGGCCAGTTATCGCGGCCATCTGCAATGCCCACCACGACACTTGCAGCGTAGGCTGCACCAGGCGGAGGCAAATGACTCAGGTTGGCAATGGAAGGGGGAGCTGGGCCTCGAAGACGCAGGCTTGCCAAGCTGCTCCTAGCCGACTGATCATGGATGCGCATCTGGCCAGTCTGGATACCCTGTGATCGACCGATACACAAACAAGCCTGGGGTTGCGCGACGCAGATTTCGAGCTACTGTCTGCAAGTCCTGCAGGCTTGTATCCAGATGGATGGAGAATGCGGTCAGGCGATCCGGAGGACTGCGGACGGGATTGGCCCAGTTCGTGTGGCAGCCAGCGGGATGCACCCGCACGTCAAGCCGCAGGATCAACAATCATCGGTAGTGTTGGCGATGCCGACGTCTGAGGAGGCAACAATCGCTTGGTGCGAGTTCCAGAACGTGATTGCAATGTACTGTCGCATCAGTTAAGGGGCGCCAGACGATCCATTGCCCACCATCCACGAACAAAACGAACGAACAGTTCGGAGGGGGAGACTGAGACACGAGAGCACTATCGACTCTTGGCTTGCGCGCAGAGCCCACCGGAGATATCAGCTGCAGAAACAGCGGCAATGAAACGGACTGCCGTCAGACGATCAGATCAGCCTTGGTGCTCGTATGGGTATGGCCGTGAAAGTTGCGTTGGTCGATGACGCATCAAGGTCGTGGAAAGTCACCCACCCGTCTTCGATCCTGTCTGCTTGTCTCAGCGAAATGCCCACTGTCGAGCGGGATGCGCCTAGACAGACGCTCGACAACACAACGCCTTGTTGGGAGCAGCAGAGGCGGCGAGGCAACCAGCACATCTCGTCTGAGCATCCGGTGCGCATGGTGCTTGCACTTTGGGTCGGCTACAACTGATGACTGGATACGGGATGTACGATGCGAAAAGTGCAGGTGTTTGGGGGAGAGGTCATGCGCGCTGTCGCGTCTGCGTCAAGGTGGTAGCGCAGCGCAGCGCGGCAGGGAAAGGCTGGACCCGCTGGCTCACCCAGCAAGCGCTACAATGCGCCAGTCCGTCTCCAGTCCATGAGCCCACGAACCCTGCTCAGGTACGTCCAGTCCTTCTTTTGGTGCAGACGTACATGTAATGCAGCAAGTCAAGTCAGGAGGACTGGGTGACTGGAGACTGGAGGCAGAGAGGACTGAGAAGTCCTCGTACGGTACTGCTGACCGTACCCCTACGGTACCGCCCTATACTCTGCCACCCCAGACGCATGTACCTTCCTCCTGGCACACGGCTGCCCAGTACTTCTTCCACTTTCTCCTCCGGTCGAGACAGCCTGAAGCTGTTATCGCGCTGCTCAGCTTTCTCTGCACGCGCCCATGATGCCGCGATGGCAAGAAAAACAGCGGCCAGTGCTCATCGACTGCAGCGACTGGAGCTGCGCCTGCTGCCCAACGACGCGCCTTCTAGATCCAGTCTTTCACGTTACACGTATCTGCATCGTAACGACACGACAGGCAATCATGCACTGCAGTCTAGACACAGCCTATCAGTGACTGGACTTTCGCCGGTACGGCTCTTACAAGCTCGCGGGGTGGCATTGATAAGTCACTAGACTAGCATCGACAGAACAGTCCCGTCTGACTACTGTACTACTTCTAGGTAAGGTACCTTGTGGTGGGATCACAGGACCCTTGCTCAGCGCCGTGAGCCCCTCCAACAAACGTACCCATCCGGCGTCGACCCGCACCCGCGCAAACACCCCAGCAAGCCTGTCTCGCGCGCCAGCCAGCCTAGAGCTCGGGGACGACTGGTCAACCTAGAGTCCGCATTCCTGCTCCTTGATTCCCTACAGCAGCCAACGAGGCGCTGCGGCTCGCGGGAACGAGTCTTCAAGGCATAACCTGCGTTGTGTGTCTTTCACCCTTCACTCACCTTTGCACTGGCCTCGATTCAGTCAAGCTTCGCCCCCTTTCCGTCCCTCGGAAGGTTCATCGAACGTGCGTCCTCCCACATACTCGCTTAGTATGGCTCCCTGGACCCCTCGCTGCCATCGACGAACGAAGAGCTAGCGACAGACCGCGTTTGCCTCCAACCTCAGACTCGTACTCTCGCGTGCTTGTCGCAAGATACTCGGCGGCGCTAAATCGCTGGACTCGATAAACGACCGCCCCCAGAAGGAGGAGGCAACAGTCGACGCCAGACAAGGCCCGTGCCTCATCTATCCCCCAAGCAGGGCGCAATACCGAGCCCGTCTACAGGCAAAGCTGTGCGCATAAAGCTTCCCTGATGCCTCACGAACAGACATCTCGCTCCCGTGTTCCTTTCAGTCATCACTCGGTCCTTTTCTGAGAGTCGGCCTGGCGCTGAAGACCTTGCGATGGAACCCTTTACAGAGAAAGAGCAGCGCTTTGTGCTTGCCGAAATCATCAAGACGAGTCAAATCAATGTTCACAGTCTAGTGGATTTCATCAAATCCCAGAACGTCGACGCCGACTGGAGAAACATGCAGATACCCCACGGTCAGCCTTCGGCGTCTGCATGATTACTGCTGCCACAGTCACTGACAATCCCTAGGTCGAACCATCCACCAGTGCGAGTCAGCTCTGCGAGATAGATATCCCACGCTGTTACAAAAGCGTCGCCTCTCCAGCGATCATGGCGAGTACCACGCAGCAAAGAGAGTCGCAGTGCCTGAGCTCCCCGAGTACGGCGGGTTGTACCGTCCCTTGCAACCACCAGGCTACCAAGCGCTGCCGCCTCAGACGGCACCTCATGTCCCTATTCTGCCTCGGCCCACGGGCGCTGAGTACCGAAGGCCTTCAAGCCCTCCACAGCCCGAGCAAAGGCGTAAAAGGGGTCGCCCTTCGAGAGCCGACAAGGCCAAAAAGGAACTCCAACCTTTGCTGCCGCGGCCAAACAGCCTTCAAGCGCCTGGCTTGTCACCGCGGCTTCAGATCACCGCTCCCCAGGCGACAGATGTTTCGCCAGTTTTGAGACCGCCTGAGCTTGAGCCGGCGGCACCTGCAAGGGCAAAATGCGCGTCAATGTCATCAATACTGACCAGCCCCTTGTTGACAGCGCGCCCGACGACCCCACCTGAGGCGTACATTGCAACAACAAGAACATCGCGCAGTCCCCGGACCCAACATGCGGTGATGTCACCAAGACAAGAGCGGCCCAGGAACGCCCCGGCTCCCATATCTCCCAGAGATGTTTCGGCATCTGAATATGCATATCAGCCAAATCTCGTCCCACGGGGAGGTTGAGACTCTTAGCCACGTGCCCCCATATAGCCCCCATATAATCTCCTACACTCCCGCGCGCCAGACACCACATCGGCTCACAGGAGCGAACGATTCTAGAGTGAGAATCCCTCCCCGGTTGTCGTGCGCACTACTGACAAAACATCATCAGAGCGTCAATCAACGGAGGAAGTCGGAGTCAAAGGAAGAAAGGCACGACAATGTTCAAGCCCTCAGTAAGGAGTACACTCCTACGGAAAACGTCACTACTTCATTCGTCTAAGCCAGGGTTCTTGTATAGGACACCGGTTTGAAAGTAACGTGTACAAATGCCGAGAGAGTTTGCAAAGCCATTTCTCAGTTTGCCTTCTCGTCCCAACAGGGCGGCTGGTAGATGCATCAAATTCATGTATGGCTTAGACCCGTCCAGATCCTGCACTGCCTTCCCAGCTGGAGAACTCAAGCACACTCCATCACTAAATTGCCAGTGTGGACCAGATCAAAACATTTGCAACGCTGGATGCCGAAAAACAAATTAGAATGATCTCGCAATCTTATCGAGCACGTCCACCAAGATGTCGGCATGGCTCTCGCGCAGTATCAACATGGGCCTCAACCGAACGGCAGTGGCCCCACTGCCTCCAATGTTGACCCCAAGAGACTTGGCCTTGACCAAGAACTCGTCTCTCTTGGGCGAATCAAAAGCGATGAATGTGCCCTGGCCCTTACCCCTGAGGTTCTGGAAGTGGTCGGGATGCATCTTTGACAGCTGCTCCAGCTGGCCGTAAAGATAGGCACCCACTTTCGCCGTGTTGTTAACGAGATCGAGCCTCTCAATCTCATCGACGATTGCGCGGAAGAGCAGCGCGCGCGCTGGGTCGCCCATCCACGTATTGAACTGACGGTAAGGCTTGTTCGGCCGCAGTTCCGGCATACGATAGTAGTAGCCCGCAGCCTGCGCCTTCTTGGAGAACGTGACCATATCAGGCGGGTCCTGGAGATTCCAGTGGTCGTGTGCCCAAAAGCGTCCCGTGGCGCCGACACCAGTCTGCACCTCGTCGACGATCATAAGCACGCCGTGGCGGCGCGTCACCTCGCGTAGCTTGCGGAAGAAGTCTGGCGATGCGTGATTGTCGCCTCCCTCTGACTGGATAGGCTCTACGATGATAGCTGCAGGAGGTAGATGCCAGGACTTGATCAAGTGCTCCACCTCGTCGACGGAGGCCTGTTCGGCAGCAGCATTCTCGGCTGCATGCTCCTCGAGGGGATACTTGAGTTGAGGGAAGGTTGCTTGAGGCCAATCGAAGGCGGGGATGTCGAGTTTGTGTATGGGCTTGGAGCGAGTCGTCGAGAGGGAGCCGAAGAGACGGCCGTGGAAACCCGTCTTGAAGGACAGAATGGAAAGCTGCGAAGCACCCGGCCCCTTGTTGCTCATGACACTTTCAATCTCCTCAGGGGTGAACTCCACATCGCGACCTCCACGCTCAAGCTGGCGCCGGTACATAAAGGCCGCCTTGAACGCGGTCTCGTTGGCATCCGAGCCAGCCATAGCTGTGAACACATTGTCCAGGCCCTTTGGCGCCGCCTTGAGGATGCCCGAGCGGAGCACTTCGGCCCAGTCGTGGGGAGGAAAGTTCCCGAGAGCCGGGCGGTTGATGATCGAGCTGACCATCTCACGGCTGGAGGCAGCTTTGGCGAGAGCTGAGTTGTTATAGCCCACAGGGATTGAGGCGATCTGGGCGTATCTGAAGCATGCGAGTCAGCTCTAAGCGCTTGACCAACACGTGGTCTGAAACCTACACATCAAGCAGCATATTGCCATCCGCATCCGCAATGTAGTTCCCGGAGCTCCGGCTGTAGTCCGTCAACATGTTCAGCGCCCGCGTGTCAAAGACCGTGTCCAGGTCCTTGGCCAACTCCTTGCTCCGCGGGCCAGGAATGGCCGTCTTCACGCTTGGCCCTGCCGGCTCGCCCGCGTAGAAAGGCTGCTGTCGCTCTGCACGGCTTGCTTGGTGCTGGGCGGTAGCAGTAGACGCAGTGGCCAGCAATCGTCGCGGCTGCCCCACGACAGTGATAGTTCGGGATTTGTGGAAGAGAGCAGTCCGCATTTTGACAGTTGCTGATGGCCTCCAAGCCATGGTAGGCAGCATCGTGAGCAAGTGTACTCTCGATTGTGAAAATCCGGAAGCAATAGATCAAGGCCCGATCGAAGTGTCAGAAGTGTGTGAGGCTAAGGTACGCCACCACGTTCTCCAACTGAGCAACGAGTCTTTTGGGGTAGGTGGATGAGACGCCAAACTTTGTGGTGTTAAATTGAAGGTGAAGACAAGGGCAGGGAGCACCTCAATCTTTATCCCCATGGGCAGAAGGCCTCTCGCCTTTCCCCTCCCACCAAGAACAGCGAAAGCTTGACAAGCGGGTGTCATATCTCGTAATGCAAACTGCACCGGCCCGGATCGTGCTTTCCCCAAATCCCAGGGTCCTTATCGTACACCGCACACCGCACGCGGGCTTGGAGCCAGCCGGGTTGTGGCGGCTTATCAGTCGCTCAGCCTCCGAGTCGGAGCTGTTGTTCGCGGGGTAATTGGTGCATTGCTTTGTTCACCACGCCCTATTGAATTGCTGTCAGTGGGCGTGGCGTAGGCCGGATTAGGCATTCTATTTTCAATCTGCTTTCCACTGCGAGTTAGCACGCAAGTACGGTGTAGTACGTGTTTAACCACATGACAGTACCGCCAACGGTCGACCATCGATTTCGACAGCGGACTTCGTAAGACGGCACTCCACAGCGGAATGTGTACCTGTGTGGAAATTAAGGCAAGGACGAGAGATGTCCAACACGAGAAAGTTCACTCTTCAACAGGAAAATGATCATGAATAGATGCTCTCGCCGGCCGACTAAGTTTTGTGCACTTGCCAGTGATACAATCAATACACGCGTTGCTCTCGTGAAGAAAATAGATTATCTCGCGCGGCGGGGGAAACTCATGCATAGGTAGTTCCACGCCACAGTTGATAGCGCTGCAGGCGTAGCGCGTCACTCACAATGCGTACATCCATTCATGTACATATCGCGCAACTAGGCCCCCGGCCCGGGTCCGAAGCCGGACCGGCAGTGGTATTACCCCGGATTTGATTGTTTGGAGAGACTTGAGCCGATAGATGTCAGGTGCTCGTCGTTGGCACCTAGCATTATGGTGCACCATTGCCCACGTTCATATCGCTTGTCATCGTCAGAGGGTGTGCATGAAAATAAATTGTCTTTAAAATGTAAGATGCAATGCAATCCGCGCGCCAGTCTATGCATGCGAGGGAGTCTAACTAGCGCCCATCAATGCGATGCTGCCAAAGCAAAGCTAAATCAATGCCGTATCAAGCAAGCTCCTGTCCACTTACAGCTCCCTGTCTAGATGACTCGTCTTCGTGAAAAGAACAAAAGCCATCGTGTAGTGATTGCATCATATAGAGTATTCCTCCTCGTGCTGCTCACGCATGTACTTGACAAATGTCTTCTTGTGAGTCTTTCTGTGTCAGCGCCTCATCGTATCAAGGCCGCTGCTTGGTGTGACTTACCATGCCTGCGTACTTTCCCTCTCTCAGTACACAGATGTATCTCAATCCAAGCTTCGAAAAGCATTCGTACACCAGATCCATTGGTGACTTGATATCAAGTGATACGGGCGCCTGCGCTGGAGTCAGTGGCTGCTCGGTCAAGATCTTCTTGTGTGTCGAACTTACCGGGTCAATGTATTTGGTAAAGTCGCTCGGGTCGTCCAAGATCTCCTCTTCTTGATTCGCGTGAGGAATTCTATCCATTACGCAAAGCGTGCTCTCCTCGTCATCCAGCTGATCCAGAGCAAACTGTAAATCGGGAGCTGGGATCAGACCAACGAGAACGCCATTGCGCAGCAGTGGCAGACCGCCATCCAGTTCACCGGCGCGATGCAACAGCTCCAATTTGCTGCGCAGCTTCGACGCTCGAATGACGGGTGAGTTGGAAATATCAATGATTCGCTCCCGGCGCACCCGTGGCAGGATATCAGACAGCTCACCCGTGAAAACTGGCTTGTGCTTGTTGTCGAGGAAGGGATACGAGTTCATTGCCGTGAGAAGATCCTAGCCAAGTCAGTTACCGATGTATCGTTATTTCTAGAGCACTCACATAGATGCTGTTGGGCTCGATTGCGTCAGCCGTCCACTTTGCCACAAGAATGCTGAGCGAAAAGGGCAGCACATAGTCGAGGCTGCCGGTGATCTCAAACAAGATTACGGCAAGTGTCACGGAGAGCCTGGTGACACCACACATGGTTGCACCGGCAGCAATGAGGCCGTATACGCCTGGCTGGATACATGTCCCGTCATGTGATGTTGAACAAGTAGCCCAGACTGACCAATCCGGGGTCTTGAGCACAGCCCATTGCACGAGATGGCCGATCATGCGGCCCAGCAGTCCACCTGTGACCATGGACGGCACATAGATACCACTAGGGACTTTGATGCCGAATGTGATCGTTGTCAAGAAGCCCTTGATCAGGAAAGCTACAAGCAATGTGACGAGGATATCGGGGATATCCTCCACAGAGCTGGGACATAATCCAAGCTCTTCCTTGCTGATGTTCGGATCGTCGCACGGAGAGGCGAGATTCAGGAGAAGCTTGGCGACAGGCAGCTTAGTGAGCACATTCCAGTAGCTCAGCAGCGCAGTCGCAAGCGAAACGATGAACACTTCGAGGAGTGGCCACTTTTTGATGACGCGAACGCGCCGGAAGCTCTCAGCCCAGAGCTTGGATGCCTTGATGAAGAGGGCGCCGACTGCACCGCCGATGAAACCAGTGAAAATGAAGCTGACGAGTTCAAAGTACTCCCAATCCACGTAGTACCGAACCTCAAACATGACGATCTTGTGCGTGCCATAGGGATTCAGGAACTTGAGGGACAAAGCCGCCACTATGCAGCAGAAGAATGTCCTGAACAAGGTCTTGGCGGGGAAGAAATACGAGACTTCTTCCAGACTGAAGAGAACACCGCCCAACGGAGCACCAAAGGCAACAGTAACACCAGCGGCCGCCGCCGCAGAGAGGACCTCGCGCCTTTTGGCGTCGTTGCGATCGTACTTGGAGAAAAGACGGCAGAGGATGTTGCCCACACACGTCGCAATGTGTACATAGGGGCCCTCTTTGCCTATGCTCAACCCAGAGGACACGCTGAGTATCAGAGCAGACATCTTGATCAAGAGGGTTTTGAGGCCCAGGAAGCCGTGCAGGACGAAGCCGCTGAGAATGACGCGAACTTCGGCAACACCGCTGCCTGCAGCGGGATAGTAGACCATCGGCGCGGGCGGCTCGGGCTCGACAGCTGCCTGTCGAGGGGTCTCGTCATCGTCGGTCTGAATGTCTTCCGCCAAGATGGGCACCCCGCTTGCGCCTAGGTTCTCATCAAAGGTAGACATGCGGTAGGCGGATGGCACGACCGTCTTGGTGAACAAGGCCATCCAGCATGATACACAGGAAAGGCCTACCACCATGGGCAAGTAGATGACGTACTCAGTGCCAACCTTACCGAAAGGGTGAGACTTGATCACCTCTGCCCAGTCTCTCCATTGCTCGCAGGGTCCGTCCGGGCAGCAGTTCTGCTCATTGAGATACCATGCCGTAGCACAGTAGCCGTCCTTCCAGTCAAACACGACAGTCTCGGCAACGCTCACCGTATATGCAACAAGCGCAATGATGAAGCCGGACAAAGCGCTGAGTATCCACCCCTGTACGCCGTCCAGCATGATCAAGACCCGGCCCCAGAAATCCTTGCGACTCCGCAACGCCTTTACGCGGTACGAGTCCGCAATGGTATCGTGAACCCAGTCTGTACTCGTGAACTGATCGTACCATACGCGGTCGTCCGCGAATGAGGAAGACTCCTTGAACGGGCCCGAAATTGACTGCTGTCGGTCGGATAGAGCATGAATGATCCTGGAGCCCCAGGATGGATGTCGGCTGTGATGACGTGAACGAGGGCCATGAGGGCCACCTGTACAAAGGCGTCAGCGCTAGGTCTTCCCAATGACTTGTAGCATATACCTGTGTATACCCCGTGCCTCGCAATATCCCCCGCGCGTTTAGGCGAGGATGTCTCACTGCGTAGGTCACTGCGTAATCGTATCCTGGACCTCGATCGACCGAGCAGAGCTGTCCGCTCATCGGCTCCAAGGGATACATGTCGCTCGAGGTTCGGTCGCCGCGATGAAAGAGGGGACGTCGGTTGGGAGAAGGAGTTTTCCCTGCTGAGACCGGACATGGTGGCAGTTGGCGGCGGCTGGCGGTTATCGAGGGAGGAGAGTGCGCCGTGAGTCGAGCAGCAATGGCATCGGCAAGGTTTCGGTGGAGGGGAATGAGGTCCTAGCGAAGGGTGCCGGATATCTGAAGAGGGACTTTTCCTCCAAGTTGGGGACCCTACGGAGGGCGTGCTAAGCTCGACACCACGGACGAGAACCAAAAATGCGGGCAACAGTAGGCCAGGGTAGGATTGCTCACGGGGGCAGCAAGCTGTTGTAGATGCTGGGATGAGCCCGTGAGACCTCACGAGGGGCGTGCCTCAAGACTCGTATTTGGCCCGACGATCGTGGAGGCGGACAGGTCTTGGAAGGCTGTTCACGTGGGCGAGTAGAGTGTGTCAAACGACCCCAGATGATGCACGCCGCTGTGGAGCCAAGCTGTCGCCGCGGCACCCTCGAGGTTGGTGTCTGCCAAAGCACTCGGGGATAAGGAACGAGGGGAGGTATGAAAGAGTGTGGTCTCGCGTCTTGATAACACGAGCAAGTGTGCTGACTCGCCCCCTTCTATCCGGGCCACTCGAAGGAAGACGGACACGACGAGGCTACGTATCCCTTGAGTGTGGAGGATATCGCGAACAAGGGCAGTAAAGAAAGTGGTCGGCTGATGCCAATGGTGCACTGGGCAGGAGGTTGGACTTGGCGCGCTGGCCAGGCGGTGTCAGCGGGCGGCTCCACAGTCCGTGTCATGTCCAGTCGTGTCCAGTGCCAGCCCCTGGAATCAATGAGGGACGCTACTTTTCAGGCACAGACATTCAATTCACATTCAGGGTCCATCGTCATCCTAACTTAACGTTGACGACTGCGTACGTAATGTTGGAGTGCATTGCAAGTGTTGTAGAAACGTGGAATTCTGCTGCTCGAGGCACTTCCAGGTCAAGAACTAGCGCAGCATTTCCAGCTTGTTGTTGGACAGCTGCTTGGTAAACGCAGATCCCAGGCATCCATGCGTGCGTGCGCCCATGGGTCACGTCACTTGCCGACCCATTTTCCAGCATGCCAGTGTTATGCGCACCAGGTGGGAATACTTCAGAGCGCGGTAAGCGATGAGCTTATTGAGCAGGAGCTCAAGAGGCAATTGTTACCTTTGTACATGTTGTCTATAGTACTTATCGATGACGGATACGTCGCTCCAAACAAAGTCCCCCCAGCCCGAGTCCGCCTTCTCGGCCGGCGTTCAACGTTGGAGTGGGGGCCCATCTGCTTATCGCGCCGCCGTTTCTTATCGCAGCTGGAAATTTTCTGAATCCCAACCGCCAGGCTTGTCCCACCCACGTTATTGCCTACGCGGACTTGGTGATTCAACAGCCACCACAACCGACCAACATGGCGAAGAAAAGAAAGGCTTCTGGCCGCAATACGCAGCCGACAGAGCCTCGCGACGTCGACGCTGCAGCTGCGCGTCTCGGGCCCATCACCAGCTACAAAGATGTCGCAGACTCGGAGGACGAATACTTCATCAACCGAGACCAGATCATGATCGATGATGAGCCGAACATGAAGCGCAGGAAGAGGGCTGGCGACGACATTGAGCTCTCGGACGAGGACCTCGACGATCTCGACGATGATTCCGAAGAGGCGGATGGAGTAGACGACGTGGATGTCAAGCAGCTGGCCAAGTCCAAGAGGTTGACAAAGGGAGTCCAGTCGGATGAAGAGGATGGTGACGGCGAGGAGGTGGGCGACGACAGATGGTGGGGGTCTTCGAGGAAGGAGTACTACAACGCCGACATGATCGAGACGGAGGCGGATGCGCTCGAAGAAGAAGCCGAGGCGAAGCGTCTGCAACAAAAGAAGCTCTCCAAAATGGCCGACGAGGATTTCATGTTCGACGGTGATGAATGGCTGGCGACTGAAGGATCAAAAGAGGACGAGGCTGATCAGCCTGTTACCGAAGTGCTGAAAGAGATTGAAATCACAGACGACATGGGCACGGACGAGCGCCGGCGACTGCTGAGGATGCGGTATCCTGAGTTTGGGCATATCGCGACTGAGCTTGAGCAACAGACTGCTGCTCTGGAAGCACTCAAGCAACAAGCCCAAGCAGGTGGCAGCAAGTCACTAGAAGCTGTCCAGTACTGGGTCCTGGGCTGCTACGTGGCGGCGTTGGCTGGGTACTTTGCGATCCTCTCCTCGCCTGCGCGCGATTCTAGGAGGCAGCAAAAGGCCCTGGAGGCATCAGAGCTACGCGACCACGACGTCATGGCGACTTTGGTCGATTGTCGCGAAGCATGGCGCAAGATCAAAGACCTCAAGTCGGTACAAAGCGCAGAAGCAGAGGAAGAGAAGGTCGTCGCCCCTTACGACATTGAGGAGCCCCTCGATCAGACTGAGAAGAAGCTTCGGAAGAAGCAGAAGAAGGCCGCGGACAAGGCCCTGTCTGAGAAGAAGGCGAAGAAGCTTGCCAAGGCCGAAGCAGTGGAAGACAAGCTCGCTGATCTCGACGACCTGCCGCTCGTCGCCAAGAAGACCAAGAAGAAGGAAAAGAGTTTTGCCGCCCAGGATGACTCTGACTCCGACTTTGGTGAAGAGACGAGCCTCGATGCGCGCACCGCTGCCGACAAGGCCGCACGCAAGAAGAGTCTCAAGTTCTACACGTCGCAGGTTGCGCAAAAGGCCAACCGTCGCGCTGGTGCCAGTCGCGACGCGGGTGGCGACATGGACATTCCCTACCGCGAGCGCCTCAAGGACCGACAAGCTCGTCTTCTCCGCGAAGCCGAGAACCGAGCCAAGTCCGGCTCGAAGAAGGGCGCCGACCTCGACGACAACAGTGACAGCGAGGAGGAGACCCAGGCCAAGACGATGCGCAACAACGAGGACGAGTACTATGACATGGTCAAGCACACGTCCGACAAGAACAAGCAGGACAAGGCGGCTCGGTACGCCGCGTTTGCCGCTGCCAGCAAAGCCGATCGGGTAGTCGAGCGTGAGGAGGTCGGCCAGGACGGCAAGCGCAAGATTACCTACGCCATTGAGAAGAACAAGGGCCTCGCCCCAAAGAGGAAGAAGGAAGTGCGCAACCCCAGGGTGAAGAAGAAGATACAGTTCGAGGCCAAGCAGAAAAAGCTGGCCAGCATGAAGCCGACCTGGAAGGGTGGCGAGCCAAAGGGTGGCTACAGGGGAGAGGTGACGGGTATCAACACTGGTGTCATCAAGAGCACCAGGCTATAGGCAGTAGCGTGCAATTGCATATATCAATATTTCTCGCCTTGTACACATATGGTTTCCATTAACCCAATCACGCCGGCTGACAAGTGCGTGCCTGGCTGTGTTTTAGCCCAGCCAATTTGGGTTGTATGAAGTATAGAGGAAGCTAAATCATGGACTGTCCCTTGTGCGTCTCGGTTCACGGAGAATGGATTATCAGAGCTTGTCAAGCTCGAGACTGTTCCTTGTCTACTATGGAAGCTAATGTTTATCAAATAAGCTCATCCCAGGAGTACAAACGGATCAAACCCCTTTGGTGTAGGGTATGCCGGTCGGCAAAGGAGAGTACACTCGTGCGTTAACCCCAGTCGCCCTTCACATCCCAGGTGTCTACTGTGCACCATCTCCGACCATTTTGAGTCAATCCGGTCGCTTGAATATGTGCGGTGAAATTGGAGTCCTTGCCAGGGAGCGCAGTACTTATTTTCACGATGTGCTTTGCGTTCAAAATGCTGGAGTTGGAGAATGAACTATGAAGCTTGCTAGGGAGCTACCCCACAACGACTGTCGTGGCAGCTAACACCACCTACAATCTTTCTCCCAACTTGACATTGTGCCATTGCGACCAACTGCAGCTCAACACGTTCTTCAGATCAGAGCTTTGCAAATGTTATCATCACCGATGCGCATCGAACCCTAAGCGGACGCAATCCGTCACCCATACCCCATTATGGCGACTCCTGACCCATCGACCCTCACCTCGTCCGCGGACATCTTCACGTCAACGCACACGCTTCCTCAGATTCGCACAATACACCGATCCATTCTCAACGCCGTCGACGACAAAGCCCAGCGTCTACGCACGCAGGTCGGCTCCTCGTATCGCGAACTTCTCGGCACAGCGGACACCATAGTCCGCATGCGCGATGACAATGAGAAAGTCCAAGAGCTTCTGAGCCACATGGGCGCGCAATGTGGGCGAGGCATTGTCGGAGGCAAGGTCAGCGGATTGGCCACATTTGTGAAAAAGGAGGCGCATAATCAAGAGGAGGAACGGTTGATTAGAGTGAGCATGTTGAATGCGTGCGCAATGGTCCTGGAACGAGTCCTGAAAGGCGGTGGCGGGCTGGAAGACAGCGTCTCGAGGGGCGAGCGCTTGGTACTCGCGGCAAAGGTGCTAGTGCTGTGCCGACTACTGGTGAAGAGCCTGGGCGACGTTGCTGCAAACCCTGGGATGCACCACGACATTGAGGCGTTGAAGAAGAGCTTCGGTGCGCTGCGCCGGCGACTACTCCGGCACATTGAGAAATTACTTGGCCGAGTGACCCAAGACAGCGATCGTGAAGATGTCACCATGGCATTATGTGCATACAGCCTCGCGACCAGTTCGGGGGCGCGAGACGCTGTTCGCCACTTTCTACACGTTCGGGGCGAAGCGATGGCTGCGGCCGTCGAGGCAGACCACCCCACGTCAGGCGACCGGAGCGAACATGTCATGCAGAGTCTACGGCTCTATACGCGGACCTTACTCGACGTCCAAGCTGTTGTGCCGGCGAAGCTGTCGCAGGCCTTGCAAGGCCTTAAGGCTAAACCCTTGCTGGCCGACCCAGCTTTGAAGCAGTTGCATGGCTTGCGTCTTGATTTGTACGAACGATGGTGTGGTGAAGAGATACAGTACTTCACGCCATTTATCCGGCACGACGACCTGGACAGGACCATTGCCAGAGATACACTCGCCAAATGGGCAGACAAGGGCGGTCAAGTTCTTCTGACTGGTCTCAAGACGGCCTTGAGTAGCATGCACGAGTTCAAATCCGTGATGGAGCTTCGGACCAACCTACTGCAGCTCTGGATCAGGGAAGGCGGGAAAGCCCGTGGTTTCGATCCATGCGAGATGCAAGACGACTTTCGCGAGGTTATCAATGGTCGCATGCTAGCGGTGCTGGAGAGCAAAGTCAAGAAGCTCAACCTTGTCGGATCGGAAGTCAGGGCAACATTGGAAACCTGGCAGGATGGGTTCACCGACAAGAATCGAGGCCTGTGGGAGGAAGAAGGCTACGATACCGCCTTGCAGCAAGGCGCTGCGCCTTTCGTGGAGGAAGTCGTCGCGAGGGTCTATGGACGCAACGATGCCGTGTCGAAGGCGTCGAATTGCTACAAGTCCTGGTTCCATGTGATTGACGACGTCAAGCAGGTGGTAGAGTCACTGACGAAGCAGCGCTGGGACAACGACTTTGATGAGGTGGAGGACGAAGAGACAATCGAGGCCAGGCAGCAGGCGCTTAGCAGAGATGATCCTCTGATGTTGCAGACCAAGCTCGACAGTACTCTTGATAAATCGTTTGAAGAGCTGGAGATCCAGTTGAAGTCCCTGTGGGCGGAGAATGCACCGCCATCAAATCGAGGCCCGGTGGCCATGTACTTCCTGCGGGTGTTACGAGACATTCGCCGACAACTACCTGACCGCCCTGCGACCAAGTCGTTTGGTCTCGCCATGGTGCCTCCGTTGCATCAGCAGATTTCCATACATGTGGTTACCGCACCACTACGGCAATTTGGTGAAGCGGGATTGTCGGAGCGATCGGTAGCTGGTAGGCCTCTGTGGGAGGGTGAGCCGCCCATACCAAACCAACCTTCGCCAGCCCTTTTCCAGTTCCTGCGGAATTTATCAACAGATATGGGAAGTGCCGGCATGGACCTTTGGAGTCCGGCAGCGGTCAAAGTGGTCAAGCAGCACCTTGACGAGAAGCTCTCGCAATGCTGGAAAGTCGAACTTGGCACAATCGAGATAGAAGACTCCGACCAAGATGAGCAGCAAGACGAGAATGAGACCGAAGTGAAAGAAGGCACGTCAGGCGCTCAGAGAGAGCTGCTCATCCAGTGGCTTTTCGATGTATCATATGCCAGGACTTGCCTAGGCAGTGATTGGAAGGCGATGGAGGATCTGGAAGAGGCAATGTTCAAGGCGACAGGCCTAGAGGAACAGTCGCGCACTCGCATCAGCAAGGGTGCCGACGCATTCTGGCAGCGTACAAGCTTGCTATTCGGACTTTTGTCGTAGACAAGGAAAAAAAAATTGTACAATCTATCAAACCTCTACAACTTGTGCCTCTTCTCACCCGATGCAATCTTGCGGAACTCCTCCTGCGGAACACCCGAAGTGAAGCGGTCTAGACCGGCGAACACCTCTTTCACATTCTGCGCGTCAATGACATCCAGCTCCGGCCGACGAATGAGGGCCTTGATACCGATCAGGCTGCTCCCAATGAGGTGCTCGCCCAGGCGGTCATCCACTTCCTGCAGCACAAGCTCTCTGAACTTGGCATCCTCGCCGTTGCCTGTCTCAAAGATCTTGTTCACGTAGCCGCATTGGACCAGCTCTGGGGCCGTGATTCTCTTGCTCATGATCAAAGCCTCGTTGGCCCTCGCAGGTCCCAGTCTCTGCACCAGGGCCCGACTCGCGCCTCCCTCGGCCACGAGACCAAGACTCGAGAAGGGGGTGAGCAGGAACGTCGAGGGGGCGGCGTAGATAAAGTCGGCAAACGCAGTAAGGGCAGCCGAGAGACCGATGACAGGTCCGTTTAGGCCAATGACGAGAATCTTGGGGTGCGTGCTGAAGGCGTGGCAGATGTTGAGGTTGAAGGCCACAAAGCTCTGGAGCCAGTGCTTGTGCATGTCAGGGTTGTCAGCTGACGGGGCTGCTCGTGTGATGGATACATCGGCGCCGCTGTGAGAGGAAAGTGTTAGTACAGTCTGAACTCGATTCCCTTCGTCTCTAATCGTCTGGGGCGAGCAGGGAGGACCTACGCAGAGAAGAAGCGGCCCTTTGCCAAAATGACGGTGATGAAGACTTCGTTGTGTGTGGCGATTTCTCTCAAACTTTGTGCCAGTTCGTAGTAATCGGGTTGGGACAAGGCATTGAGCTTGGATTCATTGGCAATGGTAATAATGGCGACACGGCCGCGGTACTCGACATTGATGACCTTGTTGCTTGAAGACATGATGATGGTGGTTTTGTTCTACGGGGACCGTGATCAACGAGCGTGGTGAAAGGACTATAATTCGAAGGCCCCACGGTTCTTTATAAGATATTTGACCGGCAATAGGTGTAAAATGTTCATCTGGGGTTGGAGTTCAAACAATGTACCCCAGGCCAAGCCCGGACGGGTGGCTCCCCCGAAGATGCCTCGGCATGAACCTGCGGGGAATGCGAAGCTCGGCTGGTCCTTACCACACGCAAATCGTTCACCTCTCAGTGCTCACATACGCTTACAGTGCGATGCAAGTGATATTGAATTGACAGACTCCTGCACTTGCTATGCTGATAACCATCAAAATTCTATTGCCTATCGCTTCTTGGGCGCCAAGTGTCGCTGCTTGGGGAAATCAAGCGGCAGCGCTAAGCGGCCTATTTGCGCAGTGCCGTGCTCTGTCTTGACGGGCTTCACCCGTCCGCCAATCTCATGGAAATAGCCATTGATGGTCTTCTGGTCGAGTCGCAGGTCATCTCGCAATGCCTGCGTGTCGGACTCAAAGTTGTCCACGATGCAGGAGAACACGCAGCAGTGCGTCATCAACAGATCCATGTGGAATTTTCGCATGGTGCCTGCATCCGAGAATTTGCGACGGATCGATTCGACGACGGCCTCGGGCGCGGGATCGAGGGCTTCGCGCAGCTTGTCCCGCGGCGGGATGGACCGCGTACCGCGTTCGCGACCAGGCTTAGTCGACATGTAGAAGATGAGCACAAAGCACAGGTACCGCAACACGCGTAGGCGGAGCGTAGCGTCGGCATTGATGGCGATGGGTGCCACGCGGGACACCACGAACCGCGATGGAGCCTGGATACTCTCCTTGTGCTGCGCCTTTTCCTGCCACTCGCGGATGGGCACCTGGTTGAGAATGTCCCGGCCAATGATAACATTCGGATCGTAGACGTCGAGGATATCGGTTGCATCGAGGTTGGCCTTGGGCACAGGCTTGGCTTCGTCCACCACCGCCTGCAGTTGCTCTTTTGACGCCATGGTGGACGTAATCGAGCCCACGGAAGTGAGCATGGCCTTGGATGCGGCGTCCATCGGTTTTACGGGTTCGTCTGCGTCCCTGCGAACAGGACCAATTGCATTGAGAGTGACGTCTGCGAGGGCCTTCTTGGCCTTCCTGGTGCCGAATGTCTGGCCCAATTCGGTTCTGCGCTCAAAGTTGGTCTGCGGCTCGTTAGCCACGGTATCAGCAAGCATTCAATCGGGGCTCCTTACTGCGAGTGCTTTCTTGGCCGCAGCTTCTTTCTCAGCTTGCTGCTTAGCTCTTACTGCGCCGCGGACAACCATCTTCTTCGCCTCGATGACCTGCATCGTCCCCGTCTTGGGGTCGTAGACTCCGACATAGTGGTTGACCAGCGGTTTCGATCCACGTGAGGTTTCCTCCTTGGCTGTGTAGTCGAGATTCGGATGTGACGTCGAGTGTAGCAGGAGCTCTTGCTGTGTGGATTTGGACTTGTTTTTCGCCGCAATGACCTGATCTTGGGGAACATATGATTGAAATGTCGAATCAGACATTACGCTTATGCCTGGGGCAGTCACTAGTCCAGAGTTAGATCACTGACAGTTACTGAGGGCTCGTGGCGCATCTGTACCTATCACTGGTGGAGAGGACTTTGGTCGCAGAACAGATGATACCTTGGCCTGCGGTGCATGTGCGTCAATGGCGACCTTCTTGGAGGCCTTTGCAGAGCCCTCGCCCTCTCTCTTCCTTTTGGCCATAATGCAGGGCTGTGAGTGTCAATCGGGGTTTAATTATTGAGTGGCGCCTGGGAAGGTGGGATGTTTCTACTATTTTTTTTTCTTCCGCTCTGCAGCGATCACGGGCGGCAGAAAATTGATTGAACCGGACTTAAGCCGGGGCGGTGTGCCAGCACTGTGTGCCAGCGCCGTGTCAAGCAGCTTGAGCTGGACCGATCAACCCCACCCCACCGAGTCGCGACCGTTGGCGACGTCACTGACTGCCATGCGCGTGCACACAAAAAGGAATTCGAGCCTGAATTGAGATGGGGTGGAAGGCGCATGATTGACGAGGGCATTGAACCTTCCGGTAGAGATAATTGGCATGGCAAGTCAAAAGATTTACGCATTCATTGACAAGCAGAGCGTGGCGCAGTCACATTGGAAACTGGTGGTGGTGCACGAAGCGTCTGATTGAATTGTCAAGTAACGTTTTGGTTGGCTTCCAAGCCTGCGTTCTCATGGCAGATAGCTTCAAATCGATGGTCGCTCCTGCGTCCAGCTGAGTGCCTGACCCTCCGTTTGGCGTAATAAGTGCATCTCTCATTCCAATCTCACGTCGTCATCATCCAGGCTCGTCAGGGTTGCGTCCATGTCGTCCTCCAACTACATCTGGGAACAGAGCGTCGGAAGCATTGCAGGTCGTCCTTCCCTGTGTCGGCAAGACTCAGGCGCGAAAAGGTGTCGTGGGTTCTCGTCAATCATGAAAGATGGTTCAGGTCAGGTTGTCGCGTGACACGCTTATTTGCTGAAGAACAGATTAGATACGACATTGTGCCGGCTGTGTTGTGTTGGATGTAGCTTACGAGCGAGCCCTCATCTTTCTTCTCTTACGCTTGAGGCGACGAACGCGCTTCTTCCTCCATTTGGCTCTCATCTTGAACGAGTTTGCTGCGTCAATGTTAGTCAAGACCAATGGTAACCAAGCTTGCGCCGGCAACGCAGCTTGCCACCACAACGGCAACCTCCGCCATTGGCTAGGTAGGCGCGTGGTGATGACTTGCGAGCATCGCAATGGCAATGGGGACTGACGTACAGGTTCGTGGATGAGAATCGTTGTTGGATAAAGAACAATGTGAACGGTGGGCGGGGAGAAGTGTGGCGGTTAAGGCAGGCCGAACTAGTAGGGTTAGGTTTTGACCAGTCACGTGTGGCTTGTGGACTTTACGTCACTCCACCACAGCGCGAATTTCGTTCCCAAACTATAGATCACACCGTGTCCCTGCAGCAAGCTGTGATCCACATTCGAGTACAACCTGAAGCTGTCACGACTCTCTTCAAATGATGATCACTCTGGGCCATTGGTGTTTCATTTTCGCGTGGTGTCATCCCGACACTCGCTTGCATGAGGACGGCCAGCCTTTTGACCCTCTGGAGTCCTGGACCCCAAGGTGGATGCGACCGTGTCCCTGCTTGCTAGAGTCCACGCGCGGAAGGAGCACCTGGCAGGTTCCTGTTCTTGCTGGGGGCACATACACAGGCAGCGTGTAGCAATTCCAGTCAAAACTCAAATACCCCTCTCTCTACACCGTGAATAACTGAATCGTGTTCTCTTGGACAATCATATTGATCACGATGCTTTCAGATTTGCGCCCCAACAGTAAAGGCGAGCCAGTAGCCATGCTTCAATTCTTTGATGTCAGGAAGGGGCCTGGGCCTCAAGGTACCCACTGTGATTGCGATTGAGATATCTTTACTGACCCTGCCAGATACGATACTGATTCAGAGTCACGATGTGTTCAGGATTGGGCGCTTTGCCACTACGAAGTGAGCCCTATCTATCCAATATCAAACGCAATGCTAATTCCAGCAGTGACTTGGTCATCGGAGGTGGCACCAATGCCGCAGTATCTCGCAATCATTGCGAACTATACTCCATTGTGTATGAAGCTAATTTGTGCCATGTCTTCGTCCGAGACCGCAAATCTGTCAATGGAACCTACGTGAATAATACTCTTGTCGGCCATGGCCCTGATATCACGCCTGGATACCTGCTTGAAGATGGCGACGTGATCGAGATCAAGCCGTACTGGAAGTTCCTGTACCATCAGGTTGCCCAATGTATCGAATCGGATCTTACCCCAGTCCAGTCAGGGGAATGCGAGGTTAGCATTACTGAGTCTTTCGCTATCTGATATTGACAGCACCCAGTCATTCTCTCATCAATACAAGGTCACTAAACGATGTCTTGGTCAAGGTAGCGACGGGTCTGTTTATTTGGCGCTTGACACGAAGACCAAAAAGCAGCTCGTTTGCAAAGTTGTTGATCTGGACAGTCTCCAGGGAAAAGGCAGGCGTGGCAAAGACCAACGCCGTCGGAAACTTCAAGAAACGGACATACTTCGTCAGTTGCAACATGTAAGTCAAATCTATTGTCCGATGCAACGCTTATGGCTAACGAATCTCAGCCCAACATACTGGCTTACGTGGACGCTATATGCTCCCCCCATACACTGTGAGAAACTCTTCGTGCATCAGAAAATCGTCGCTAACGTCTGATAGCTACACCTTCACAGAGCTTGCGTCAGGGGGCGATCTCATGTCGTTCTTCTTCCGACACAAGCGAATTCCCGAGTTTGGCACCCGAATCATAATTCGACAAATTGTTCGTGGGCTATCGTACCTTCATAGCAAAGGCATTGTGCACCGCGACCTGAAGCCGGAAAATGTTCTTCTGGCATACTCGCCAAGTATATCACATCACCGGATTGTGCTCGCAGACTTTGGTGCATCAGCAGTCTCCTGCAGAAGTCGTATGCTGACCTCGGTAGGTACGTTGATCTATCAGGCGCCGTAAGCTCCCACGCATCCCATAGCCATATCGTCGGCTTGTCTAACGTGACTAGTGAAATTGCAACCAAAGGGGTACCTCAAACTAGCGCTGTCGATATATGGTCCCTAGGTGCCATTGCCTTGTCAATGGTCTCGGTCGAGCATGGCATACCTCAAGACCTGCGCTGTCAGGGCCAAGGAGTTTTGGATCGTTTCCTGGAAGACGCTTTCGACGTTGCGAATCCCGCGGCGTCTTTGAATGCTCGCAAATTTGTTCGGAGCTGTCTGAGTATCTCGGCAAAACAACGCATCAGCATCTCAGAAGCGCAATCTCATCCTTGGCTCTGTACACCCGACAAACACGTCGAGTTCTTTGAGCGCCTTGACAAGCGAACGTTGTCAAATTGGCACGCGAATGAACAAATTAGGCCGCTTCCATGGGATCTTGACAATTTGATAGATGTTATCGCGAGCCATGCGGAAATTGGCGCCGCAACTACGGTTGATGGTGGTGTCATTGACATGCGTTCTACAGCCATCGCGAATCAGAGCTCCAAGCATTTCACATTGGGTGATAGGGAAGACCAACAACAACATTCATGAGCCGACACCAGCCGATATCACTCGGCCTAGAACTCAATTGTGCACATTCAATTACGAGTGCCTAAATAGGTGCACTTTCGAACGGTTTTGACGGAAGTAGTTGGCGAAGCTTCCGAGCACGTGCAGCGGTTCACTCGGCCCTGGATCCAGGTCCTGTAATGCCGACTTACCAGGTACCTGATCGCGCCATCGGAGCAGCAATATTCTTGATGAGGTTCTCATCATCTCTCGGTCGCAGGATGTGTCTTTGTCGCTTATTGCTCCGATCTGCGCTGTCTGTGCGGCTTCATTGTTCAAAAGTGGCTGAAAGGAAAACAACACTGACAAAGCCGTGTACATCAGCCTTTCATCAATATAAAGCTAGAACTCCTTAGCACCATTTTAAATCCGAAACCTTTCGTTATACTTCAATACATGGTTTCTCCAAGAAACGATGCCCGATCTGAAAGCCACCCCTGACGTTCAGTTGTCCATCGAACTCCTCCCACCCAAGAAACTAAAAGAGCCGCTACCACCATTGCTGAGCAAGATCTTAACACTGCGGAATGACCAGCTCGTCAAGAATGCGTCAAATTCAGACGCAGCTACAGCTCGCCGTGCAGAGCAGCGAAGTGAAAGGGTGCAAGCCGAGATGAAGCATCTTTTAAGGAAGGAAGAGGCCCAGGCGCAGTGGACGATCAAATTTGACAAGCAGCGCGAAGCCCAAGAAGCAAGCAATGCTGCTCTCCAAGAGAAGAGACAGAGAAGGAATGTAGAGGACAGAGCTGGCATGGGTGAGCTCACCGAGACAAGAGACCATTTACAGGCCTGGGCGCGCGAAAGGGGTCTGTTACGCAAGGCGAAGTACGAGAGCGACGCAGACTTCAGAGCACGGATAGACAATCTGACAGCCTACCTTGACAAGATGTTCCAGACACACAAGGGGAAGATCGAAACAGAAAGTCTGAGATACGTCGAGGGCTTCCCTGTCCGAGACCGCATGAAAAGGCCGGCGCTTTTCCCAGACAGGCTGACGGGCTGTCTCAGGGCAAAGTGTCTGCAGTGTGATGTTCGTCAAATGCGATGCTCACTCGAGATGGGCGGCGTGAGAGGCGAAGCTTGCAGCGTCTGCAGGAGACACGGCGAAGGAGACGAATGCTGCTTTTGGCAGCAGAACTACGGAAATCCTATTGACAGCCGCTTTATATTGACGAAGCAGCAGGCAAGTAAAACCCAAAAGGACGTGGATGAGGTAGCGCGCAAATGGCATAGAGTACGCAGCTGCATCAAACTTGATGCCTTCAACGGGGCTCTGCAAGAATGCTGGACAGCATCTTTTGCTTTGCCTCGGTCACAACACTGGGACGATGAGCAGACGGATGATCTTGAAGATGACAGACAGAAGACAGGGGAGGAGGACGTCGTGTCAGTATAGGGTAAGCGACGTCTATAGCGCGGGGGCAGATCCCGCAGGCCACGAGCTTCCCTCATGGAAGCACAAAGATCAAGTGCGTGCAGCTCCTTGCGAATTTCCTTAGATAGTCTCTTTCCCAAGGACGCCATACAATGTCACCTCCTGATCTTGTCTCATACCGTCTCGAAGCCTCTGTTGCCCAAGAAATCTTCACCACCCAGATACTTCCCGCCGACATCCTCCCTCACCCGCCTTCACCATACCCTACGCGACCACTTGCTCTCTTGATACTAGGACAGACCGGCTCAGGCAAGACATGTCTCGTACCCAAACTTCTCTCTGCGCTTCGCGCGCAAGACCGGAGTCCCGTGCATCTTATAGCGGACGTATACAAGAGGTTCCATCCCGAATATGCCTCGCTAGACTCAAAGATAGCCTCCGCTGCAACCGGGAGCGACGCCAGGCTATGGCTGGAAATGGCGGCCAGTGAAGCGAGCCTGAGGCGTCAAGATGTCGTGATTGAGTCGGCATGTCGACATCCCTCTGATTTCACCAGCCTTGTACGGATCTTTCACAGACAAGGGTACACGATCAGCGTGGTTGTTCTCGCGACCCCGTACGCGTTGAGCCGATTGGGGATTCTGGTACGGTTTTATGAAAAGCTACCAGAAGCAGCATCACGTGGGTTGCCGTTGCGTTTGACACCAACAAAGATACATGATGATTCCTACAGAGGCTTGCTGGAGGCCACTGCTTGGCTCGACGATGAAAAACTGGTGGACCGAACGATCCTGGTAAGGAGAGGCCACTTGGTCGCCTTCGTCTCTGAACGAGATGAGAACGGCAAGATCAAGGGAGGAGTGAAGGAGGCGCTTGAGCGTGAAAGGCAGAGGCCACCGAGCGCAGCTGAGGCTGCGGTTGCAAGAGCTGGGCTGGATGGACTAGAGAGAATGCCAGCTGCAGAAGGCCATCATGCCGAACTGGAGGAGCTGTTGTTACCGATGCTCAACACTGACGATGCGCAGAGTCTGGAGAGCAATTATCCAGTTCTGTATCCCCTGGAGTTGCAAGATGATGACAACGTTGTGGGTTTGGGAGCTCCTGGCGCAATTAAAAACTCTAGAAATCATAAACAAATAAATCTGGGCTAGAGATTTGGCCATCAAACAATGCGCATCTAAACGCCAGTCCATGCCACTATCATCGATGCGTGCCGTCATGCCTGGCTGGGTCCTGCTCAACAAGCTGTGCTCAGTTCGTCCTCTGTCCTGTGTGCTGTGTATCCACAAAGTGCCATTGCCATATATGCGGGCAGAGTGCCACTTTTATCCAAGACTGTCATCAACAATAAATATCCCCAACGCCATAAATCAAGCCATGTGACACTCTTGCTTGTTCCTAACACCGGCTCCATGTGTGGCAAGATTGCCAAATTAACAATTAAAGAGACAATAACAATGGTATCAAGAGCACCCGTCATCCTCACATGTGAAAGGACGACGGGGCTCAAATCGGCCTCGGTGATGCCTCAAGATGAGGCACGCTGCGTGGCGTTACATCTCCGCTCGCCCCTCGTGTCGATGGCGAATGCGTTCTCTGGGGCTTGTTCGCATCCGCTATCATTTGTTGCTTTTGGCGAACCTTTGCAAGCCTTCCCGAGATCATCTTGACCACTATAGGTAATTAGAATTGGGCATCATGAAAGCACTTGCCAGGATGGACTTACTCTTGCGAATATGTTGCTCCTCATCACTGTCAATGTCGGGCGCAACATCCTTCGCGGGTTCTTTGCCAGCCATGATCTTCTTCGAGCTGTCTTCGTCACTGTCCACCACGGCCTCCAACATGCGAATCGCGGTCACATATGACAGCTCGCAGCCCCCCAAGTTCTCGTTGGTTACTTCGTCGATGGCTGCTGCTCGGCTCATTTCAAGAGCGCGGTCATACATTAGCTTCTCTGCACTGATTCCGGGCGTGAGGTAGACGTCCTTGACCCCTGTACTGCCCGCGGCCGATGTGGCGGATTCGAGTCCTTGGTTGGATGGATGACTGGGATGGTCTTCAGGCAATCCCCGCTGCGACTCGGTCAATCTGAGACGAACGACTTCGGACTTCTCAAGCACCTCGTTGAACCGTTGCCGGACCCATTGCACAACAGCGTTGATGCGCTGCACGATTGTCTGTGCGACAGCATTGCTAAGACCACTCGATGTCTCGCCACGACTCCTCTTTGACCACCACACGCTAGCAATGTCCATGGCTCGGGCCAGAAGAGTCAGTGACTTGACATAGAGAACGAGAGCCTCTTCGGAAAGTGACACGACGGCCTCGACAGTTAGCCCATCCTCAACCGGGTTCAGCTGGTCAACGTCGGCTCCGCCTAGGCCGCGCTCCGCCGAAGGAGCCATGGGAACCAACTGCTTGTACTTTACTTCGGCGAACCCGTATACACAGTCGCTTCGCGTCGCTAGCTCCTCGATGGTGTGCGCTGCCATCGCATCCTCGTCGGCGGCATGTGACGTCCTGACGTCGCCGATGAGCCCCGTTGTTGCTGGAGCGGGATAAGCAGGGAAAGCCTGATACATAGGTGGGGATTGCCCCTTTTGTCCCAAGATATGAGGTACCTTGAACCCAAACAGTCGCAGGCTCGCGTCTTGGATAGCCTTTGATATGGCACTTGATGCCGAGCCGGGGCTGGAGGACAATGCTTTCTCATAAGATGATCGCCGCTCGTGACTTGCGTGACCCCGAGCAACGAGTTCGGTGCGCGATGGCGTCGGAATAGCCCCAGTAGTCGAAGTTGGGGTTCCTTGTTGGGTCGAGCGTCTCGCCATTTGGCCAGCTCGGGGACTCATCTTCTCGTTCGCTGCCAGCTCATCTGCCAGGGCGTTCACCTCAACATGTCTTCGCTCAACAACCACATAGTCTCGCTCAAACATAACATCTTGGGCAGCCTTTTCCTCCTCAGGCGTGCGGCCAGTTGGGATTTTGCGAGCACTGTGGGGTCGCATGTCCGGATTCACAGTATTGCGACGCGAGGTCGTTTCGGCCGGGCGTGGTTGTGCAGGCATTGTGGCGGAGTGTTGTGGAACAGGCCTTCGAATACCCAGACCTTCCCCATCTTCACGAGGAGATGAGCGTGGAGGCCGTTCTTCTGCTGCCTTGCCTGTGTTCGGCCGTACCTGACCAGGGCTGGAGGAGAGCGGAGTTCGTTCGTGAGAGACGGTTTCGCGGGGTACATCTCTTTCAGTGTGTCGGCGAGAGCTTGCTCGCGACAAACCCCCGGTTGGCTGTTCATACTCTGCTTTGGGTTGCGGTGCTACTTTGGGGAGATCATCTTCCACCAACCCTGGGATGTCGGTAGTGACAACGGGGTGCTGAAAGAAATTCTCAAAACTCAGACGCTCGACGGGGTTCCTCTTCAACAGTGCTCGTACAAGGGCCTTCAGGTCAGCAGTGACCGTGACTTCGCGGGGAAACTTGATGACGTCCTCAGCAGCCTCTATCTTCCTCAGAAGTTCCACGTGGTTCCTTGCCTTGAAAGGAGGTCGTCCTGTAATCATCTCATACAGCACGGTTCCCACGGACCATAGATCAGCCTTGGCGTCGTATCTCTCATAACGAAGGATCTCTGGCGCCATGTACAGCGGGGAGCCGCAGAGTGTGTCTGCTAGCGATGTAGATGGCAGAACTCGGGCAAATCCAAAGTCGGCTAGTTTCAGCATCGGCAAGGACTCTAACCCCGCGCAAGGTATTAACGAATTGTGGCTTCCCTCCATAACTGGCATGTTGCTATGCTGACGGGCTGATTTCGCGGGTAGAAGCAAGAGATTCTGAGGCTTCACATCGCGATGAACATAGTTCTTCAGTCTTAAGAACTCAAGCGCACTTGATAACTGCTTAAGAAAGTGGCGGATGACAACTTCGTGGAGACCAGAGTTCGGAGCACTAGGGTACTTCCGTGCCATGTCGTGGGTAGCCGGGTGTGTAATCAACTTCTCCCGCTTCTTGATGAATAGGGATAGATCCCCGAGCTCGCAATATTCCATGATGAGGTTGATATGTGTCGATGACTCCACGCAGTCATGCAGGGCAACGATATGTGGATGTCGCAGGGTCTTGAGTATTTGGATCTCGCTGTAGAGGTTCTCCTTGAGCTTCTTGTTCAAGCGCTCCAGCTCGACCGATTTGATGGCTACAATTTGTTTGGTGTCCTGGTATTGTCAGCACAGAATACGAAACTGCGAGAGTGGCTGGACACACCCTATGTAGGCCCTGGTATACTTGAGCGAAGCTTCCTTTGCCAATCTCCTTCTCGATGACGAACTGCCCAACTGTCGTCCGCCTCAGTCTCCGGATGCCCTGGGGACCGGCATCCCGGGCGCTCGCCATGGTGTGGTCGAGGTATGTATTCGTTGGCTGTCAAGAGACGATGCGAATTCCACCTCAGCCCGAAGGCTAGATCGTCTGACGGGGGGCGAACGGCGAGACCGTCATGTATACGCTGTGGGAAGGTGTAGAGGAATTCGGTCGACAATGTGACGAGGATCGGATCGGGCGCAGGTACGCAGAGCGGTGAAAGGGCTGGAGGGCTCGCTAATAGACGAGATGGCAGAGGCCGTGTGAACGTCGAACGGCCCGTTGTCGTCTGCGAGAACGGCAGCGCTCGGAGTGACGCGCAGCGACGGATACAATGGAGGCTAGGGAACGTCTGTCAGCTAGGCCGTTGCCAGACGGATGACAAGGAAGTTGACGATCTCGTGCGATGTCCTAGAGAGTCCGTGGAAGGTCGAGGAGAAGTATCGATGACTCGAACCATGCGCGCCCCAGTGTATACATGCAGATGAGCAAGGGTATGGTATCAGTCTGGGGATGGAGGGTGTCCAGGCCTCGGCGAAGGGGCTTTCGACTAGAGAAGCTCGGAGCTTATCTATCGTCCCTCGCCAAAAAAAAACACTTTTTGATTTGGGTCTTCCAGGCTAAGCCAGCCAAAGTCCAAAATCAATAGCCTTCGGATCGCAGGGGGTTGGATGGTGCTGTTGCGCTGACAAGAAAGAGCCCCAAGATGGGCTTTAACCGTTTAAGGCGGTGGCACAAGTGGAAACGACGTCAAGATGTGGTGTAGGACTCAAGGGGACCGCTCGGGACTTACTCCGGGAATGTGATCCTGAAGTCAGATAATTATAGATTCAAATCCAAAGATGCCGAGAGTGCACCCTGATGGTTAGAGGATAGATTCGTCACTTCAAAGTGTCGTAGGAGTTGATGCTCATGGCAAAGTAAGTAGGCGCGTCTCGTAGAGTCGAGTCGTCGTGAGTATCGCGAAAGCGGAGCCAAGTGATTGGGGGAGTGGAGTCGGGCGTTGGAGGAGTCTCACCGCGAAACTAGCCTCACCATGCGTGTGAATGCACGAGAGAACTAACAAACAAAGGCGAAGCTTCGAGCACAGAGAGAAGTCCCCAGGAAGATGACAGGACAAAGTCGACAAGGAGCCATGGAAAGCCAACGACGATAAGACAGGCCCGCACTCGACATGGAGACAGCTGAGGTGCGCAAGGCAGTATCAGATGGATGCGCCTTCCCGTCTCATTGATGAGCTCGTGATGCGATGCGCTGCCAGTCCCCACCGCTCTAGTGACCACTGGCACGACAGCGCATGCAGTTGCTGCAGGCTCGAATCCCACAGGGGCTCGAAGCACCTTGACCAATCGAGGCGCTCACTCATGACGCTAAGCTTTTCCGAGAGGTCTCCAACTTGTGTCGTTATGGTACCCTTTGCTAAACCCCATCGCATTTCACAATGCCGACGCTGTGACTGTTTTGGAATGTGCCTATCAAAGGTACTTCTTGATCTAGATGAATCACCAGGATGCCGAGCCCCGCCGGGCCCAGTCTTGACGTTTATCGCCAGGCCACCATGATGGCGTCGTCCTCGACAGCTGATAAGGCACGTTCGAGTCACGATAGCGACCTGGCCAGTCGCACTCATATTGGCCCTCTCCATTTGGATGGTCGCTATTCAACTAATTAATCGCGAGCGTTCGGGCACACCTTGCGCATTCTCGGATATCTGTAAGCATGACAGCTTTCGTGATGTTCCTCACTTTCCACTTGCACATGTGACATGGCTACATGTGCAACTGCCAACTGGGAATGGAGATTCCAGGCTCCAGCCCTTGTCTGACCTGATGCCGCTTTCATCCACGATTCGACTACTTCGTCTACGAGGTTGTTTGGATGTACAGCAACTGTTCAGCAGCATTGTTCATGCCTGACTATGCTGTTCCTGGGCAGCCCGTCTAGGCAGCGGTGCATCAATACACCCTCAATATGACGACGTGCAGGTCTGTTCCCCATCCCCTATCGCCTCAGCCTTGCTGATTGCAATCAGATATCTATCCTCTCTTGGCTTGACGGACTCGGATTTGCAGAAGTGGACCGCTACCCTGATAGGCTCTACCTACTTACTACATTTCCAGCCAACCGTCGTTACAATGTGAACACTTTGTTGGTTACCTTGTGCTTTTTGGAAGCCTTCTCCAGGTCCTGTCATGTTCTGGGCCAAGCCACCTTACCGCTGAGCATCGACCTAGCAGACACATGCGCACGCCCAGCCTGTTCGGTGTGCGTCACGACTACTGCGCTTCGATACATCTGGACCATCGTAACACACCGACAACGACACACACTGATTGCCGTCGCCATTGGTAAAAGGTGGATGCTCATCAGGATGTACAATTTTCAACCTCGCTGCCATTGATTGAAGTGTCGATCTCGCCCAGGGCCACAGAAGTCCCGCAATAATGGACTACGTACATGATGCTACATACGTAGGTGGACACCCGGACCCTTGGTCCCTTGGGACATCAATAGCGTCTTGTGGAGATCATCGCTGCTACGCCGACATACACCTGTGTCTTGCCCAGGGCTCGAGTGTTCAGCAGACGCAAACTCCATGGTATCATTTCATTCATGCATTGTCTTTTTTTCCCAACAAAGTCGTCCAGTTTCATACCAAAATCCCTACAACACCGTGATTGCAGCAATGCTGAATGCCTTTTTTCTCGTGACTCATGCAGGACAATCTAGTCTAGTGACCACTAGCATTCTCCACGCTAGGCAGTTCCTTGATGGCCTCAGCAATGATGTTCAGACCCTTCCTCAACTCAGCCTCGGTGATGACCAAAGGCGGCGCAAAGCGGATGATATCGCCGTGGGTAGGCTTGGCAAGCAGTCCCTTACTCTTCAACAAGAGACATAGGTCCCAAGCCGTCCTGCCTGACGCAGCCGACTCATCGATGACGACGGCGTTGAGAAGACCCTTGCCGCGAATCACCTTGATGATGGGCGAGTTGAGAGCCTTAATGCCGTCGCGGAAGATGTTGCCCAACTTCTCGGCCTTGGCAGTCAGATCCTCTTCCTCCATCAACTCCAGAGCGCGGATCGACACGGCGCAGCCCAACGGGTTGCCGCCGTAGGTCGATCCGTGTGTGCCAGGCTCGACTACCAGCATGACCTCCTTCCTGCTGAGCACGCAGCTGACTGGGTACATGCCACCTGAGATGGCCTTGCCCAAAGTGACCATGTCAGGCTTGATGCCAGCCCACTCAGAGCAGAGCATGCGACCTGTGCGGCCGATACCCGTCTGGATCTCGTCGCAGATGAACAGCACATTGTGCTTCTTGCAAAGCTCCTGGACCTTGGCCAGGTAACCCTCATCCGGAACCACGACGCCAGCCTCGCCCTGGATGGGTTCACAAATGAACGCAGCAGTGTTCTTTCCGTGTGCCTCGAATGCCGCTTCTAGATCCTCGATGTGGTTGTAGCGAATAGAATTTCCGGTCGAGGGGCACGTTGCGCCGATGTTGGGAACATATGGGCCGTAGTTGTCCTTGGAGTCAGAATCGGTTGAAAGTGTGATTGCGACCATCTGTCTAGTCAGCATTTACGTACCACTTGCTCGGTTCTTGACAGGAGCTTACCGTGCGTCCATGGAAGTTGTCAGTCGCGGAGAAGACCAAGGCCTTGCCAGCCTCAACACCCTTGACCCTGTATGCCCACTTTCTTGCGATCTTGATGGCGGTCTCGACGGCCTCTGCGCCCGTGTTCATGGGCAGCACCATGTCATAGCCAAAGACGTCCTTCACCTTCTCTGCCCACCGGGGGAACACATCGTTGTAGAAGGCTCTTGAGCTCAGCGTCAAGCGACTAGCCTGATCGGTCAGGGCCTTGATGAGTTCGGGATGGCAGTGGCCTTGATTCACGGCGCTGTAAGCAGAGAGGAAGTCGAGATATTGCTTGCCTTCGGGGTCCCAGACGTGGACACCTTGAGCGCGAGCAAAGACCACAGGTAGAGGATGGTAGTTGTGTGCTGCGAACTCTTCCTCAGCCTTGATGGCTGACTGCGTGGAAGAAGCGTGGAAGCGAGGGGTTGAAGCGCTGCCCGTCCGCGGGGCACTGTTGTCGTCTGCGTGGGGTGCCATGATGTTGGCGATTGATGTCAAGGAGGTAGTCTTGGTTTGGGATTTGAATTGTTCTGATCTGAACAGATGTCAGTACAGCAATTACACGGACATGTAGCCAAGCGGGCCATTCGTAAAGACAGTGCCTTGGGTTGGAGCTTACCTGCCCGTATAAGTGACAAATGACGTCGCTCCCTGGGGACAATGGATAACTGGACAGTTCTGAAGTTAGTTGTTGTGCGAGCGAAGCAGAAGACAAAGACCAGGCGATATTCCATGATTAGGAATTCCCCTCAGTTATTATACCCGTCGTGATTCAGGCATGAGCCCTCCTCATTGAAAAAGTGGCCGACGCTATACCCCTAAGTGCAAGTGCTCCTTGTTGTCACGAGCCTGCCTTGCTGTGATGTCGGTCGAGATGCTGGAGGCGCCAGATAGCACCAAGCCGAGAGAAACCGGCCCGGCTTAGGCCAATCAGTGCAGCGTAATTACGTACAGTGTTGGCGCTCCAGTTAGGTCCCTAGGGGCCATTCTCCCTGAGCCGCCTAACACGTGAGCTGACAAGCGCAAGCTTCCCTGCCACCACCACAACTCACAAGGTGGGGCTTTCCCTATGTCGTTGTCAATCGCACCCTGCGCCCAGGCTCCATTCATCGCCGCCAATGATGTGGCGCCCCGCTAAACGACCCTTGGGGCGCTCCAGGACCCCCTTGGACCACTTCCAACGAACGCATCGAGGCCGGCGTCACACATCATGTAAAGAACGACGTGTTCAGGGGTCCACTCGCACATCGATTGGAGCCGTCCTCACTCTGGCAACATGTCTGTCACTTCAATCAAGAAAAGTTTTGTCTTTCTGCGCGCGATCATCATCATAAGACTTATCAATGCTTTTTGGGTGACAACCTTCTTCCAGCCAGATGAATACTTCCAAGCCTTGGAGCCCGCCTGGGAGCTCGCTTTTGGGGCCCGTAGCGGCGCCTGGCTGACGTGGGTAAGAAAACAACAAAGACTTCTTTTCCTCGCCTCAATAGCAATGCTGAACGGATCCAGGAATGGCGTCACCAGCTGAGGTCGTCTCTGCATCCAGTCGTCTTCTCGGCAGCCTACCTGGTAGCAGACCATGGGACCAGATATCTGCCTATCGGCTCGACCGCGAAGACGGCGGTCATTGTTGCTGCACCACGGTTCGTGCAGGCTATCATCGCGGCCCTGGGGGACTTCTTCACCTGGAAACTCGCCATGAAAATCTATCCAAACAGCAATGATTCCTCCTTTGCTGTAAGTAACTGCCTTGGAGAGTGAAATTTCACACTGCGCTGGACCACTGCTGACACCATGCACGTAGCTCTTCCTCCAGCTCTTCAGCGCATGGCAATGGTATTGTTCCATCCGCACCTTTTCCAATTCACTTGAGACCACCCTCACCATCACGGCTCTGTACTACTTCCCCTGGCGAGACCTGCTAGGCGTGGCAAGGACAATCAAGGAGAACCCCAAGATGGCCAACAGCATCCACCAGAGGCCAGGCGCGCTTCGCCTGTCAATTATCTGCGCTGCTTTTGCGGTCCTCCTGAGACCTACAAACATGCTCATATGGTTGGCAATCATCTTGGTTTCTTTCACCAGACTTTGCTTAAAGGGGCCGAGTCCGCTATCCCAGGCCAAGGTCATCGTCCTATTCAGAGAGGCTATCTTGTGCGGCACCGTCGCTCTTGGTGTCTCCCTGATCTCAGATCGTTTGTATTTCGGGTTCTGGACGTTTCCGCCTTATAATTGGCTCTACTTCAATATTTCAAAGTCGCTGGCTGTCTTCTACGGCCGAAACCCCTGGCACTACTACATACTGCAGGGAATCCCTCTTCTGAGCACGACATCTCTCCCCTTTGTGCTCATGGCGCTGTACAAGCCCTCAACGTCAACAGAGGAGCAGTACAACATTCTAAGGACAATGACCTTGGCTGTTGGTATTACCATCACCGCGCTCTCCCTCATCTCGCACAAGGAGGTCAGGTTCATTTACCCTTTGCTTCCAATATTCAATATCCTCGCGGCACCTCTCGCGGCTCGCTTCTTCACCATCCCACCGCCCACCACGTCTCAACCACCTCGGCTCAAGAAAAAGATGTGGCTTTACCTCGCTGTGGGTATCAATGTTCTCGTGGCGGGCTACCTCTCCCTTATTCACCAACGCGCGCCTCTCGAGATGGTCTCACACCTTCGGAAATCCTACCAGGATTTCCCCGCAGCGCAGAAGGATGACCTGTATGTACTCTTTCTCATGCCATGCCACTCCACACCATGGCGGTCTCACCTCGCGCACGACTCCATGAACGCGTATGCCCTCACGTGCGAGCCCCCGCTGCACACGGCGCCAAACACGCCGGAGAGGGAGTTGTACCGGGACGAAGCAGATCGTTTCTACGATGACCCTATTAAGTTCTTGTCTACAGAACTTTTCGCCGGAGAGGGACGCTCTCCCGTACCAAGCTACATTGCCGGATTCGAAGGCATAGAACCCTGGTTGCACGAGTTCTTCGAATCAACATCCACTGGCAGGAATCTCGGTGTCACCGTGAAGCCAGTGTGGTCCGCATTCAATGGATTTTTCAACGAAGACTGGCGGAGAGCTGGTCGAATGGTCATATGGGAAACAGTGCCAGTGGAACGTCACACAGATCTGTGAATGTATTGCAAAATGTAGAAAAGAAACAACTGGGGATATAAATTTATAGTGGCGCCGCCCAAATACAGGGCCCAAATTCATTAAAAGCCGCCGCCCTCTATGCGAAGTAAAATAGACATAACGCTCAGACGGGGTACATTACAAGAAAGAAAGAGGGCATGTACACATCTAGCCCCTTTATTCAACATATCAAAATTTTGGGTAGCCTTGGTCATCCAGGAAGATCTCTCGGCGATAAAGTCATCCTGCATTAAATAGTGAGACATCCGCTACTCCATGATATGAGACCCTCAGAGAATTGTTCAAACGTGCCTGCCCATCAACGACAACGATAACGCCACCTTTTGCCTTGTACTTTCATTGCTTCATCATGATCATTGTTTGGGAGCCTCGGTCGCCGCTGTAACAGCAGCGACACCTGGGGTCGGAGAGTCGACATGGGCTTCAGGGTTAGGAGCTGGCTCCGTGTGAGCGACTTCGACGTCCGGCTTCTGGCCATCCGCTGGCTGCTCAACAACGGTGTCGATGGTAGGCGCATGCGGGGTGGGCTCCGTTGGTGCTCCAGGCGATTCTGCCGGTACCGTCGTAGGCTCCTCCTTGATTGTCGTCACTGGCGTGGACTCGGCCGGAGCTTCCGCCTCGCGATCCGCGGAAGGGCTGGACCCCTCAAGTTCAACGGCCGGTTGCGCAAGTGACTGCTGAGACTCTTCTGCGATGGCCTCATTGGCCTTCTCTGTACCAGTTACTTCTCTCCTCTCGGACCCAGAGGGTACTCGTCTCTCACTCAGCGGTTCCCGCTTGATGTCGACACTCTTGCCCCTTGACAGAAAACTAGCTGCTCCATTGTCGGACGGCGGGGGCGATTTGTTGCGTCGTTGCTCGGCTGTCTCTTTGGCCTCGCGGTATTTATGGCGGATCCAGCCCAGGGGTCCTTTAGGCTCGTCCCTGCCAGAGTCCTGAGTGTCAGCGCTGGCTGCTGCCGCCTCTGAAGACTCTCCAGTGAAGCTTTCCTTCGGTCTTCCACCAAAGCTTTGTAGAGAAGTCTGGCTGGTATCGGCGTGCTTGGAAGGTCTGCTGTCGGTCGATTTCCTGGGATGGGTGCCTTTCCTGTCCTCGCTAGATCTGCCATTGAGCAGCCCTGTTCCCTTTTCTCGGTCGGATGTGTCATTATAAGAGGAATGCAAAGAAGTGGAAGGCGACTGCTGGGACCTCAAAAAGTTCTCGGTGCGGGCGCTCTCGCCCTGGGTAGAGGGCATCACAGGGACGTCACTCGACGCCTCGTTGACTGGGTGAGCCGCGAGTGGCTGGGGCTGGGAAGGCTTCATCTCAGAGGTTGCCGTCTGTTCTAGTGGGTTGCTTTGCTCTGCAGTGGGCGAGAAGGGTGGTCCGCTCTGAGGTAGCGAGGTGTTCGAACTTTGGGCGCTTTGGCTCATGCTGCCAGGTATCCTCTTCTTCTTGAGCTTGTTGGGCTGCCTTCTACTGTCATCGGTTGGAGACCTGTTGAAGAGGCCAGATAGATTGCGCTCCTTTTGAAGTACGCCCTGATCTTGGGGTACGCTCAACAGTCGCTCTTGACTGCGGTCAGCATCTTGAGAAGAGTTCGTGGCTGTACCCACTGGAACCGCGAGACTCGACTGCTCGGACATCCGGTGCGTGTCCAATGGTGGTGACTGGGTGAGCGGTTCCAAGGCGGAGGGCGAATGGGGGCCAGCGCTGTTGTCTGGCCGCCTGAATTTGCCTCCGGGAATGGCTGGTGACTTTTTGGATGGAACAGTGTTGCTTCTGCCCAAGCCACCAGTCGGCGTCATGCTGAGCGCCGGGCTGTTAGGGCCAGTGCTGTCCTCTTTCCTCGAGTGGCGCGAGTTCACTGAGCGGTTGCGCCGAATCTGACCCTCGCGACGAACACTAGCAGCGCCAGCACTCGCGTTTGAAGCAGATCGCGTGACACCAGCGGAGGCCGCAGTGGGTGTCACAGGGGGGACCCCGGGCCCGGATTCAATTTGCCGGCGCGTGGTCTCGTCCGCTGCGGTGCCGTGCATGCCAATGAGGAAGTGATCTTGGTTTTCGATGAGGAAAATGATGACGCATTGGTTGAGACGGTATTCCTCGGGGGCCATGGCATGGTCAGGGTGCGAAAGCATGCCTGGCTGGAAGATGGCTGCTAGGTTCTGGGATGTCATCCGATTCTCCTCAGATTTCGCTGCGAACACGGCGAGCAGATCAAGAATGTAAAGGAGCAGCTGCATATTGAGCGGAGGCAGTTCCGTAATCAGCTTCTGATACTTCTCGATGGCAGCATTCTCGTCGAAATTGTCAATGTATTGAGGTCCCTCAGCATCGCCGACGGCTTGCTTTGTAGCTCCGCGCAGTGGCTCGCGAAATTTCTCGTAGAGATCGAGCGGAACAACAGGTTCTGGGAGATCGTTCAGATAGCGGCGGAAGACGTTGGCTGCGTCGTGAACGGTGTATCCGTCCCACGAGAGCCCCTTGCCATAACGATCGGGTGAGTCAAAGACGGTCTTGAGCTCTTTGATGCGCTTCTCCGAGCCGCTTAGACGGAAAATTCCTTCGACGCCAGTTGCTAATGTCGATTAGCCAAATGAGAATCAATATGATCATGGGAAACACACCCTTCTCCTTTAGGAACACACCACATTTTGCGACGACGATGGGTACGTAGCCGTAGATGTAGCTCTGTCCATTCTCCTCGAGCGAGATGGCGACGTTCGCGTACTGGATGCTCTGTCGTAGTGGGATGCCGAAGATCCCTGGGGCTTTCTGCATTTCTGATGACTGTTAGCAACCGTTTGGGATACCACGGAGCTCAACAAATGATTGGTGAATGTGGATTCGAGTATTCGTGAGATCTGTTGATCTGGGTCCCAAACGGACCGCCTGTCATCGCTGACGGAATGGGCCATGCACGTACCAGTCTGCTCCTGATTCCTGCGCGGCAAAGTAAAGTTCTTCCACCAGGACTTGAGGTCACGCTTCGCGGGGGAAGAGGAGGGATTGACGGGTGCGCCTCCATGTTGCGGTGGTGAACTGGCTGGGTGCGCCGAAGGCGTCGCGGACGCCATGGCGAATGACGACGGTGGTCACGGTCGGAAGTCAAGAGAGGGTGCGCAACGACGAAGGGCCGCGTTCGAAAAGACAATCAGTACTCTTGCAAAGGCAAGAGCAACTTGTCTTTGGTTCGGACTGCCCTCGACCCCAGCGCCCAATGGAGATTCGAGAGGGGTCGGGACGTGCGCGGCGGGCGCAGATCGAATGGGGGGAGCAGGATGACTGACTGCGCTTGCTCGACTCGCGCGATGCGACCGACGATGATGGCAGGCAAGGTCGCAGCGCTATTCCGAGGAAGCGGACGTGTTTCGACTTGGGTGTGTGTGCTTTGGTACTAGCCAAAGCAAACGATCGAAAGGTGGTCGCAGTGAACGGCGGCTCGAGGAGGGAGGAAATTAACCTGGCTGTAACCAAGTAAGTAGGTCGTCAAAAGGTCAAGGTCCAGTCTAGTCCCGGCTCGGTGCAAGAGGACTGGAGCAACAGCGGTGCATTTGATGAGCATGGAGCCCCAAGACGCTGGGTGAGACGACGCCATCGGTGGTTGGCGGCTGGCTAGACTCCCTTCTGGAGGCCTTGGCGGACGCTAAGTACTCTATCACTACCTAATCACTAACTACTTTCTTATAAACTTACCATGTACTTTACTCGTCGTTGGGCTTTCAGCGTTTGATGGGAATAACAAGTAAAACGGTGCATCACTCACTCGTCAGGGCAACCAGCTCTTCTGCCATCATACTGCGGCGGGTTGCTACACCCAACACTCTGCTTGTCGAGAGCCGCACTTGGCCGGCGCCTTTGGTAGACTACGGATACTGATAAGTAATTATGTTTCTGAAACAAGTCGGAGGACGTGGTGACGGGCGAGGTGTGATGGGGAGTTCAGCCAGGCCGCGACGCAATCACACGCATAGGCAGGCAGACAGACACAGATATTGGGGGGTAATCCTCCAACCCGGTATTAATAGATCAACTGTTTCCGCCTTTGTGTCAGCACCACTTGCCAAGATAGGTAGTGAGAACCTAACAAGCTCAGCTGGTCGTATCATAATTGACTGGCGTGGACACATTGCAAACTCAACGGGCGATACCTCGTAGCTCGACCAACTAGAGCGCTGCGCGTGTGATGTTCTCTCTCGACTTGATCTGAGGCGGTGCTCACCACGCTGTTTGCATTGTCAGTCAATACCTTACCCACCGCCCATCTCATCTCGCAGGAGGAGATACCACTCTACCAGAGCAGTCAGCGCACGTATCCCTCAAGTACTGCACCGTACGTACTGGTAACTTCAGGGACGGGACGACTGCCTAGCGTCAGAGCAGGGTAGCGAACGTGGCTTGGCGTCCGGCCTGCCAAAATTCACCTAGACTTTGCCGCTTGTTTGCCTGCCTGCGCCTCATTTCGAGTCGCAAGTCAGCACGCATCTTGTTCTTGAAACACAGTGAGGTCATTCTCCTGACAGCTTTCAAAGGTCTAGCACACGTTGCGCGTGTGACGTATGAAGGCCAGGGCCTCGCATTCATCGACAAGTCTACATATGCGCGGTACAGAGACTGGAGTGGACTGTCAACGGAATTGCGCAATTCCACTTGATGTCGGCAGTTAGACCTACCTACAGACATATTGCTCAGGTACCCGAAGCTTCGTGAATAATACGTGTAAGATGAATATCCCTATCCGAGTACGTTATGTAGATCGTGAACCCAGCAGCGCGCCTCATGTGATCTTTTGATTCGACGTCAATTCCCAGTGCTCTCCGTAGCATCAACGATAACCCGCGCCGGGCTTATCGTCACTGCCTGTGCCTTATCTTATCGCCAGAGCGACTGGCGTCTTATCGCTGTCGCTGCCGCAACCTACCGCCAGCGCGTCTCGAGCCTCTCTCTGTCGTAGCCAAAATTTACAACATCAGCATTGACGACATCATCTTCCAACTCCATCAAGACAACCCACACAACCCACCATCATGGATATGTACGAATTGTGCTGTTCCCAACTATTGCGCCACCACTGACAATTCTTCCAAAGGTTAACACAAGCCGAGCAGCGCCAGCTGGAGCAGCGCATGCAAAAGCGCCAAGTCCAGGAGTTCATGACTGTCAGTCTTCCCTCCCGCCCCTTGCTCCTCCTGACGAGTAGCCCATACTCACGTCCAATGCAGGCTTTCGGCGGTCTTGTTGACCACTGCTTCGTGTCCTGCGTCGACGACTTCACCTCCAAGGCCCTCTCCACCCGCGAAACCGGCTGCATCAACCGCTGCGTCCTCAAGTGGATGGCGACACAGCAGCGCGTGAGCGACCGTTTCCAGGAGCACAACCAGAACCTGGCCCAGCAACAGGCCAACCAAGCAAGCCGATGAGTTATTCACAACAGTCTGTCTGCTTTGATGAGATGCCTGCGCATGTATAAATATGACTGGGTTTTTGAGTATGGAATGTCATGGTTGATCTAAAGGAAAACTTGGCACGGATAGCATGCAAGTTACTGTTGTACTACCAATGTCGATGTATAGAAAGAGGTTTAGAGAAAATCGCAAACCGACCTATATTGCAAAGGCCGTTCCACATACCTTATTCCCCTGGCTTGCACTCTCACGAATCAACCTCACAAGGCGAACTCGTCAATTCAACATGCTTAGTTGTTCAGCCGATGGTACGCCGCAATTGCATCTATCTTATTTACCCGACCGCCCAACAGATCTGATCCAACGCCGGCCAAAATGCACATGTAGTCTGAATTTTGGCACCTCCTTACTCGGTCTCCAGGCTCTCGCTCAGCACGTCGCGGACTGCTTCTAGTTGTGAGTAAACCTTCTGCTCCAGGACATTATCCCCCCGCTCGTCCTTGCTTGTCCTCTTCATCGATCGCCACTCAATCTCGCGCGGCCCTAAAGGCAGCAGGCCATCTTTGAACATCCTTTCCGACGCCAACCACATCTCGGTACTCTCGAGTACCGATGGCGCGTTCCAGTTCACCTCGGGGATCTCGCGGCCTAGATTGATACGCAAGGCATTCAGAATCCGAGTGATCAGAGCCAGCGAGTGCACCTCCGAAGTGCCCATCAGTGTCAGATGTTGCGTAGACGATCTTAGTTGTGTGCGACTGGCTCCCGGTGCCTCGAACCTATTGACGCTAAGCTCCAGCAGCTCTGGGAACTGGTTCAAAAGATAAGCCACCTCGGGCGCCACAGTGCCGCCAAGAGCTGTGAGAAGATTAAGCATCAGCGGTAGCAAGCCCTTGACCCAAATGCCGTAGCAACGCTGAGACATGGGCGTCTCAGCGTACGGTGACAGCCTCCCCTTAATCATGAACTTGGTCAGGTTGGCAGTCAGCAAGATGTTGAGGATGCCATCGCAAGCCAGCTGTTCAGCGACTCCGGGCAGTGCTGAAAGCTCTAGCAAGAAAAGCATACTGAGCTCGCCGTAGACCGGGTCACCCTGGTCGGTTAGTTTGTCGGCCCAGGAAAACAGTGACGTAGCCGCATAGAAGCAGTTATGCGACGCCATGATGTTCAGAATCTGCGTTTGAGACTGCTCCATTCCGGGCATCGCAAGACAGGCTTGTAATAGAGCCGTGATGAGACCAAGATCGCCCTGTGTGACGCTTTGCGTATCGTCATGGAGCAGGCTCACGAGATTGCGGAAGCCTTGAGCCACAACCCGGTCCAGTATGTTGAGGATCATCTGCGTCACCTCGAGAGAGTGCTTCCCAGTCGATTTTTCCTTACTGGCGCTTGTATTGTCCAGACGTACTTGGTACGCGCGCATGGAGACATACAGCGTCTGCAGCAGCTTTCGATAATAGAGCGCAGTCTCCGGAGCAAAAGACGTATCGCAAACACTGATAGCCAATGTCACAGCCGCAAGAAGCTCACGATGGTCGTCCACCGACAATGGCATCTTCTCTAAACGCTGCACGAGGACCAGCGCCAAGTTGACCCGAGCATCCATCACTCGTACGAAGACAGCGGGCGCCCCTTCAGCGTCTCGGTCCGCCTTCAAGCATTGCACTGCCACCTGTTGCAGCTGTTTCGCCAGAACATCGTGCTTTGGAAGGCAAATACTTAATTCCAATAGGAGAGATTCCCAAGCATGGAATAGTTCCTGAGTGGTCATGTCAGTATGCGGCAGCTATGTATGTGCTTCCACTCACTATTTGAGCATCGACCAGCGATAGATTCGAATTGGCGAGCTCCATCTCCGTCTTGAATCCATTGTCCTTCCGCCCCAGCCATCCAGGATCAAAGGCGAGCATGCTGTTGGCGCGGTCTATGTCGTAATAGAAAGCAGTCCCGAGCTCAGAGGGCTGGAAGCTAGTCCGTCTAAAGTCTTCCAATGAACAGCCGCTGTATTTGTTGGAAAAGTTCTTGGCGAAGTTGATGTGAAGCGATCTGTTGTAGCCAGCCACCTCGACGCCGTCCCGTAGATAGTAATCCATAGACTTGTTGATGAGCTGCTGAGCTAGTGTGCCTGCCTCGGAGACAGCCAAGTGTCGCGAGTGATACAACTGCATAGCAAATATCTCCGCAATAAAGGAGGCAATGCGAGCTTCGATAGCAGCCATGGCAACGCTGTTCCTGCTTCGAGTGTTGGATGACTGAAGCTCACTCATGTACGATTGCAGGCCCTTGAGATAATCAAAGTCCGTGTCCTTGTTTAGAGTGAAGACAGTCCATGGCCAGTAGTTTTGAGCTGAAGAGACAAAATCCAGAATGACCACAGCTTGCAAGGGGTCAAGCTCCTTGAGATTAGACAGTTGGTTCAGCGCGAGAGCAAATATGGAATCTTTGGCAATCCCGCGATGCTTCGGGTCGGTTTTCATTGCTTCTCTGGGAGTACGACCCGTCAGTAAGCAATTCGACATCCATTGCTGGCGATTGCGAAGGATGGCGACAAAGAGATCCCACGTAGCTTTGACGCTAGTTGTGAGTTCGAAAGGTTTGTCAATGGTTGCCAAGACTTGCAGGAATGACTTGGAGATGGGAGGTCCGAGGTACCCTAGCAACGACGGTGGTTCCCCAGTGTCTGACCCAGCGACGACTATGAGAGCTTCAAGAAGCCGAAGGCTAGGCTCAAGAAAGCTCGTAGATGCTGCGCAGCAACGTGAGATGAGGCTGCAGCATTTGAAAAGATAATCCTGGAGAACGTAGGATGGTCTGCCGAGCAATGTTGCCGCCCGCAGCAGGACTGTGCAGAAGCCCAGTATAGTGTGTACTTGACCTCGCAAGAGGCGGTTTGACGTGGTGTAAAAGGTATCATGCGATGAGCTGCTTGCCGCAACGCACGACGTAAGGATCGGTCGGTAACGTAAAGTCCCCGTCGATGGCTGCAGGAAACAGTCGAGAACGTACGAGCCCGCCTCATCAAACGCAGACGTCAGTTTGCTCGGCGTCAGAGGGTTGCCCATGCCGTAGCGGTAGTTCACCAGCTTCTGTAGAATAGGCGTGACCTTGGCGAGCAGGGCCACTCGCCTCGAGCCATTCTCAAGCCTCCACGTTGACGTGTTTTCGAACACGTCAATGGAGATCTGCGCTATGGAATAGCTTACCGCAGATATCAGCTTGTCAGAGAGCCCTGCCCAGGGATTGCTTTGTGGCCTTTGTCTGCCCAAATTATGGTCGCCCATGCCTCGCTGCACAGCGGACGTTGAGGCTGTGTCGAGAAGGTCTGAGAAGAAGCGCAAACATGAACTGAGTAGCTCATACTTGCCAGCTACCAAGTCGAGATCTCCTATAGTCTTGGCAAGTTTCCCATTCCTCGAATCCGAGCCTAGCAGATCGCACCTTGCGATGTACGACCATACTCTGCCCGGCTGCAATGGCAAAAGCGAATGCAGCAGGTGAATGGAGGCGTTGAGAATGCCGAGCGCAGCGTCATCACCAAGAGCAGCATCATCTTGTAGTAGGGAATCCATAATGTCCAGCACCACCGTAACGACATCCTTGCCGCCAGTGAGGTACCTGCTGGCTTCCTGAATGATGTCGTTATCAACAGACACGAGCGCACCCGGCCCACTTGCATCTGCTGTCCGCATATGAGAGATACGGAAGACTGTAGCAAGTAACGATATGGTTGCCGCCGTCATGTCGGGGGACATGGCACCGAGGAAATTGGGCTGGCCCAACAGATCCATTTCCAGTCGTTGACCAAGGAAGGAGAGTGTGGAATAGCCAAAGTAGGCGACACAGCTGCGTTCCGTGGGGCCTATGTCGAGATCATCGACCAACTCGCAGTTTGTGCCTGCTGGTACGACGAACTCGAAAGCGCCTCTCCGTTGCCTTTGCCATGATAGTGTCTGGTCAGCGAATGGGAGGTCTTGCAAGAGCTGAAATCCGTTACCCGCTTGTCCGATGGGCTGGAGCAAGCCTCGCCTCAAAAGCTCCTCGTCGAAAGCGAAGGTAAAGGTCGGGGTTTCTCGGAGAAGGTCAAGTATAATGTCAGCGTCCTCGTCTCGTCCATTGAGAGAGGTGCAAAGTACTCGGCAGAAATGGACGAAGGGGACGAATTCGGTAGGGAAGCGTCTGAGAGCAGGCTTCAGATACGCCTCCTGAAACCATTCACTGCGAAGCATGGAGGCGGTGAAGTCGGCGTTCAGGGGGAGATGACCTCGTGAGTCAATGTCCCAGTAACCGCGATCGGTGCACAGTAAATCGAGCATTGCGCTGACGCTCGCAGGCAGGTATGGAGGGCGCAACCCTTCGGTCACCTGCAGTACCTCAGCGAGCTGAGCCCTGGTGCGAGAACTGGCCAAGTCTGTCATGGGCCCTGATTCAGTCGACGATGCCAGATTGCTCATGGCTGTGATGAGATCAAAAATCGAAGACTCTCCCACCAGCTTTGCTTCGAGATCGTCAATAACCGCCACATCAACATCCCCTTCGAAGGAGTCGAATCTCGAAGACTCTATGGAGAGAATGCTGTTGGCCGAGTTACGTCGCGCTGCGGCGCCTGGTCTAGTCATCGGCCTGCCTTCGATGCGAGCAGGATGTGACTTGTCGTATCGTTGTCCAATCCGTAGTTCACGCGAGTTCTTCATGATACTCAAGAAGGAGTGCCACACGTAGGCCAGTGGCGACACAGAGGAAATGTCCGCTTCGAAAGCACCAATAATGGTGCTATGCACCTCCATCAGGACTTCAGGGACGAAGACGAATGATTTGTTGACGCTCTCGCCAGACGGTGCCAGCAACTCTTCTTGCACGTAGTCCATACTTCGGACGGGCTTGAGAAGTGCTACCGAGGCTGCGACAGCTGAGACCTTTGCCAAGTCACTGAGCTCGGTAAAGTAGCCATAAGGAGCCAAGCCAGAGAGAAATTCGTAAGTCTTCATAATCGAGAACCAAGAGCTGATAATATTTGGGGGAGGGCAGTCGGGACCCAGGGCATCTGCGAGCTGCATCACAACCGACACCATATGGACAACTTCTGTCAATAGTGTCTCTAGAAAGAGGATTTCCGTATGCTCTGTCATGAGCAGCTTCGTATCCGTGATGCCACGCAGACCTGAGCAGAGCAAGTCGAGACGAGAACCAAGAGACTGCGTGTACGCAGACAAACGTTCTCCCATGTCGCTCTTCGTGCATTCGGTCGCTTCGTAGAGTGTCGCGGAGTCGTCTACCACCGGAAGTAGTATTGGAAGCCTTCGATCGAGCGTTATGGAGTGCATGTAATCAGCAACAGCCGTGAAGTACCGACGCTCGGAGAGGTATGTTTCGAAAAGGCGTCTTCGCTTTGAGTCGGGCAATTCGAAGTCATGCCATATATCCTCCGCGTCGGCGGCCGTGGTGATGCCAATCTCCGCCAAGAAAGTGCCGCCCTGGCCATTGACCAGCCCAGCCGCATCCTGAAGGTTAGCAGCATCTTGGGCGGACAAGGGAGTCCTGAGATGCTGCGTACTGCGCGCTTGAAACTCCACCACGACGATACGGAGAGAATCCACCAGGTTCAAACCTGCGTTTTTGCTGAGCCATTCTGCGTCTTCCTTGACCGTCTTGACATCGATGCGTTCGTTCGAGGCTGTAGTGACGTTGATCGGTGCAGTTTTTGTTTCGAAAGATTTCTGAGTCGCGGTAGAAGGCTTGTCGAAGACATTGCCCGGATCCTTTAAGAGTCCTTGCACGTAGCTATCCTTGAGAAATGCGACCACAGCCGGGCTCTTCTGCCGTTGAAACGTAGAATCGAGGACCGCTGTTGCGACATGTTGCCAGGAAAGGAGCACAGAGTAGCCAAAGAGACATTCCTCCAGAGCTGGAAAGTAGTGGATATCCGACCCAGGTGCCATCGCCGAGTTCGGTCAATGTCGCAGCAAGAATCAGCAACTCATGCCTCGAATTGTTGATGCTTAAGAGTCCCACAAACCGCTGAGATGCTGGGAATTGCAGGTTTTCGGTGGTTCAGTGGTGTTCTGGTACTTCGATTTGCTTTGGCGCGCCTCTTACCGCGATCAACAAACGCCGGTAGCTGCTACCGGATGATGCACTGTTGCTGGACCGCGCCTGCACTTTTTTTGCGACGAGCTCCAGGAACCCGAAGTGCAGCCGGATAAGCGGATCAGTTTGAGGTACGTACCTGCTGCAGACAGGGAAACAAAGACGCATAGCGGACGCTTACCGGAATCGGAGCTGGAGCTTCCAAAGCCGTGCAATCTTCAGGCGAAGATGAGTCTTTGACGACAATACTAAACCTCTACGCTTCCCACAGCCTCCAGGTATCACCTCGTCACGATCTTGACGTTCAGATCTGCGGCTTTGGGCCCACAGCACATTTTTTAAATCCTTTCTTTTAGATCATTTGCCCATAGCGCTGGACGTTTGCTGCAGGAGATCGACTCATCAAACGTCAAGATCCCGCTTATCCTCTGTCTCACAAAGTGTCATCATTTAGGATGTCGTCCTTGGACCTCGTGGATCACTCGCCGCATCAGGCTGATCCTTCGCCTCCAGTTGCGACGGCCTCAAGTCTCATCTTCATTGACAACTACGACTCCTTCACTTGGAACATCTATCAATACCTCGTGCTGGAGGGTGCTACTGTCCATGTGTATCGCAACGACAAGATCACTCTGGAGGAACTCATCGCGAAGAACCCAACACAGCTGGTCATCAGTCCTGGGCCTGGCCACCCAACGACGGACTCCGGGATCAGCCGCGATGCAATCAAGCACTTTGCCGGGAAAATCCCTATTCTTGGCGTCTGCATGGGTCTGTAAGTGAACTGTTCAACTTTTTCCCGTATCCTAGGCCACTCGCTCACGCAACCAGTCAATGTATCATTGATGTCTACGGTGGCGAAGTGAGCTCAGCGGGGGAGTGGCTTCACGGCAAAACATCCCCGTTGACTCATGATGGCAAGGGCGTCTTCTCTGGTTTGAAGAAGGACATCCCTGTGACGCGATATCATTCTTTGGCTGGGACGCCAGTCTCATTGCCAGATTGCTTGGAAACGACGGCCTGGGTTTCGAAAGCAGATGGATCACCTGGCGTCATCCAGGGCGTTCGTCACAAGGAGTATTCTGTGGAGGGTGTTCAATTCCACCCGGAGAGTATTCTCACTGCTGAAGGTCGCACCATGATCAAGAACTTCTTGCGCTTCCAAGGTGGAACCTGGGCAGACAATGCCGAGAAGCAAAAGTCCGCCGCAGCGCCAATAACGGGCGAAAGCAAGAGCAACAACATTCTACGCCAAATCTACGCAAACCGAAAGGCTGCCGTGGAGGCGCAGAAGCAGATCCCATCACAACGCATGACTGACCTGCAAGCTGCTTATGATCTAAACGCTGCTCCGCCTCTGGTACCTTTCTTGGAAAGGTTGCGCAATACCCCCTTCGAAGTAGCTCTTATGGCCGAAATTAAGCGTGGCTCGCCTTCCAAAGGCATCTTTGCCATGGACATCAATGCGCCTGTGCAAGCACGAAAGTATGCGCTTGCTGGAGCTAGTGTCATCTCCGTGCTAACCGAACCTGAGTGGTTCAGGGGTAGCATCGAAGATTTGCGTGCCGTCCGCCAAGTACTCAACGCCATGCCAAACCGCCCTGCTATCCTAAGAAAGGAGTTTATCTTTGATGAGTACCAGATCCTCGAGGCTAGATTGGCTGGCGCCGATACTGTCCTCCTAATCGTCAAGATGCTGGACACGCCCTTGCTGGAGAAACTGTACAAATACTCTCTATCACTCGGGATGGAGCCTCTCGTCGAAGTCCAGAATGCGGACGAGATGACGATTGCCGTCCAACTCGGCGCCAAGGCCATCGGTGTCAACAACCGCAATCTTGAGAGCTTCGAGGTGGACTTGAAAACGACTAGCCGTCTGCGTAGCATGGTACCCGAGAACACCATTATCTGCGCTCTCAGCGGCATTAACACCTATAAGGACGTCCTCGAGAACAAGCAGGATGGCGTCAATGCTGTCCTAGTCGGTGAGGCTATCATGCGGGCCCCCGATGCCACGCAGTTCATTAGTCAACTCTGCTCGGGCGTGGACGCACCAGCCCAAAATGACAAGCCTTCAGCACTCTACGTCAAGATTTGTGGCACACGCAGTGCTGAAGCTGCCTCCGAAGCTGTCAAGTCCGGCGCCGACTTTGTCGGTATCTGCCTAGTGCCGGGGGTCAAGAGGTGCATCACGCACGAGACGGCTCTCGAGATATCGAAAGCGGTCCACTCATACGGCGGGCCTCTCTCATCCAAGGCAGACGTACCCATCACCAATGAAAAGGCCACTGACTTTTTCTCCACTGCTGCGACGCGTTTAGCGAGCGAGCGCCCTCGTTTGGCCGGTATCTTCCAGAACCAGCCGCTCCACGAAGTCCTGGAGAAGCAAAGGCTTTACAATCTGGATGTGGTGCAGCTACATGGCGATGAGCCCCTTGAATGGGCCAACATGATTCCCGTGCCCGTGATCCGGTGCTTCAAACCCGGCCACGTTGGTATCGGCTCGCGAGGATATCACATTGTGCCTCTCTTGGATTCGGGCGCCGGCTCCGGCAAGCTGCTGGATGTTTCCAAGGTGGAAGAGATACTCCGCAAGGATCCTGAGCTCAGAATCTTCCTGGCCGGTGGTCTCAACCCTGAGAACGTTGCAGAGGCAGTCAAGGCGCTAGGTGAACTTGGTAAGCGTGTCATCGGTGTGGACACCAGCAGCGGCGTTGAGGAAGACGGGAAACAAAGCTTGAAGAGGATCGCGGCATTTGTCGACGCAGCCAAACAGATTCGGTAATCGGCCATGGCGTCAGGCTTCGCAAGATGCACATTGTAGGAAACGCTTCACCGCGATCAGAGGGTCGCTCAAGCTTTGTTGGTCCATCGCTATGTCTTCCAACGGTCTGCTCATGTCCTGGATCCTGGGTACTTGAATGGAATGAGCTCGAGTGTCATTCGCTTTACACACTTACACTCCAACAGATAGAAGACCTCAATTTTGATACATGAGATGAATCTCCGGGACCTCTTCACGCTGCACACACATAATTGCGACCTCCTGCTGAGGCTTCCCATACCTCGTGCTTGTGAACTAAAGCCATCCGCCTCTGCCCTTGTGGGTACTGTTCATACTCGCATTCCTCTTCCTTCCTTCTGATCGTCACCAAAGACATATTTGGGTTCGGTATTCTCATAGGTACACCTCGCTCGGACCTTTGTTCCTCCAGCAGCATGCCTCCTCAGATCTTCAAAGGTTGTGTCCTTGCCTGTGCTGGCGCTTTACCAGGACAACTCACTCTGGACAACGTCAAACATTGGGCCACGATCCGGAAAGGGACATTTCTTCGTACGTTTGACGAGACTGTCACCCATCTTCTGTGCACACGAGAACAATTCGAGAAGCAACGTCGTGTCAGAGACAGCCCAGGTCAGTATGCTCAACTTGGATGCTTTTTGGTCTACCAATGCTAACTATTCTAGTCAAGAAAGCCCTCGAGCGAGGCAAGAACGAGATCAAGGTCTTCGTACTTCACTGCGACTGGTTCGAGTTCTCTGCGTCGCAGAACAAGAAGCTGCCTGTTGGGGAGTACCAACTGAAGGACCGTTGGGCGTACGCCACCGCTAAGCAAAGAGAGCAGAGGAGGATAGCACAAGGCAATCGCAATGCTGAGAGACCGAACTACATCAACACTAGTAGGCATTGCGATCCAAGTGTACAGGGCGTAGGCTAACCTCGCCAGATCTTTTCCACGTCTACCGGGACCGAGTCGGTTTTTACTATCAGTTTCCAATCCATCGCAAAGATACTGACACCGAAGACGAAGAACGCTATGAGATTACGGTGGGTCCTGCCATGATTCTTAGTGATGTCCTGTGTCGCTGATAATGGCATATAGCTTTGGCAGTCAAATGCTCTTCCGCATCTATATCAATGCACAGTTAAACACCTCAGGCGCAAGGGAGACAGCAGACCGTCCTTTCTTAAATTCACCCCATGCGCGGGGAATTTCTGGCCGCAGCTCAAGTACATGACGGAATTCTTTCAGAAGAAGACCGGTATCGAGTGGGAGGACCGTGTCCTCTGTTACAATGACGAAAGACGCCCCGGGAAATTTATCTACACGCCGCCGGTGAGCTGTGCCCATTCTTTGCGCTTACCAAAGCTGACTAGGAGTGACCAGATGGGAGGGAAGCCAGTCGGCACGAGGATCAGCGGCGACGATGCTGAAGAATGTTGGAGGATAAATGCCCAGCGCCGTGGTCTCCCGTGGCCAACTCCCGTACCGGATACCGAGGGTCCCGCGACAGCAGATGAAGCGACCGTTGCCGGAGACGCCGTTGAGATCTTGCAACAGCACCAGAATAACCTTGACGATGCCGACGACGACAGTGACCGTAAGGGTGAAGCGATGCAGAGCATTCACTCTTCACGCTATGCCGAGAAGAACGGAAATGACGACACAAAAATGACTGGGATCGACTCCGAGACAGATGATCGGAACGTGATGGGAGAGAAGCTGACGAAGAATACGGATGCCTATTTGCTGTCTTTCAGCCAGAGCTCAGTGGGAGATTCGAGCATCGGCGACGCTGGAGGGCTGGCCCCTATGACGGTCGATTGCAGCGCTGACGAGCTCCTGGGCCAGATGGAGCTCGATACGACCATGGGAGAGGTCGCCGTCGACAAGATAAGCTTCATCCGAGATGACAAGACCCTGCTGGCGCGTATCGACTTGGCAGTGGCCCAAGCCAAGAACACGACCCACGACGCAGAACTGGCCCTGATTGAGGCCGAGCGCGTACTGTTCGGTTTCGCACACGCGCCGTGAGGGAAGGGCCAAACGGATACCAGAGCTTCAGATCCCACATCATCATCGCACGAAACTCAACTTCTTCTCGAATCCCATGCTGAATGTCGCCGATCGATGCGGTGTGAGCCATGTGCCATGATGCCGTCCATGGCCTCAAAACCTGAGCTTGGGCGTGACGAAGACCAGTAACACCAAAGCGACCATCAGCCCGTAAATCCAAGCGTACAGCATGATGCGCCCCCACCAGCCTTTCCCTTCACTCATCCTCATCAACGAGCCCATGGTTCCCTTGGCAGCCTCCATCCCACGCCCCGTTCGTTCCATGCCCTCTGTCGCACGGCCCATAATGTCCTTCTCGGCGTCTAGACTGGACGCAATGCTTATCTGTTGCTTCTTCATGGCCTGTGCCATCTTGTACACTTTCTCGGCAAGGTCTTCGCGCTCGCCGGCCTGCTGGTCGAGGATGGCTTCGGCGGTGGCAGTGGACACGCCTGTGTTGGCAGCGGCGTGCGCCGGATCGGTTCGTTTCCGGTTAGCAAACAAAGCGGCGCGCGCTGAGGCATATGATGGCTGGGTTTCTTGATTTCGAGACCGCGGGTTCTGCGTGGTTTTCGTGGGCTCGTCTTGGGCAAACAGAGTCGATTTCGAACTTGTGTAATCAGGTTCTGTTGATGGCGCGGGAGGTTGTGATGTCTTCGGCGTTGATGTTTGTGCCTGTCTCGCTTCTTGATCCGCATCGCTGGGTGCAGTCGCGCTGGTCGAGGAGATGCTCTCGCTCGGTGTGAATTCTACGGACGCCAGCAGATCCTCCCCTTCCGACGTGTCTTCCTCGTCCTCGACCGCCATCTGTCGCGTCAGCAAATCTCCGCTGGTTGCGTCCCTTGCTGCTCTACCTTTTGGAAATCGTGCAGACGGTCCACCAGCAGTTCGAGTAGCTCTCTCTTCTTGTACAGGCCCGCTTGCACGTCGCCTTTTCTTCCAGGCGCTAGCAGGGTCATCGCCTCCTGCTCGAGCCTTGACAGTGAGGTCCTCGCGAAATCCAAGTTCTATAGCATTAGGCAATCTTCTTTGTTCCATCTGGCAGCGTCATACCGTTTCTAATTTGGCGCGCTCATATTCTGACGTCCGTAACCGTTGTTCGCGTGCGGGATCGGCATGGAGAACAGTACGCTGGAGGCGCAAGAGGAGCTGACCTAGCTCTGCGGATGATCGTTCAAGATCGCTCGTTTGCGGAAGAGCTGCTCGACCTGTATTTGGCAAGCGCGCCATGATTTCGGGTTCGTGCAGTACATCGGTATGCTAACAAGTGAATTGTTAGATGACAATGCTGACGACGTTGAATGTGGCCAGCTTGTAGTTGGCTTCACCCCACCAAAATTCCATGATGGTTGGTCAGGTAAGGTACCTACCAAAGTCACCTTCCCAAGAGCAACGCCAGGAACAGCCATTCATTCCATACGAATGCTCAACTAAGTGAACCAGTAATGTCAGCTGGACCAGGAACTTCTCCACGTTTGATTCAGGTACCTGACAAGATATAGAAGGAAAACAGAGGCCATTTCTGTCTTCGCAGTACCGACATCATTGCACGCGTGAATACCACTACCCAGCGAGACAATAACGATGAGCGTCACAGATCCTGCAAGTTGATAAGAAGTGAGAAGCTATTTTTTCAATAAAGAACCATAGAGCTAACATATACAAGGCTTCATTGTCTATGTTGCAGGCAGCACACTGCAATCAAGAGGTGCTCAATTAGGCACTCTAGGGTATGCAGTTATGAGCCTGGATCCCCTAGCATATACATCGCCTGAATCACGAACCGGATTGCCAATCCCGTCCAGCGAGGTAAGCTACGCAGCTAGTGATGCCTATCGGATCGACCCGTGCACCATGTGGTTCTCCTGCCGCCAGAGCCGCGAGATTGGTGCGAGCAGCGCCAGTATGGCGGCTGGTCAAGCACGACTGGAGTCCAGAAACCCACCGCCAACAAGGCGAGGCTTAGTGGTTATAATCTGAGCCGCGGCCCTGTTTAGTCAATGCTTCAATTCATGTTGCAGCACCTCAGTCCTTGGGCGCATCCTCCTCCTCGTTCAAGGCCGACCGGAGGCGTTCCTCTTGCCTTTTCCAGTGGCTCCCTTCCTCGTAGTCGGAGCTGATCTTGAGAGCCTTCCTAAGGCGTTCGCTTTCCTTGATTTTGGCGTCCGCCATCTCGTGTACTTGATGCTCCTTGAAGTTTCTCCTAGGCCCGCTGTTCTTGCCCTTGTGCATTTCTGACGTGAGCTTTTCACGCAGCTCGTCGCACCTCTTCTCTATTTCCTCCTCGTCCACTCTAGGCAAGGTCAGCATGGATGAGCCGCTGCGTGTGCGCGCGTGACCTACTCTTCGTCCTCTAGCTGATCACGTAGGTCAAAGACCTTGACCTCAATCTCTCGTTTTCGGTCATGCTCGAGGATACCCTTGTCAGGTTGCCGTTGGCGATGTCGCAGGCTGTCGAGATCCTTGGGCGGGTATGGTGCAGCTTGGTCTCGAGGTTTGATGTAGGCGCGATTGCGTTGAATGTAGCCGGAAGTTCCGCTGCCTCGGGGCGTAGACAAGCCGACGTTGTCAGACATGATTCAAGTTGGATGATCAATAATAAGCACAGCTGGGAAAGGTGCAGTGTCAGTGCCGTTTACATTGGTACCAATAGGTAGGTTGGCCGCGGACGTGGAGATATGCAGCACGGAGGCCCGAAACGGAAGGCGGTGAGGCCCACTATCCGAGCATTTGACCGGCAAAACTGAAGATACATCATGGTGGGGGCCAGGGTCCATGTCCCCGTTGTAGCCACTCAATGAGTCAACTAAGCATATAGGGATACACCAACCTCTGATCAATCTGTTCAAGCGTTCCTCCAATATTTCATTCTTCACCTCTTCCGATACGTATTGTCGAGCAAGCAAAGATTCCCGGTTGAACCGCTGTGTTGGCTCACCATGCCACACCTATCTACGACGGTTGACGCCGCCAATACTGGCACCGAAGACGCTGAGCAACTCAATTTCCCCCCCATCTCAAAGGATCACATATTGAACTGCTCGTATGACTCATGGTTTCTTGGCTACAAGAGTTCTTGTCTGAGATCGAGAATCATCTCTTTACCACCAGCCGTGGTGTCATATCTCCAAGAGGACGGCATCATCCTCGCTGACGATGAGGCTGAGCAGCATCCAGAAGAGGAATGGCACTCTGAGGGCGCGAAAGGCTCTAGGGTGGAAGAGGTCTATTCCTCAGATGAGGAAGACGAGCCAGAGATCGATTCCAGGCCGCCGAATGAGAGGTTCCCCGAAACACATCGGCTGATCAAAGAAACAATCGCTGAACTGGGAGGAGCCGTGGTTCCGAAGCTCAACTGGTCGTCGCCAAAGGATGCGAAATGGGTTAACCCCCATCAGAATACACTTCGGTGCACCACACCCAGCGACATATACCTGCTTCTCAAATCCTCCTCTTTTGTTTCGCACGATCTGAACCATGCTTTCGACCACTGCGATGACACTCCGGCGAAGCAACCTTTTGCGCCGGTCTTAGTCCTGAGGCCTTTTTTCAACCCCCATAACGCTCTCGAGTTCAGGTGTTTCGTCAAGCACAGAGCGCTCATTGGTATCACCCAAAGGGACCTTAACCATTACGACTTTTTGGCGGATCTTAGACCCAACCTGACAAGGAAGATCAAGCACTTCTTCGAAAGTGTCTTGCGCTTCACTTTCCCGGACTCGTGCTTCGTTTTCGATGTCTATGTTCCCGAGAACGATGATGCCGAAGACGGGCTCGGCAAAGTCAGGCTGATTGACATCAACCCCTGGTCTCCATCTACCGACAGTTTACTGTTCTCATGGAAAGAACTTTTGGATCTCGAGGTGAAGAAGCCAATCTACGGTTCACTCAGCCAAGACGAGGCATCAGGAAGCGCCAGCGAGGAAGATTTCACCACTTCCGACGAGACTGATGAGGATGGCGCGGCTGGCCAGGGACAGAGTTTTGGCCAGCTCGAGTTTAGGCTCATTGAGAAGGACGATCCGGCCGCCTACAACTTCAGTGCGCCCCAATACTCGGCCCACAAACTGCCCAAGGAGGTCGTTGATGCCAGTGCTGCCGGGGGAAGTGGTCTTCGAGACTTCCTGGCCCAGTGGCGGGTGCTGACAGAGGGAAAAGGCGATGGGATGTGGGAACACGCTGAAGCTTCAGGTGGCACTAGTACATAGTTTCGAGCGGTTGCCATAAGCGCAACGGCAAGTTATTGGACCAGGTAGGCACCTTTGTGATGCGGCTTAAGCCTTGAGCCATGTAAAATAAAATCAGCCTCACCATACTTCGACATTGAAACATTGAATATAAGAGGAACCACAGGGGCATTGTTGTTCTTCCAAAGGTACCCCCAGTCACGAAGCGAATTATAGCTCGAGCAGACGCGTTCAGTTCATCACTCACTCACTCAATCATCCATTCATTTATTCTTCGTCCATTCGTCCATTCGTCCATTCGTCCATTCGTCCATTCGTCCATTCGTCCATTCGTCCATTCGTCCATTCGT